AAAACAAAGATCACATCCACTGGTCTGGTGACCACAATATCATTAGATAAAATGTCCAATTCCAAGTACAATTAGTGCAGGTCATGAGACATGAATCAAGAAAATATGGTGCAGATGCTTACGAGAGCACATATACTTTTCATGGGTCACCATATCAGATCCCGTCAACTGGAACGAAGACCAGATTCAAGGGTGTGAACGTTGGCTTAAGCGGGTTGAGTCCATGGCTCAATCCATAAATGTCAAATCTGCCAAGGAAAGATACCTGGCTCTCTAGGAGCAATGTTCGAAAACCATTGAGTTGAACCGGGATCCCATTACGGAGAAAGTTTCCCTTTCCGAAATAGAGACGCAACTTTTCAACGAAACTCAAATTTATATTCAAAAGGTTTCAAAAGCTATTGAAACGGACTTTGCATTCAACACATTGATCTCAGACTTGATGAAGTTTTCGAACTCTATTGGTGCTGCTATAAAAGCAGAAACATTCGTTAAGCCAGATGTGATTAGCGATTCATTCAAAAAGCTTCTAATTATGTTGGCTCCGATTGCTCCCTCAGTTGCCGAGGAAGCATGGCACACTATCCACGAACACCAGCATAACACAAGATCGATATTTTACGAAAAAGTGCCTGTTTCCCAGCAGGTGAGAAATGAAGAAGTTCTCTTCAATGTTTTCGTCAACGGAAAGGTTCGTGGCCAGTTCAAAGCACCAAAAGAATTTGTCAACTCTCCTGATAGTGAAATATTGGAAGCGGTCAAATCTGTCAGTGCAGTGGAGAACGCTATAGGTGACAAGAAGCCTAAGAAGTTGATCGTGAAAAAGGGAGTCGTGAGTGTTGTATTATAGACATTAGTTCAAGATCTTGTATATACTAAAACTGCTAACAGTTTTGTCCAATAATATATTGAAATAGCAGACTATTTACATGAATCTATCTTTGTCGTATCACATAATGTTACTTTGACTCTTCAACTTTCGATCAGTAGCCACGTTCCATGACATACCTTTTATAATCACGTCTTCTTATTTTACCACCAAAGTTGATTTGTGCTCTTCCAGCTACACCCCTCACGGTCCGGCAGATGTCATCTCTACCTATCCCACCGGCTGCCCTGTAAAAACTTCCCAATTCCTTCCATGTCCACTTGAATTGAAATTCAGTACTTAATAAGATGGCCATAGCATCATCCAAAAGATTCATTTCCGTCAAAGCTGAGACCATAGCAGCTGCAAATTGAAAATCAAGTTTGTCCTTTTCTGCTCTTGACTTAGTCTTATCCTATCGCTCTTCCGATATAAACCTCTTTCAGACCAAACCTCTTGCGAAAATTCATAGTTTCTTGCCTTGCTTGCCGCCTTTAATGCAATAAGGTATGTCATATCGTCTCGCGGAACCTTCAAGGTGTGGTTCCTATCCAAGAGCGGCGAGCGCACAGAAGCGGTGGAGGTATAATCCATAACCAGGACCTCTGCCAAGTTCTCATCCTCAATAACTCTTGTATCAGGAACTCCTTGACGATCAAGTAGTGTTGCAGAGTTGTACCGGTCAAGGAATTCTTTGAGCGAGCCAAACTTAGCACCAATATTCAAGTAGGTGTTAGCACTTTCAATATTGATGAGGTCAGGACGTATAGTGTTTGCATATGCCCACATGGCACTCGATTCCGCTAAGATTTCCTTTTCGGTAACTAAATCAAGTACTGGGAGGAAAGGAAGACTCGACTCGCTAGAAGGAGCATACGAAGAATCAGCCAATATGTTTCGACGAAATCTAATACCATTCTCATGCGCCAAAATTGGAGGAATAGATGGAGACTCATTGTATAAGGAACTTTTCGAATACCCAAGCAATAAGAAAGAAAACGAGCGAACTGTTACAGAAGAAGTCTCACTCAATTTGTTGACGAGGGCTCTGCACAATGCCACGTCGCCGTCCTTTGCTGCCAAGTAAAGAACATATTCGAGAGTCTGTATGGTAGGTTCCCATTTCTGATTGTAAATTTCAAAGATGAACTCCCACGCTTTGACTTTGAGCTCTGGTCTTGAAATACATCCTCTAGCAAGAGCCACCATGATTTGTTGAGAAACTTCAACCTTGTTTTCAACCATTTCGTTATAGAGATCCAATGCTTTCTCGATATCATCGTTGTTAACGTACGAGACAATAATGTCTCTGTAGGCCCTTTCTGCTGGTTTCGTCTTGTCAGATAGGAACTTCATTGTATCGAATACTTCGACTGCTTGCTTGTGGTCCTTGGACTTATATACAGATGTGGCAAGTATGTTTTCGAAAGTATTCTTCGATGGCTGTAAGCCAACTTGTTTCATTTCAGTTAGGATTGAATTCACCATTTCCAAATTGGAGTTCTTACCATACGCTCTAATCAAAAGTTCGTAGGTTTCACGGGGAAGTCTGCCTTTTTTCGAAGTAGAGCGAATCGAATCGCAATAAGATTCTATCTGACTCATGACGCTCGATGGAATCGAAGGTGATAACAAAAGCGAGTCGATGAAGACATTAACCAATTTCGGCGAAACTGGCACCCCAGCATCATGATGCATCTTTTTTAGTCTTGAGATAATAGGAGGAATATGGGGCTTTGGGATCTGGTATACAAACTTTCGTATGTCTTTTGATGGAATATCTTTGAAACCACCATTTTTTTCTAGCTGGTCCAAAACCATACTCCAATTTTGGCTACTTTTCGATACCAAATACTTGAAAGCGAGACCAATACGATCGGATACCGAGGCTGGAATATCTACCACGGGAATGAAAAGCGATTTTTTAGCAAGAAAGTCAAGTCGTTGGGAATCGTTTTTTTGAGTTAGCTGTGTCAGGGTTTCTGGTGAAGGTTCAGTGCTCTGTATTTGTGACCGCTCTACTTCCTTTTCACTCTTCTTGCTTATCATTTTGGACACATTAGCAGTCAAATTCTTGAGTTCTTTGAGTTTTCTGTTATATTCTTGTTGTTGCAACTTCATTTTTCGATCGGAATCCAGCCGTGCCCAATCCTCTAGTGACGGATTTCGACGTTTTGACTTGTTTCCCACCACATAGAGTGTTCTGGCAGTTTGATATTTCCCACAGAGCCATATTCGATCCGGTCGTAGCATATTAGAACTGGCTACAATTACCATCTCATCGCACCAGTTTAGCCGCCGCTCGCTACGAAAAATGTCGCACCAAACCCCAGACGTTCTCTTGTGTCAGAAAAGAGCGAATATCGCTGGACGGCAGCGGGTATGAATCTGAACCGTACTACTTCTGGGGGCCGGAAAAGGGCCAGTAGCGTAGCTCTTGCGGATGTGGGAAATGTGGCTAACGACTCTGTAGCAGGAGCAGGTCTTTCTAGACTTCCTGATGACATACCTCCAGATATGGCGGTTTTACTCCAGCAGTTAGAAGATGATTTTACCATCAACAAAACCATAGATCAGTGGACATACATCAATCGGCGTGAGGAAATCATGCAGACAGTGAACCGGCTCCATCAAAGCTACAAAGACGAAATTACCTTGGACGGGACCCGACTAGAAAAGCCATTGTGGCCACGGAGTCCACCAGATAGAGCTAAAGACTTGGTGACAGACCGATTAACAAAAATCTTGAAGAATAGAGCTGTTCTTTACAAAACAGAGCCTGCGTTTTTGTGTGGTGGACCACAAAGGTAAGGATGTTGCTCTGATCTCATGGGAGAAGTTGTATTCCAAAGCGCTCAAAATTGCCTACGATATCATGCACAAGTTGACATTGAAAGACTCAGATTTCGGTAGTTCTCTACTACAAAAGAGGGAGAGATATGCGAGTTTGCAACGGGCGCTTTTCGGGTTGTTTCATGGCAGGAGTCACCGCCATACCCTATCCACCAAGACATATTCTTTCCCAAGAAGTTTTGAGTATTGTCGCCTTGACCTCCTCCAAGTTAGTCCTCTACTCAGAAGCAGTGCTCAAAGACCTCGAAAAACTTCTCGGACCGGGATTGGGCCAAGCTTGGCCCACGAAACTAACTCGCTGGAAAACCACAGATTTCGGGTCGGCCAAAAAATCGGAAATTTCAAGCTGGCACTCAAAGAGTAACGATTCACTGCTGGAAAAAGGTGGCAGAGCGGACTTGGCTTACGTCGAGTTCTCGCGTTCTCCAGTGGGTGAGCTTCGAGGCATTGCCTTGACTCATCGCACTCTCATGCACCAAATGTGCACTCTTGAGTCCACCTTACTGAGCTTGCCTGAGTGTGAAGGTTCTTTGAGACGTAGCTACAAGGAAGTGACCAGAAACAGAAAGGTGTTTCTCGCTTCCTTGGACGTACGATTCTCCATTGGTTTAATTATCGGTATCCTTTTCACGGTGTATACCGGGAATGTCCTTTATTGGGCTCCACAGTCTGTGATGGAAGTACAGGGTCTCTACGCCAACATTGTTTCCCGCTTAAGGGCCTCATTACTTCTTGGTGACTATATTGGCTTGAAGAGAGTTACCTACGATTATCAACAATCACCTAATTCAACCCGGTATTTTTCTAAAACCCAAAAAGTCGATTTTTCTTCAGTCAAGTGGGTGCTTGTGAATGCCTTGACAGTAGACGGCGAGTTTATCAAGGTTTTATCTAAGCGATATTTGCGTCCTTTGGGTTGCAAACAGCCAGATAATGCAATCGTACCAATGTTGACTCTAAGTGAATATGGAGGTATGGTCATTTCTTTGCGCGACTGGCTCGGAGGCAGAGAAAAGATGGGGATTGACCTTGAAAACGAAAAAGATGATTCTTCCAGTGAACTATCGGGTGTCCTAATTGATAAGGAGGCATTGACCAGAAATTTATTAAATGTGGTTGATACAGATCCTTCATCTTACGACGAAATCCCTAGTGGAACTCTTAGAGTGGATGCATTTGGATTTCCATTACCCGATGCTACCTTGGCAGTTGTCAACCCAGAGACTGCTGCTTTAGTAAATAAGGGCGAGCTAGGCGAAATCTGGATTGACAGTCCATGCTTGTCGGGAGGTTTCTACGGTCTCAAAAAAGAGTCAAAACTGATTTTTCATGCTAAATGCAGAGATGCGAACGGGTTCCTAGATATGGAATTCTTACGAACTGGTTTGCTAGGCTTCACTTTCAACGGGAAGGTATACGTTCTCGGCTTGTACGAGGACCGAATTCGTCAGAGGATCAGCTGGCACGATCAGGCTATATATAAGAAGCTCAACAAGGAGCTTGTTATCGGTAATGGTACCAGGTATCACTATTCCTCACACTTATTAGCGACGTTGGCGAGCGAAGTTCGGCAACTTTACGACTGCACCATTTTCGATGTGTTTATTGGACAAGAGTACCTTCCAGTTGCTATTGTTGAAGCAGAAGTCATTCGTAAAGTAATGAACGAAGCAAGTGACAGTGGAAGCATTGATAGTTCAAAGAAAAGTTCCAAGAGTGGGGAGTATCTGACACAAAGTTACAGCCCAGTGCCTCTTAATGAGCCAGTATTGAACGCAATTGCCCAAAAATGTTTCGATACGCTTTTCCGTGAACATTACCTTCGTTTATACTGTGTTCTCGTCGTGGATTGCGATACTCTTCCAAAGATTATGCGAAGCGGTGGACGTGAAATTGCTAATATGCTTTGTAAAAAACGGTTCTTGGAAGGTTCATTGAAAGCAGAGTTTGTCAAGTTCTTCATGCAAAAGTCTATCAGTATGATTCCTTTCGGTGAAGACATTATTGGTGGAATATGGTCGCCCTTTGATAGTAAGCTTCGCCAGTCATCCTTACAGCAATTCCCTCCTCAGTGTACTAGTATTGATGCTAGAGAGAAGTCGTTTGATGAAAAAACCGGCGCAATTCTAACTGACTTCAAATCCATCGTGGATGTTCTTAAGTTCAGAGTGGCCAGTTCAGGTGACTCTATAGCTTTTCAGAGCATCGATAGTTCAGGTAAGGTAAGCTCGAAGCCCTTAACATGGAAAAAACTCGAAGCCCGGATATATGCTGTTTGCAGTTACTTGATTGAAAAAGCAGCAATCAAGCCAGGAAAGCATGTCATACTCATGTACTCGTTGTCTGAAGAGTTCATCATTGCCGTTTACGCTTGCATGATGTGCGGTATTATTCCAATACCTATGCTTCCATTCGATACGAATAGAATTGGAGAAGACTTCCCTGCGTTTGTGGGTATAGTCAAAGACTTCGATGTCCAAGATATCTTAGTCAATGAAGAAGTTGAAAAATTTCTTAAAAATGGACCCGTGGCTGATGCCCTAAAAAAAATGAACCACCAGAAGCGGTTCAAGGGTCAACGAATAAAAAATACTGGCAAATTAACGAAGTTTTCGAACATTGCATCGTTACACTCAAAAATTGCAAAGCACCAAGCGGCGGTCAATTACCGTGATACTACTACTCCAGCATTGGTTTGGTTGAATTTTACCTCTGACCATTACCGGGTGGGAGCAACTTTGACCCATAAAAATATTATTGGACTATGTAAAGTTTTCAAGGAAACCTGCAACTTGTCGTCAAGATCGACCATAGTTGGCTGCGTTCGTCATGCTAGTGGTATTGGGTTTGTACAAGCTGTACTTCTCGGTGTTTTCCTAGGTACAACAACGTACTTATGCTCGCCGGTTAGCTTTGCAGAAAATCCTCTTGCATTCTTTTTGGCCATGGCAAGATACAAGGTGAAAGACGTATTTGTGACCGAGCAAATGTTGAAGTATGCTGCTATAAAATTCACTCCTAAAGGTTTCGACTTATCTCTGTTGAAGAACATGATGATAAGTACGGAAGGAAGGATAGAGATTGATCTTCTTCGAAAAATCTCAAAGGTTTTTCAACCCACTAAATTGGGTGCGGCGTCAATGTCAACAGTGTACAACCATGTGTTCAATCCGATGATTGCTACTAGGTCCTACATGAGTGTTGCGCCTGTGGATTTGTTCTTAGATCCAGTTGCACTTCGCCAAGGTTTTGTCTCGGTAGTCAACCAGGCTGAGGTTCCTAATGCGCTACGGGTTCAAGATTCGGGCTTAATTCCCGTTTGCTCCCAAATAGCTATAGTCAATCCTGAGACAAGAGAACTTTGTCATGAGGGTGAATTTGGTGAGATTTGGGTCAACTCCGAAGCTAGTCTTGATTCTTTCACAAATGGGCCCAATGGTCCCCTGGACGAAGTTACCAAGAACCAATTCAACTGTAAGATTGTGAACGGGGATCCGAACATGACCTACTTGAGAACTGGTGATCTTGGATTCCTTCACAATGTTTCCATCACCAAGAACTCTGTTGGCAATGGCCCTGACACCGGTCCTCAGTTTCAGTCCGTGCAACCACTTTTCGTTCTTGGAAAAATTGCCGACACTTTTGAAGTGATGGGGCTCCATCATTTCCCTATAGACATCGAGAATACGATTGAAACATGCCATAACGATATCTACAGAAATGGCTCGTGTATTTTTAAGTGTGCCGATTATACTATAGTCGTTTGTGAGTGCAAGAGATACAGAAACCTAGCAGCTCTCGTTCCGCTAATTGTGAACACGGTACTAAGCAAGCATCATCTTATCGTTGATATTGTTGCTTTCATCAAAAAAGGTGAATTTCCAATATCCAGACTTGGTACCAAGCAACGTGCAAGAATCATCGATGCATGGGTACAAGGTGTGATACCCATCAGTGCCCTGTACGGAGTGAACTATGGAGAAAATGCCATGATTAAAATGGTGAAGGAAGTTGACGAAGAGGCATTGACACATCCAATTACTGGACTTCGTAACCCTGCAACTTCCTATTACGATGAAGAATTAGGTGGTGATGTTTTTAATGGCACAGCAGCCAGCCTCACCTTGAACGAGATGTATGGATAATAACCAGTACCAGCGACTACATTGACCCTCCTTTAGCTACCTTACATCTTACACATACACTAATGACAAGATATACCCTACACTTCATCTCTAACGGCTGGGCATCCAACCACCACAGATTCATAAGTTAAGTTCTTCTCAAAAAATCTCAGCTGCTATGGTCAACCACAACACTCGGTCTGTGAGTCCACAGAGCATACCGAGATCGGAGTCTCTGCAACTTTCCTTGAAGAGAGGATTGCGATCCGCCTTTGGTAATATTATCGATAAATTTCGATGGAAACTGAACGAGAATCATGATTCCGACGCTAAAAATAATGCTACTTTTGAAACTGAGGCTGCCATGAACGACGAATTACAAAACAATTTCACTTCAGTAAAGAAAAGGCGACTTTCCTACTTGCCAAGAGATCCTCCTGGAAACGTTCCGAGATCTAAGACTCTTGGAAGTAATAAAGGCATATACCAAACGTATTACGATTCAATCCAAACTTTGAATGATGAAAAAAGTAACGATTTGGAAAAGAGAGTAAGCGATGTTAATGACGGAGTCTCTGTTCCAGAAGATGACTTTAGGGATCCATCGCCGGGTGCACTTCCTACCTCGCAACTTGGTCCCATTTCCCGCAACCAATCCATAGTTGAAGAAGGTCAACTAGTCAACTTTAGTTACCATGATGAAGACGAGCAATCTCCTCGCGGAGAGTTGGCTCCCCTTGTTATCGAGCATGAATTTGCCCCAATGTATCACGACTCAGAAGGTAACATTGCCCGCCCTGCATTCATAAATATTGACCCTCGCGAAAGATACCACTTGATCCAACTTAAGAGGTCAATAGAAGCATCCGAAGCCCTTCAGCGACGGCTAAAGTACATGGTGGATCCGAAGGAAACGGTTTCCAGAGCTGTGGACGCGACAAAGGTAGAGACGTCTACACAAACTCACGACTCTTCGTTCTTGGAGACTACATTGACGATGAAGAACAGAAAAAAGAGAGCCATATCTACACTGACTCAAAACTCCACCAAAAAGAGAAGAACTGTGAATTCGCGCGGCTTTTTCTCTGGTGATTTTCTGTATGATGTTGATACCAAGGTGCCTGGCAAGGCAGAATCATTAAATGGGTATCTTGGTTCTCTCAGTAAAGTCAGTTCCAAGAGCCTGGCTCCAGAAGCCAAACCTACAAAAACAACTGAAGATTATGACCCACCATACAAAAAGTTTGCTACCGATTTTGCAGGAACTACCGATAGACGGGTGGGGCTCGACAAGTCGTTCAAAAGTGGAGAGAAGATATGTGTAAAGCTTGACAGCGAATATTTGGAGAAGGCTGGGAAACTAGCAAAGATACTCAACATACAGGATGCAACAAAGACTACAGATAAGAAACCAACTGCGTTCCCAAGCTCAGGTTTCAAATTCTCCATCGACAATGAAGAAGTTACATCCGCTATGAATAATTTAGAGAAGTCGGAAGAGAGTACGCCAGTTTCTGTCCCCGATAGTGTTACAGCACCACCAATAAAGGAGGCGAGTGCTAATGGAAGTCTGCGCTTTAAGGTCGATGACAAGAATTCTGTGCGCGAGAAGCCTTCGATAGGTCTTTTCTCCACCGCGAATAGAGCAGGACTTTCTGATCGCTCTTCGGCAGCTTCCGACACCAATGGAAAGGTGGAAAGTAGTGCAACTCCAGTACCAACCTTTAGCTTCGGTAGCAAAGGCGAGGAAAGTAGCACACTGGCCGAGCCAAGAACGAAGAGGACACGGGAGAGTGACGAAACTACAAACACAGACGCTGGTGGCTTGACTAGTGGCAATAAAGAGACAGAGACAGAAAAGCCAAAGCCCTTATTCAGCTTTGGATCCAAGGACTCTTCTAGTGATAAAGGTACTGGCATTTCCAGTGCTCCAACTTTTTCATTTGGTAAGCCAACCGCTTCACCTTCACCTTCCGTGGTACCTGATAGCAAGAAAGATGGAGCGGTGTCATCGACGTTCAATACTGGCACCACACCATCGTTCTCTTTTGGAACCACTAAAGAGGCATCGAAAGATAAAGAAACACCATCGTTCACTTTTGGATCTACTAAAGAGAAACCCAAAGATAGTATAACACCATCGTTCACTTTTGGAACTACGAAAGAGGCACCCAAAGATGATGAGAAGAAGGATTCTGAGGAAGCAAAAAAGGCGGCACCGGCATTTACATTTGGTGGTCAGAAGAATGCTGATCTGGCCGCTAAGAGTGGAACATCTACACCATTAGAGCAGAGCAAGAGCAACCTTGATTTTAGTTTTGGAAACAAAACCAGTTCGGCTACGTTGCTTGGCTCCAACAGCACTGCTCCCGCAAAACCCTCCTTCAATTTCGGGCAAACTACAGAGCCAGCACCTGCTTTTGGGGCAGCTAAAGACGACAAAAAGGAGACTACGCCATTCACATTCGGCGCCCCCTCGGCTACTGCGAAGCCAGCTGGCGGCGAACAACAAAGCAACCCCACAAAACCATTGTTCTCCTTCGGTGCTAATAATGGAACCAACTCATCTGGTCAGAGTCCAGCACCTCCATCCACTACATTTACGTTTGGAGGGAACAAAGACAATAACACATCAAAACCATTCACTTTTGGCTCCACAACCCCAGCTACAGGATTTGCAGCCTCCAGGACCCTGTCGCCGTCGTTTCCTACACAAAGCGGCGCACCGGCTCAAGGTGCACCTGCATTTGGCGGGGGTTTTACGTTTGGACAGACGGGACCCCACACTCCAGGTCCCCCAGCCGCGGCGCCAGGATTAGCAGGTGCAGGAGGTGGACCCGCAATGGGTGCAGGAGCAAACCCAGCTCCCGCTTTTAGCTTTAGTTTTGGTTCTCGTGAACCAACACCAGACCCTGCATCAATATTTGGAGCAGGTTCGAGTAACACTCGAGAACTGACACCAGCGGCGCCATTGGGATTTGCGACCCAAAATCAGAACCCCAACACCAGCTTCACCCCACCTCCCTTATCCGGGAACCCGATGGTGCGAAATCGAAAAATTGCCCAAATGAGGCTGCGAAGGCGGTAGTGTGGATACCGCATAATATTTCATGTGCAATAGCGGTGTCGAACCCCACTTATAAACCTATAAAGCACACGAAAATTGCTGACAGTTCACAATTGCTGGTCGGTAGTAGTTAGTGAGATTTTAGATTCGTGGCTTAAATTCACAATGCAAGACTGGAGTCATATTCAACCGGGTAGAATCCAAACGCTTTCTAGCGAACAGGAGATTGTGCTCAAGCAGGTTTGGGCTCACTTTCTCATCTATTTTGGATATGAACTGTCCTTTCCCATAAGCGATTTGCCCTATAATGAATGTTATGTTGCATCTTCAAGTGTTCAGCAAGGTGGAAACATTGGTGGCGATGCCAATGGCTTGGCAAGAAGCTCCACCAGAGGTTCGCTCAATTCCAATGTATCACGGAAAACCAGTGGAACTACCGCTAGTAAAAAGAAGGGATTCTTTGGTAAAAAGAAGACTGAAACGGCTGAGGCTGCCCCCGCCGATCTGAAGCGTATGCAACAAATTCAACAGCAATCGTCATACGAAAAGTACCACAAGGTGACTGATAGCGAAATTTCTGATCGGAACAGAAACTTATTTATTCACTTTTACCGTCAGGGTGCCGAGTATGAGGATGATTACGATTCGGATTTGGAGAACAGCGACGAAGAGTCTGACAATCTTTCGTTGGAGACATTTGTTACCGCCTCCACTTCGATCACTGATCCTGGAATTGCTCTCGAGCCAACTCCTATGAAGTCCAATGGTGCTAGAAATGGCTCTCTCAGCAAAACCACGAGTCGCCATCACCACGGCTCTCACAAAAACCATGGCAAACCAAACCCCACCGTTTCGTCGGTCATGTCCAAGTACAAGCCATTTGAAATCCACCAGGCATTGATGCGTGCAAACAGACTGGACTTGTTTGACAATTTCATCTTGAGATTCGTGAGAGCAAGAAAGTTGAAGCTTGAACCTGCTCTCAATATGATGTTCAAGTCTTTGAACTGGAGATACAACGAGATGCCTTGTGACGACTATCTTTTCGAAGGTGATGCAAAATCCTTCGTTACAGGAACAAACAAAGGTTTGATTAAGAATTTGACCACGTCGAAATCTTACATTAGAGGAGTCGACAAGAAGCGTCACCCAATCTTCTTCTTCAAAGCTCGCTTGCACTACAGTTCTGATTCTCCTATTGAAGAGACTCAAAGATTCGCAGTGTTGACCATTGAGTCTTGTAGATTGTTTTTGAGAGACGTTACCGATGGTGTCGACCAATGTTCGATTTTGTTCGACTTGACCGGATTTACCTTGAAAAACAATGATTACAGCGCCATCAAGTTCTTGGCTGAAGTCTTTGAGGCCCACTTTCCAGAGTGTTTGGGATACATTTTCATCCACAATGCCCCATGGATTTTCTCCACCATTTGGAACATTATCAAAAACTGGTTGGACCCAGTGGTTGCTTCGAAGATCCAGTTCACCAAGAACTTGCAAGAATTGAACCAGTTTGTTGATATTGAGCATATTCCAGACTATATTGGTGGTGAAGATACTTACGCTGGAGAGTACATTGAGCCCACTGAAGAGCACACTCATCCACCAAAGTCAAAGGACAGCCATTACTACCGTTTAAGACGAGAGAGAGAAAATCTTCTTCTTAGACTTTTCGAGACAAGTAGACGGTGGGCCGAATCCGTCAACCCAGAAGTGAGCAGTCGCTACTTGCAAGACAAGCTTGACTTGGACATTGAGTTGGCCAAGAATTACATTGCTCTTGATCCATACATTAGATGCCCATTCCTCTACGATAGGAACGGGTCTCTTAAATTAGGCATCTAGATTGCCGAGCATTAATGTGGACGGTATATCAAAAGTTCTCTTGAGGAGCATTTTGTTTTGTGAATGTATTGTGAAGTAGTGAAATTGTAGCCGCTCTGAACCTTTCCCAATGCGGTAATTTTCAAGATCTTAATTCTAAAACCTCCAACTCAACATTTTTCTCTTCCGTGGGCTCACATGTGATCTGCGAGATGCGGAGTTAGCAGGATCTCCGCAGCTTTACTGTTTCACGTCAAACCAGATCATTGTGCAGGCTTCCTGTAGAGCCGATATACTGTTGGAACCGTCCGAGTATGACGTAATCAAGTACATTGTTCAGCCATAGTGGGGTTTGTGAATATCAATGCAAAGACTTCATATATAATTATAAGTTCCATCGACATTTGAGCCCATATTTATATTTAATCGAATGAGATGCAGAGGAAAGAATTAAAGCATTTCATATTACTCGAGTTTCCACAATTAATTTTCAGTTTCCACTTTAACGTTTCTTCATCTGAAAGCCTTCCCGTGTAATCGCACGACATACTTATGTAAGTCAAAAGTCTTCTATATTCACTTGAATGCATCCTCATGCAATTAGACGGTAGATACAGCAGCTTGAGGTGTACTGGTTCAGACACCTCTTTTCAGAATTGTATGTGATTTATAAAAACAACATCCACACACCACATGTCACTTACTGTCCCGATTGGTTTAAGATTCTATATCGAACGATATTATCAATCTGACCACAAAATAAACATTGATGTCGAGACGAGCCGCCAGAGGTAGGTCGCAAGTAGAAAGTACCAAAGTGGAAGGAGAAGATGTTGTAGAAGACGAAAATGATGACTTTAATGCTGATGAAGAAGACGAGGTAACTCGTTGTGTGTGTGGGAATGATGAACTCAATACCGACGGAATCAATTCTGAACTTCAAGAGTTGTTACAGAGTGAATACGGCATCAAAATAGACGTGGGTCTCTTCATACAATGTGATAAATGCTCAGTTTGGCAGCATGGTTATTGCGTGGGATTATTTATTGACGAAGACGTTCCTGATAAATACTGGTGTGAACAGTGCAAACCAGAACTACACATAATAGTCAGTGATGAAGACGGCTCCAGTGAGAATCGAACATTGTACAAACCTGTTAATGACAAACGAAAAAGATTGCTTCTCGAAACACCAACTGCAAAAAATGGGAGATCTAAATCGGCTGCTCCCCAATCCGAATCCACTTCTCTGTCGCCTTCGTTGGACACTCGTCACTCCCGTAAGGATAGGAATCGGAATTTTGACCCATACGATGAACAATTGAAAAAGGCACTCAGGGAAAGCGCCAGAGAAAGTGGACTCGCAGTGGAGAGTGGTGATGATAAAGAAAGTGGTACCAGGCGCAGACCTCGTCTGGATGCTGAGACAGTCAAACGCCAAAGGACAGAAGTGACGACGGACCATACCGATGACGGTGAGACCACAACGACTTCTAAAAAACGCACCAAGGTGACGAGAGCCAAACCAAAACCTAGACCAAAACCGAAAGAAAAAGAATCAACAGTCCAGGATGATATTTCTAGAGAGGAGCTTGTGAAGCAACCATCAAAACCCCGATTTGTCAATGACAAATCCTCGATTTACGAATTACGAAAGCGCACAGGAGCAATCCTTGAGTGGCTCGGTCGCTCTCAACTAGAATACCAGGAGGAGCGAAACAACAAAAAGATCATATTTGACTACAAGGAGAACGGTGAAGTTCCTTCCGAATCGCAAAAAGTACTCCAGAGTTTCGATGAGAACCTCGCATCCATGGAGGAGCTTACTCGTGGGATATTTGCTTGGGAAGAAAAATATGGCAAGTACGCACCATAGTTCAGCTTACTCATTTTCACTTGTCATATATTCACGAGGCAAAGTCAGTACCATATAACCATCGTTTATCTGAGTGAGTATGGTCACCTGACCTATAAAACTATTCCTTTATGGTGGGTCAGTTTTACGTTGTAATTCTTCCATGAAGCTATTGCTGGAAATGCTAACACCATCACACATAAAGCTGCAATGCAACTGTTCTTTTGAGTTTGGCCCCATGCTTGATTAATGGCTTTTCTCTCGTCGCTGCCGACCGGATAAAGCATTTGTGTAGTATAACCACCAAGATAAATCTCAGTTGCGTTGGGTTTAGCACTCTCGGGTAAATTCTTGTAAAGAGTGCTAGGGAATGTGTTGGTGTATATTGCGGCAGCCACAGCAGAACCGATCGCTCCACCGAGGTTTGACCAAAGCCCAAGAAGCGAGAGGATCATTGGAATCTCGCCAATATCTGCTGCGCATAAACCTGCAACTTCATTGCCAATGATTAAAGTACCGCCAGAAAACGCAAGGAAAATTTGACACATAATGATGTATCCAATATTAGACTCTTGACCACGAAAGCGGACCATTAGACCGGCACCAAGCATCATGAGTGGAAGTCCAAAGTAGAGGCAAGCCTTTTTGAACCTATTGACCTGACGAATGTAAAGGCCGAATAGCACTGACCAAATTACTGATCCCACAGTGTAAATTTGTGCCATATATCCTGCCATGGATACGCTCAAGTTGTACACCACGATTACAAAATTGTAATATTGAGCATCCCAGCAGTAAAAGTTGAAGAAAATGCATGCAGCAAGAACGCAGGAACCCAAGACGGTGCGGTCCCGGAACAACTGCCATTTGATAAAGTGGGTTCTTGCAAAGTACTTCTCCCATATCCCGAAGACAGGAATCAAGAGTCCACCAAGAACCACCATAATGATGAAAGTGACACTTTTGTACTCGGTTCTTCCGTATGTTTTCAAGCTAAAAGGGAGTAATAGGAGAATGAACGCAGATGACAAAACGAATGCACCCACAATATCAAAATCGTGAAAATAATGTACAATTGATTGCAACGTTGTGCGTCCTTTGTCGACCTCATTGAGAATGCCTTCTTTTTTCGCTTTCTTTTCGAAATGTTTGAATAAGACTGCAAGGGGAATAAATGTGACGGTTTGAACTATGGCAAAGGTACCGTATGCCCAACGCCAGGAGGACATTTTGATGAAGGATTGCGCAGCAAGTGGCCCGGTAAAAGCAGTGCATAGTGTTGGTGTACCAACAAAGGCATATGCTAGTCCCCTGTTACGCAATCCTGAAGCATCAGCTACGAAAACACTGAGAATAAACCCCAATGACTGGTAGCCTACCGAGTGCAAGACGTATCCAGCCGCAAATGAATCCGGACCCGTGCAAGCAGCAGACACAATTAGACCAAGAACGTACACCGATAAGACAACGAGAAATCCCTCTGCACGGCCCCAAATGGTCAATGCTCTACCGATGGGTAATTGCAACACTCCACCGATTATAGAGGACAAAATGAAAGCAGTATTTATTTGTGGTGCAGCAGCAAAATCCGCATAAGCATAATACATGATGTTCGATGCGATGGAAGACTGCAAATTTAACAAGAAGAAACATACCCAGATCCAAAGGAATGTAAAGTATACTGCAGTCTTGCTCCACACAAGAAGTGTCGCTTCCACCTTTGCGGCTCCGAGAAGAATAGCATCTTGCGGTTGGTCGGAGCTTTCGCCCCTTTCAAACTCGAGCAGATCTTCATTCTGTGCACTTGTTTTTACAGCAACCTGGGTCTTTTCTTCGTTTTGCAGCCCAGCCAACAGAGAGATTTCAGTAGGCTTGATTTGCTCAGAAATCGACGGTTCCTTCAATGCTTGATTAAAAGTTGACATGATGGTTACTTTCTGTGCTACAATATGCTACGATCTTACGAGGGCATCTTATAGTATTGCCTTAAGTCCTCGGGTCCGAAGAGGAGCTTAAATAGCTCTTCGTATATCGCACTGCATTCGCAGCATGTCAATGAGCAAATTATAACCACTATAGTCATTTCGAGCAAATTATGTATTTCCTTTTAAGGACGTATATCCCGCTTGACCCATTAAACGTGCTCAAGTATTTCTTCTTAACAGAAAAGGTTCAATTCAGGAGCTCTTATCAACATACTTACTATGCTGTCTTCAATTGAGCTGTTGGGTGAGAAAATAGCCTTGCCAAAACTTGCTTGGAAATATGACGAGTTAGAGCCATTTATCTCGGGGGAAATCAACCGGATACACTATGAGAAGCACCACCAAGCCTATGTGGATGGCTACAATAAGTCTTTTCAACAGTTGATCGAGGCTAAACTCAAAGGTGATGTGAGTAAGGTTGTTGAGTTACAGTATGCTATCAAATTTTTCGGTGGTGGCCATGTCAACCATGTTCTCTTTTGGAGAACGTTATCGCCACCTTCGTGCGAGGGTGGTGATAGACCTAGCGAAACGTCTGCTCTTGGTAAGCAAATTACGGCCCAATTTGGTTCGCTTGAGAATCTCATTAGTATTACCAATGCAAAATTGGCAAGTATCCAAGGTTCGGGTTGGGCTTTCATTGTAAAGAACCCAGAGCTTGGCTCTATTTTGGAGGTTGTAACCACTGCAAATCAGGACACCGTCGCTGCACCTTTAGTGCCACTTATCGCAATTGACGCTTGGGAACATGCATACTATTTACAGTATCAAAATGTCAAAGTGGATTACTTTAAGGCTATATGGAACGTTATCAATTGGAAGCAAGCTGAGCGTGTATTTGAGGCGATTTGATCCTTTTAGTGGTATGTATAGACCGTTAGTGCTTTCAATCTTTTATCAAGTTTTACCGCGTAGTTGAAAGATATTGTACGAGCGAATAGCAAGATTACATTTGAAAGGAGCTTAGGTCTCGTCAACTATCGTGGTATTGTTCTATATCATAATGAACATTTTCGCAACATTTTCTATTTTTACAAAAGTTCACGTAATTGGGCTTTCCTATCTGCCCTTTCTGCCAAGTGAGCTTCCTCATCGTTGGTTGCATCATATAGGTCATGGAGCCAGCTACTACTGTTAAGAACTTTGTCACCACCAAGAAGAACATTGATACTTGGATTGGACGCACTGAGTTCGTGGACTAGTCTTGCCTCTTCGTATGTAACACCTCCCTTGATATAAACAATGATATCTTGCGCTGGTTCATTGGAGTTCACATTGCCATACTGGTTTTTTACTGCGTCCGGTACCAAAGTCGAGAGCTTGGCAACAGTCTCATGTGCTTGATTGGAGGGTCGAATTATGGGGCTGAGGATATCATTGAGCACAGGTATGTATTGCATGAATACGTTATCCGGTTGTGTGCGATTATTGGAGCTATTGAAAAGCTGATTGATGCTGATCTTTTTGTTGAAAAGGTTGCTGATATTATTGGTGTTGTGTGATGAGGTTTCGAATAATCCTCCTGTGTTAAACCTCTTTCCAAACGACTTCATAAGAGAGATTTGTGACGCAGAAGGTGGAGGGGAAGTAAAGCCGGGATTCTCGAGTCTGGAGATAAACGTCTCAAGGTCAGAATATGCGTGAAATCTTGCCATATAGAGCAAGACCAACTTAATTTTATTTGTGGTCGAGCAACTAGAAGTTTCAAGAATAGACAACAAACGTGGCTTGATTGATGCTTGCGATTCCAAGTTTGATGCAATAATTTGCTGAAGTTCTCCTATTTCCCACATGTTTTGAGCTGATATATGATTGTCAATCTCGCTAATGATGTTGAGGTGTTTCAAGATATTGTTCAGCAATTTACGAAATTGAGGAAACTTGGTTAGCATATTTTTCAACTCGACCAAATTCTGCGTCTTGAGATTCTCAATCGATGACAGCTTGGTTTGCTTCTTGTAATCTTCCACATATTTTTGAAACTTATCTGTCAAGTCTCCATAATTGAGATATATAGACTCTTTGAAAAAAACATCATGCGAATCGGAGAGTGTAATTGGTTCTTTGGCCAGTTTGAGCTGCACGATATTCTTGTCTATGCCTATTATTTCGTGAATCATCGACTGATATGTCCATGGCATAAGGAGAGGTGTAATAGGGTCGCACTTTCGGTCCAATAGAAGAAGCACGGGTGGTCGGTCGGATTTCTTGTTAAGATCTTCAAAGAGATTATTGTTAGAATTCGAGTTTATGGCATAGAGAAGTTCTGAGCTCAATTTTTTGGCGGATAATGAGTTTGAGTCGAATTTGATGATTGGGCACTTTTTGAGCGAGAGCAATAAACTGATAAGACAGTTGGACTCTTCTATGAAGGGATTCGCAACATCACGGGGAATGTCCAAGGTAAACAAGTTGTCATTAATCGTCAAATAATCCTGGAACAATTCCACAACTCTTTGTACCAGCTCATAGTCGTCGGCCTCGGCAATTTGCTCTAGCTGTGACTTGTTGGCCATGTTATTGAAGAAGAGGCGATAGTTCTTGAAATGCGGATTTCTCAATTCCTTTGCCAATGCTGATATCGATGCCACTGTTGGCTTTATGTATACAATACAATTCATATGTTTCATGTAGCTAAGCTGGTCTTGATTTTCCAAAAGTTCAATCAAAACAATTTCCTGCTGAAGAAGTTGCGTTTGCGTGTAGCACATTGATACTACCGAAGTTGTAGTACGATCTAGCAATAGAACTTTTGCCAGGACATCGTTTGCATCTCCTTCTTTCTTATTCTTGAAGAAAAGCTGGTCAAAGTACGTGTCTCGTACCTTTGCTAAATTCAACGTCATGAACACTTGAGATCCGTGAAACGATTGAGAATTGGGTATAGGACTGCATACCGATCAGTAGTCTATCAAATATATTGATGGCTCTAAATCTAGTTTTAATCTACAAATGTTCCGAACTGGGATAGTAAAACTCCTTGAGCGGAGCCACAGGCGTGGGTAATCCACCCAATGGATGTGAGGACCTGTACTTTTGTAAAGTTTGTAGCTCCCCTCTGGGGTACATGCTGGGTTGCGGTTCGTCAACAGCTTTCTCAAGAACCAGTGCAAGTTTTCCAAGCACTGCGTTTTGGGTTTGTACCAATGAGTTTTCGGCTAAGTATTTCAGCACCTTGTCTGCAATCTTGCTGGTATCACTCTCGCCTTCCAACAACTCTTCAATCTTTTCGGACTCCACCTGGATGCCCTCACTGTAGAGGAAATTATTCAACGCACATTGAACAAGTTTTGCTTTAGCAACAGGAGGTACTCTCTGAGATTTCAAGTGGAGTACAGCTCTACTTGCGAGCTTGGACTCTGGATGAATTAGACTTTTGAAGAATTCAACAAATTCTTCTTGGGTAATGTTCTCTAGCTCACCAGCATGTTTAGCCCTTGGCTTCAAAATCGTAATATCCATCAGCTATCGCCTCCCAGAAACGCGATACTTCTTCGCTCAAATTCTTCAACTTCGTCAACTTCTTATCCTTAAGGGCTTGCTTGAAACCATCGAATTGTTCGGCAGTAAGCTCGTTCACATATACCGAGAAACGTTTCAAAAATTCCTCGATTCTGTATTCCAAGTAAGAGGTCAGACGCTCTGACTGGATCAAGATCCTGAAACCGATAGCCGTGCGTGAGAGACGCACACCCGAGAATACAACATAACCAAGTTGTTCCTTAGTTCTGAGTTGGTTGAAACAAGGTTCGTGCATGATCGTCTCAAGCAAATCGGTGAGGGTTCTTTTCCGAATATCACTCAAAGAGTTCTCTATTTGAATGTAATACTCAATACAAGAGTTCACATTCTTCTCATCCATCAAGTCCATTTCGACTCTTACCGTTTCACCAGGTTGGAGTATGTGTGACTGGAGCCTAACGACATTGTCAATATCATTTTTCGAAGCTCCAATAGCTCTAACGTTCCTGAATTCGGAATCAATGCTCGAGCTGATTCCGCATGCCTTTTCATAGCTGAAGTTACCCTGAATGTGGGCTTCACCGAACAATCCCAGCTCCCAAACCTTGGAACAAAACAAGCCGAACCCCTCAAAATCAACGTTATTTTGCAAAACTTTTACTCTATCTTCATGAGTGTACGTTTTATCGTTCATTATCACTGACATGTGAGTTCCAATTTGAATGTAGGGGACGTTATACCCGAAATTAGTCAAGTCCTGAATCATCTTGTATTTCAATGTCTCAAATCGATCCTTTTTGGGAACGAATGATTTGATCTTTGAAAGAACCGTTTCCAACAAGACAGGTAATTTGTCGTTGTACCCACTAACCTTGACCAACAAGCCATCTCTCCAGTGGCTGAGTTTGAAAGACATGCCCACCAAGGAAGCATAATAAACAATATCAGTCAATTCATCAGCGACAAGTTCTGCCATTAACATTGAAAAAACCGATGACTTGCAATCAGTGTTAGTGTCAGGCAAATGCAAGAGAATCTCAATTGTACCCTTGGGAACTAAGAACTGATCATCTTGTTTGAACCAAACCTGGAATTTAGAGGTATCTGATATTAAGAAAGGATGCTTCAATGGCTTCTCCAGCTTTTTATTTGCAACATCAAAGTTCTTGGGAATGAAAGGATTCGGACGTGGGAAATGGAATCTGTCGTTTTTCGCAGCCAGCTTGGCACGCTCCAACAACGATGAGTCTATAGTAGATAAGGAGTAGTCAGTTCCGTACCACTTTTCTTTCATGTCGAGTCCTTCCAACTTTTTCGAAATCAAGGTGATTCTGGCATTCTCTGGAAAAAGATATGAGCCAAATTTGGTTATAGCCTCTGGATCAAATTTGCGATTGATTGAAGAACTCAAAAGATGAGTGGGTGGTATGAATGAATTGTCCCAAAATTTGTATAAGCTGCTACTCATTTTCGAAACCGTTGAAGCAGCACCTTTCTTTTGGCGGAATTTGAAGTCAATTTCTGACATCAACTTGATTTCTTCCCATAACCACTTTTGCGGTTCTTGAGTAGTGACCATGGAGATATACTCAAATACATTGACCACAATGTCTTGCCAATGGTCCAACCCAGCAGGAGTCAATTCGAACTCAATGATAAATAAAGAGCTTCCTTGGCACACCTTCATATTTCCAGCAGAAAGTTCATTAACCCAACTCTTTTCTTTAAGATAATGCAAAAGCGAGCCGGAGCTTTCGTGGCCCAACAAGTGCGAGAAGTATCCCGAGGGCTTACTCTCCCAGTATTCTTCTTGATCGTCAGGTATCATAAAGTTGAGTTCCAACTTGTTGCTATCCATAATCGGCTTGGCTTGCACAAGCTTGCCCAATTGTTCAGGAGCAAATATAACCGAGCCTTCATAATCTGGTCTTGAGAGGGACTTGTTAGGTATATCAGAGTAAAGATCAGAAACCCAAGTAGAAAGTGTATCTAAGTCTTCCTTACCCAACACAACCAAGCTCATCAAATTGGAGGAGTACTGGTTCAGGTGAAAGTCGATTAAGACATCTCTAACGTTCTTTCCTTGAGCTATTGGCTCTTCATGTAAAGTGTGGAAATTTCCGGTAGAGAAGCCAGAATATGGGTGAGATGGATTGCTGGTCAGTTTTTCTAGCTGGTAAAGTCTCCACATGTCGTTTTGCAAGTTCTTCTTATTTTCTGAATCTACTGCTCGGATCTCACGATCTTTACACGATTTACTGAACAAAGGTGCAATAAAGAACTGAGCAAACCGATCCAATGCGCCGAGAAAATGCCCTGAGCCCACCTCGAAGTAGTAGTTGGTATGCTCAGCAGCAGTATAGGCATTTGAGTGGCCAGAATGTTTTGCCAAATAGCTTGAATATTCATTTTCTTCAGGATATTTTTTTGTGCCCATGAACAAGAGATGTTCACAAAAATGAGCAAGGCCAGATACCTCATATTTTCTGTCTGCAAAGGCACCTACATTGACATCGAGTGAGGCAGCAGACTTGTCGGTAGTTGGGTCATGAATTACCAACGCGTGAAGGTCATTTTGAAGCTTTATGAGACGGTATGAACGGTCGTCTAGAAGTGGTTTTTCTATGGTTGTGGTGTCAGCAAGTACACGGAAGTTGGCGAGTGTAGGCATGGAGGCAGAAGATAAGATACGTTTTCCCAGCAAAAATATAGGTTTTGTGTACCTCGCTAGAACCATAAACTTGTTGCGGGCAAAATAACTAGCGAGGTAGACCAGGACACCGAAACATGGGGAAGATTAGACGAGAGATGAATGGGGTTAAGTATGTATTATGAGTGTTTGTGTATGATTGTGGGTGTTTGTGTATGATTATGAGTGTTCGTGTATGATTATGAGTTGGTGTGACTGCGACTCATTCAGTTACTTCACTTTTTTCACTTTTCGTTAAGGCCATTATAGTATCGATGTTTTCGAGAAACGTTCCAACCAAGTAGGCAATGCTATCAAGTTTGGTGAAAACACTCACCAACACCGGGTCGGGGCTGGAGACTTCTATTTTCTTGTTGATCATTACCACCAGGTTGTTATAGGTGACACACTTGGTGACGTAGTCTATAGGGTCATAGCGATGCTTGAGCAGCAAATGCAGTAGAACATTTCCAAAAATCGTTGGAGTGGACGGACGACCAGCCGCGTTGACCGAGTTGTCGCCAGTATGATTGTGACTTATGTCATTTAGTCGCAGTTCGATATCGGCCATATTCAATGGCTGCGAAGGCACTATTGGAGTCAGAGCCGTTGATACCGTCGATTTAGTGGAAGCCGGAAGCCTCATTTCGTCACGAACATTGTCCACGTAGGACTTTCCTGACCTCGGATCGATTTCGCTCCATGGCTTTTCCTTGACAATGTGGAGGTGCTTTAAATCAATGCACACTTCGGCTCTGGTAACGTAGAGATCCACGGCAATGTTAGGTGTAAGTTCTGGCTCAAAAGATGTGGCAGGAGTGACATTGAGCGGAAAGATGAGGGCGGGGTCGCTGGGGATTTGAAGACTATTTCTTGCCACTTCCAAGTGGGAAAGGAGGTTGCGGAACGTATCTGAGAGCTGTCTATGGTTGTGCGCAGCTTGATGAGGAGAACAAGGCGAACAAAGAAACGCCGACGAGTCGTTTATGACAGAGTGGGCAGCATCTATAGCGGATCTTGCTGCAGAGACCTGTTTCAACACCACTGGTTTTCGAAGCACAAGTTTATTTAATACCTTGTTGAAATGAGGCTCTTTCAATTGCACTGCCAATTGGGTAATATAGTCACCATCTCTGGTCATAATTCCTTTTATGGCCTCCAGTTTCGTAGAAGACACCGGAAGCTTGATGGGAGGTCCACGTTCTTGGTGCTGGCTCAGATCTGGCACCAGAGGAGCGTTATATTTGAGAAGATTGGAACATATTTGTAGAGCTTCAGCGACGTGGGGAAGCTCGGGAATAATGATGGAGGAAACATACCAGTGTATTTCTGTGTCAGAATGTTGCTGCTGTAGGGCACGGAGCGCCGTGGAAGACATGCCAAAATTAGAGAAGCTGCCAGTAGGAGTTAGAAGCAGAGAGTAGGTTCGCACAGCTGGGGTAAGAGACTGCAGAGAAGGAGCAGAGCAGACGAGGCAAGTATACTGCATACGGCAGCAGCGCGCTATGGCCTTTGGTGCTCCTGCCCGCGTACTTTTCGTCCCGTGTACTTTTCCTCCCGCGAATCCCAACCCCCCCGTTGTTGTCGACCATATCTCCTGCACAACTATACAACACCAGTGCAGGAAGCCATACACACAGGACCCCACCATGCTGGCCCCTTCGACTTCTAATGAACGTACCACCGCAGGTTCTCGTCCCGACTACCTGAGCGCCGCAGCTACCGCCGCCGCCGCGGTCCTGGCCTCGAACGCCGGAATGTTGGGCGATGAACATGGACACTACAATCCGTATCCAGTTCTACAACAACAACAACAACAACAACAGCAGCAACAACAGCAACAGCAACAGCACCACGCGCACGTTGGTCATGCGCAGGTAGCCCACCATGGCCAGCACCCTGGTCAGTTACAACAGCTCCATACTCTCCAGCAATTGGGCGGAGAATTCGAGACAGCCGGTCCCAGCCAAGATGGAGTGCTCCAGAGTCGTTATATCGAGAACGAGATCATCAAGACGTTTCCAAGCAAGGCCGAGCTCGTCAAGTACGTGAAAAATGTGCTCAACGATTCGGAGCAATGTAAGATTGTCATCAACTCGTCGAAACCCAAGGCGGTGTACTTCCAGTGTGAGCGGTCTGGATCATTCCGGACCACCGTCAAGGATGCTAGCAAGAGACAGAGAGTGGCATATACCAAGCGGAACAAGTGTGCGTACAGATTGGTCGCCAACTTGTATCCGCAAGAAAAGGACAAGAAGCGCATCAAAAAGGGCGAAGATGGCTCGATTGACGATAAGCTCAACGACTATTCTGGCATTACCAGTGCCGATACCGGCGAGATGTGGGTGTTGCGGATGATCAATCCTACCCACAACCATCCTCCGGAACCTTCGTCGTCCAAGAAGAAGCGCCTGAAATTCACTCGTACTTTGGTCCAAAAACCATTGCACCGCGACCCTTCGGCCTACGGCCACGATATGGTGCTGCTCCCAGTGCACTCGCACCTTCTGCAGCACCCCCAGCTTCACGATGGCCATACCCCATCGGTAAATGACGCTGCCGTCATCGCAGCTATGGCGGCCACACCTGATGTGTCCATGCATCATCAGGCAAACCCACCCGTGGACCCCAACATCGACCCCAACGTCGAGGAGCAAGACCATGCCCATGGTCTCCACTAGTGTATTTTAGTGTATTTTAGGGTAAATATGTTTCTATGTTATCGTTTTTAATTATCAGCCTTTTGCACCCATTTTTCGCGAACTCTAAAGCAACTTTTCCCTAATGGTATTCTCCATGTTCCAGCGTGCAAAACAAAAGTTAGCCCAAACTACCGGCTGGGAAAGACTAAACCGGGGCTCAGTACCTGCCACTGAAGACCCCACTGACTCAAGTCCGCTTTTGAATGCCCCAGATGTCCCGCCCACAAACTCACACCAATCGCTCCTGGTCCCTGAATCTCACAATTCTACCTCCACAAAGTCGCCTCTGCCGGACCCATTTCCTCAAGTTTCAGAGCCTACAATCACCACCCATTCAGACCGTTTCCGTGCTCGTCCAGCAATAATTTCCCGCCAAGCATCTCACTCATCTCGAACATCCCGAACGTCTCGCAAACCATCAATTCCCTACACTATCAATGGGCCCATAAATGTCAATCCAGGCGACCAAGCGTACACGTCGATCACAGACTCAGTGCCTCCAACTACCGCAGAATCTCAATTGCAGCGACTGTTCACCGAAGCAGAGCCAGATGAACTTCAGCCGCTCCTCAATCGACTGAGAGGAAACTCATACTCAGTGCAATCGGTGGTAGTCCAGCCGCCCGAAACGGAGTCATGGAAATCCTACTTTGCTAACTACTATTCAAACTTTACTCTTGAATCCCATAAGGGCATAGTGACCACGGTGATGATTCTACTTCTTTTGTTCCTTTTTTTCTACTTGACTTATAACCAGCTGGATAGTCTTGCAGTCCAGGCCATCGAGCCTTCGATCCACAGCATCTCAATACTAAAAGTACACGGCGACGGCGTCGACTTTCATGTTACTGGCTCACTTTGTGTGAATTACGACAACATCTCCAACCTCTTTTATCGTACTTTTATGAAGTTGGGGTCTCTTCTTTTAGGAAGTGTGATTATAATTCCCCAGGGTCCAGTTAGGTTGACGGTGGACCTAGTTTCAGACACCAATTTCGAACCTTTGCATGTTTTGAACATCTTTCCTCCGGAATTGCAAGTGGATGTTTTGAATAAAAGAATCACCGAGATCGATTTTATTTCAAAAACTGATGTCATAAAGGAAAACGTTGTCGAGTTGGCAAACAGAGCACTTGCGGTCCAAAACGATTCCATTTCTTTCTCTTGTCAAGGAACCGTAGATCTGCTTGTGAAAACAAGCTTGTTTCAATACGAGACTCAAAATGTACGTTTCAATGAAACAGTTCAGTTGCTGAAAAACGACCTCGAGCCTGAGGTGGTCATAGAAAACCTCAAAGTGGCTCAGAATGGAAACAAATTCGACGTGAAATCCAACATAACGATTCAGAATAACCTCCCCATGAATTTCGCCCTTTACCCCATCAACTGGGATATCTTACTAGATGGGTGCCATGAGCCATACCAAGTAGGCTCGTGGACCAGTCAAAACATAAGCGTGAAGCCCAATTCGCCAATACTGGTTCAAATCGAAGGAAATGTGGGTGAAATTGCCGAACAGTTGCTAGAGCCTTGTGAAAATGGACTCTCAAGCATTAATGAGTTGGTAAAAAGATATGCTGCTGGTCAGCCAATAGATGTGCACCTTCGAGCGAGCGATGAAAACGACAATCTCCCTTCGTGGTTCTTGTACATTGCTCATAACGTCAACTACAGATTTCTGTTTGAACCAGTCTTGCCCCAAGTTAAACCTCCAAGAATTTCTGTCAAGGAACTGACCATCGAGATTCCGTCAGCCAAAGACACCCTTTCTGCCTTTATGAATGCAAATACATCCTTCGAAGTCGATATTCCTTCGGGATATGATATCGAGGGTAAAGTGCTGCAATTGTCTACAACGTACGACTTGCGCAAGGAGAATGATTCGATAGCTCAAGGAAAAGCTAGGCATTTTTTGAACTGGACGTACTCTGAAAATGTGGTAACTGTTGACGCCGATACGGAGGAAGATAAGCTTGTGATATTGGACCCCGCATATGTTGGAAGCCTCTTCAGCAGCTATGTAAATGGTCACCTAGCGGCTAACTTGTCGCTAAACACAACTTTCAATGATGTTCATGTTGATCTTCCGATTCTTTCTACTGTGCTTGACGACATAACCGTGGCTATACCTTTAACCCTAAGCCCAGATATTGAATACTTGCCTACACTCAAAGGATGGAATGTTACAATCATCAACATATTTCTACTTGATACTACGGAGGATACAGTTCAAGTTAGTATCGATTTCCAAGTGCTTAATCCCACAAACTACTCGTTGGAAATTCCCAAAGAGACCATTGGATGCGACGTCCTTTTCAACGATACCGTCTTGGGGTATGCGGAGGTGAGTGACCTCTATGTTCCGAACCAGGATGGTGGGTTTGACTATACGGCCGTGGCAGTGTTGAATGTACCGTCACCCATGAGCCGAGTGAACCTTGAACTTTTTGTCAGTGAATTTGTCTCTGGAGTGAAAAATTTGTCGTTGGGATTCCAAGGAAGAAAAGACAAAAGATCAAAGAATCAGGGACTTCAAGATTTGATTGGCAATATCCAAGTTGAAGATGTGGAATTGCCCAGTATAGGATTCGATGCAACTAACGAATCTCCAAATCCATTCTTGCTCGAATCGGTGATTCATGTTTTAACGTCCGAAGTTGAACTTACGCTCTACAACCCAGTCAACAATACCGAGCTACTAGTTACAATTCTACAAGCAGAAGCGTCCTACGATGGAACATCTTTGGGTCATATTGAACATCACGAAATGTTAATGGTACCTCCAGGAGTGTATAAAACTCCACGGATCAAGCTTGACATTAACCAAGGTGTAGGTATGGATATCCTACGCCGAGCCATTGACGGAACTCTACGGGTGAATGTCACTGCAGTTTTTGACACAACCATACAGCAATTTTCGCTCCAATTACTCTACCATGGTCAAGGATTAGCAGCCAAGGTTCGGCTCTAATGTGCAACCTTGCGCGCCCAAATAGGGCAATCACCAACTCGCCGCCGGCACACAGCCCCGGTCTAGACCAGGAATTCCTGCACACAGGTGCTAAAATTAGCAGGTCGTTTGTTTGGACAAAAATTCACCACCTTTTCCGTCTTGTTTAATCAACACATTTTGTCTATCGCTAAAAATGCAGAGTTCCATGTTGAGAGTTTCCGCTTTGATTGCATTGGCAACTTACATTCAAGGTGCAGTTGCTGCTCCTCCTGCTTGTTTGTTGGCTTGTGTTTCCCAAGTTGAAAAGAAGAGTGACTGTACTGGATTGAATGACTTGAGTTGTATTTGCTCCAAGAACTCTAAGGCTGTCGAGGACTGCTTGAAGAAGATCTGCCCAAATGACACCAGTGATGATGCAATTAGTGCTTTCGAGTCTTCTTGTGACGGTTACAGCAAGGATGTGAGCTCGTCTTCCGAGTCGTCCTCCGCAACCTCCTCTGCTGCTTCGTCGTCCGAGGCTGCCTCGTCTTCTGCTGCTTCGTCGTCCGAGGCTGCCTCGTCTTCTGCTGCTTCATCTGCTGCTTCGTCTGCTGTCTCGTCTGCTGTTTCATCCGCTGCTGCATCTTCCGAGGCTGCATCCTCTGCTGCCGCTTCGTCTGCTGCCGCTTCATCCACTTTCAGCTCCGTCGTTGAGTCCGTTGTCACTTCTTCGGAGGCTCCTGAATCTGTTGCTGGTGTGTCCACTGTTGCCTCCAGCTCTGCTTCCTCTGCGGTTGCCGTATCTCAACACTCTGCCGGTGCTGCTGATGCCACTGGCTTCTCGGTGGGTGCCATGCTTGCCGGATTGGTTGGTGTTGCCTTGTTATAAAAAGTTTAGCTATATAACTTTCGTTACGTCCCTTTGATTTCTGATATCCATTATTGAGCTAGTGTAGTGAATTCCGAGTAAATGACAATTGCAGTTTCAACAAAAGTACTAGGGTAGGTCCGGCATGCCGGTTACTTCACCACAGCAGTACACCCACACCCCACACACCACGCCCTCGCCGAGGTGGTTGCACGCCGCGAATATGGTCCGCGGAGCCCCGCGGGCCCATCTAGTCTTAAAGAATCCAATTTGCAACAACTCAAAATTACGAGCAACCTTTTCAACTACCCAATATTTTCACACTTAATAGCATATTTGTAAGACATGCAACACCACAAAGTCCATGCCAAGGCAATGGCAGCCATTCCGTACACTTTATATCACGGAACGTTTATTCATACTCCCGAACTTGATCGTTTAGAAATAATGAATAATGCTTTAATAGGAGTTAATCAGAAAGGGGAAATCGACTTTGTTAGCTCTGAGTACGCAGGAGGCAGTCAAGAAGAGGCTATTATGTTTTTTGAGCAGAAAACAGGTGAATCACATAGTCAATTTAAATATGTGGATACCTCCAAAGATCCATTAAAGTTCTTCCTTCCAGGATTTATAGATACACACATCCACGCGTCGCAGTACCCCAATGCTGGAATTGGTCTCGAGTCGCTGCTTCTCGACTGGTTGACAGATTATACTTTTCCCATGGAAGACCAGTTCACAGACACAAACAGTGCTAAGATAGAACTTGCTAAGAAAGTCTACAGTAAGGTGATTGACCGAACCTTACGAAGCGGTACCACTTGCGCATCATACTTTACTACTACCGATCCTCATACTTCCAATATTTTTGCCGATTTATGCTTGAAAGCTGGACAAAGAAGCTTTGTGGGGAAAGTCTGCATGGACCACAACGAAACGTACCCTAGCTACGAAGAAAGTTTCGAAGAATGCCAGGACTCAATGAGCTCTATGGTCAAGTACATCTCTTCTATTAATCCACACAATGAGACCTTGGTGCGCCCCATTGTCACTCCACGGTTTGCTCCAGTGTGTTCTCGCAAACTATTAAAATGGCTTGGATCTTTTGCTTCAGAACACAACTTGCCCATCCAGACACATATTGGTGAAAACAAGAACGAGATTAAACTTGTGGCCGATTTGTTTCCTGAATGTGACAACTATGCTTCAGTCTACTCCGACCATGACCTCCTCACGAACACCACCATCTTGGCTCACGCTGTACATTTGACCAAAGCTGAACGGCTGTTGATCAAAAAACATCTGTGCTCAGTTTCACATTGCCCTACTTCGAACTCGTTTCTCACCAGTGGAGAAGCACCCGTTAAGCAGTACTTGCATGAAGACAAGATCAATGTATCATTAGGCACTGACGTTTCTGGTGGATTTGACTCATCCATACTTACTATTATTCGCCAGGCTATCTTGGTTTCACATCATTTGGCCATGAAATCAAACGATGAAACCGACGTCAAGCTCACCATTCCTGAGGCCATCTTCATGGCCACGAAAGCCGGTGCAAAGGCTGTTGGTTTAGAACATCAAATTGGCACATTTGAAAAGGGGAAGCGATGGGATGCGCAATTGATAGACTTGAACTCGCCCAACTCAATCATAGACATTTTTGATTGGCAAATTAAGAAGGACCGAAAGAGTATGAGTGATCTTTTAGGCAAGTGGATTTTTAGCGGAGATGATAGAAACTGCATCAAAGTTTGGTGTAATGGTAGACTAGTTGTTGACAAGACTGTGGATGAATGGGTGTTCATCAAGCACTAATAGATTTATTGGGTAATTTTGGTAATTAATAATGAATTTTTGGTATCATGCTACACCGAAGCTCTCCTTTCCAAAGTCTGGAGTTCCACCAAGGGTGCCGTAAATATCTCCAATGTAATTATCTGGCACGTACTTTGTACCTTTTTCGTAAACATCGTCCCAGTTCTCGATAACATCGTGAACAAATGGCAATCCAGCCTTGACCAAGTTGGTCAAAGAAGCACCGATTCCACCTTGGTCTGCCTCGGTGAAAAATTTGACGGTATTGTTAGCCATGGATGGAGGAGGCACGGCAAAGTCAGAAATGGTTCTCATAACGACAATTCTTTCGTAGTCAACCAATCCATACTGATCCATTCTAGTAAGAGCCTCCAATGAAGCATTGTCTTCTTGTGCAGTGGAACAGTAAATTCCACTTCCGTTCGTCATCAACTTGGTAAAGTTTGAGAAGTATTCGTCCAAGAGAGGGCCGCTGAAGTAGTTGTCAGATGTTAAAACATCACATTTGGCAATGAAAGGTTCCTTCTTGGCAGCCTCTTCTTTGTACAAGGCTCTAAATTTCGCATTTTGCTTGGTGCCCTTGTCCAACTCCACTTTACTAGCCAAGTCCACAGCTCTGTCACGGAGCTTTTCGTTCAATTCGAATACCTCAGTACCGTAGACGTTCTTAGGGTAAGTGAAAGGGTTTTTGGTACCGTAAGCAAAATATCCAGTGTTCCAGTCTGGGTTGGTTTTCTCAACCTCTCTGGGGTCAATTTGGTATTCCAATCCTACCTGGACAGCATACTTGGCAAAAGTGACTCCCCCAAGGGTAGTATACTCGGGCATACCCCCAGCGATACCAGCAATCAAAAAGTAAGTCTTGGTCAAGTCGAACAATGGAGACAAGGACAAGGCGGTGATGGAAGCAGCAGCATTGATTTCTCCCTCACCAGTTGTCACCTGACAAATGGAATAGTTGGTTGTGCAGTGAACAGTAGGGTAAATAGGAGAAAGACCAGGAAGAGTAATGTTGTGCTTGAAATCAAGCAGTTCGAGCCATGGATCTCTTTCCAATTCAAACATAGAAATTACCACCACCTTGGGCTGGAACAAAGCATAATGACTACCGTAACTGGTCTGTAAATCATTGTTGTCGGACTCATCCTGCTCGATGTGGGTAGCGGTGACATTAGCACGTTCAGTGGTATTGTCTCTCTTGAAGAGAAGCGGCTGCGCAACAGCAGTGGCTGCAATTGCCAAAGTAGTTAAAATTGAAAACTTCATCAAAATCTTGGCGAATGTTGGATTCGCGTTCCTTTTATAGTGTCAATGGCCCCCCTGAACCAACCTGAACCTACGGCACTGAGTTACGGCATCGCGGCACGGCATCGAGGTACCTTATCTGAGTTTATTTAATATCCGTTTTAGGTAAATGATCGCACTAATTGGGATGGCGCATCAAAATATGCTGCACGGTAAATGTGTCAACGATGAGAGGTGAAGGATTTGGAATGGTTAAGCGGGTTGCACTCACTTGCGGAATGACTTAGAATGTAGGAAAGTAAGCAAAAAACAAAGAAGGACGAAAAAAACAGTGGAAAGAAGGTTTATTGAGATGAGGTACTCGAGCCGCATTCGTTTCATTTAGAAGCCGCTTGAATTCTAAATCTCAAAATCGACCTTCGAGACAAAAAAAACCGGCGAAGGCTAAAAGGTTTAGCCCTTTCTATTGGTTCTGAAGCACCACCAGTAGTCTCGTGATCAATTCTCCACATATTCTCTTAATGAACTCCGTATTTCTTGCGTCCGTATGGCGGTTTCTGCCCCAAACGACCAACAATGTCCCCAACGTAATTCAGAGCCGCGTACTTGCCATCTCTGTAATCTGAACCCCAGCGATCCACTATATCTTGAACGATAGGCCATCCTGCAATGTAGAGATTATCTAATGCATGGTCAAAGCCTCCTTTGGGGTAATGCAAAAAGAAATCTAATGGGTCCATTCCCGCGGGGCTCCGCGCAAAGTTGGAGATGGACCTCATTACGATAATTCTCAGAAAGTCGATGCGCCCGGCCGTGGCCATTCGAAGAAACGCCTCAAGAGTGGCATTTTCTTCTTGTGCCGATGCACAGTACACAGCTGTGCCATTGGTAAGCATGTGTGAGTAATCTGTAACGTAGTTTGCGAGCACCTCGCCGGTGAAATATCCATCACTAGTAGTCACATCGCATGCCTTGATAGATGGTGGAGAGTTTGCCAGTGGATAGTTGTATAGTTTGCGAAGCGCCTGATTATCGGTGTCCCCAAGTTTTAATTGACCAGTGTATTGTTCTGCGATTTTCATCACATGGGTTCTAAGATTGTCGTTCAATTCGAACAGTTCTGTCCCGTATACTGCTTTAGGATAAGTCCAAGGATCTTTTGTCCCATATGCAAAATAACCAGATGTCCAGTTGGAGTAGGATTCCGATAATTCCTTGGAATCGATTTGAAACAGTAGTCCAACCTGAATTGCAAACCTTGCAAACGTCACCGATCCCGTGGTGACTTGTGACGGTTCCCCACCAGCAATTCCCGCCAATAACCAGTAAGTTTTAGTCAAATCAAATAAAGGCGATGAAACAAGAAATGCCATAGAAACAGCAGCATTTATCTCTCCTTCTCCTGTGGTGAACTGACATATATCATAGTTATCAGTGCATCTGATATAGGGCGATGTGGATGCAAGACCTGGTATTTCCAACCTATGTTCAAAATTCATGCGTGATGTCCAAACCTCTTCCTCTGGCTTAAACATCGACACTATAAAGACCTTCGGAGACTTCACGGCTGGAGCCATTAGGGTTGAAGCTGAGCTTTCTGGCCTGTCGTTTTTTATTCCAAACGGCACCTGAAGCGCTTGAGCGGCAGAAACCATGAATAGGAGAGGCAAGACCACTAACATGACCACTACCATATCCACTCAAATTACCTTTTGTTGTCAATCCAGTGCACTGCTTTTTGCAACTGTTCCCTCTGCGAAGTAACCAATTTAAACTTTGGCGCGCGTGATTTCAACCTCATCGTGTTTACTTACCTCTCATGACCACAGACAGGCCCATGAAACGTAGGCGGCTGGAAGACGATCTACGAGACAGGCTGGGCGATAGGTCCACAATAGAGAGCGATAATGAAGGTTCAGAGGTTCCTGAAGACTCAAGTCCGAGAAATGAACCCTCGGAACTGGTCTTTTGATCCAACAGTAAGTGTGATAATCGCCAAGAGGATGAGTTTGACTGACCAAAACTTCTCCAGAGCAAAATAGACAAAAGCAATACTAACCCAGAAAGGACAATCGGTAAACAAGTACATGTCACAGCTTCTTACTGACTCTGAAAAACGACGAAAATTGAATAACAGCAATACAGACGAAAGTGGACTGGAGGAAGATCTGAGTGCTGACGAAGCAAGCGGGTCCGATTTGGAATCAGAAGCAGAGCTAGAAAATGGTGAAGTTGATCACCATGATGGAAATGCTCCCGCAAAAGCCGGGGTAATAGAGAAACTTGTTCTTCGAAACTTCATGTGTCACGAATTCTTTGAGCTCGAATTTGGTCCTCAGTTGAATTTTATCATAGGCAGAAATGGTTCTGGAAAGAGTGCCATTCTCACAGGCATATCTGTCGGTTTGGGTGCCAAAGCAGCTGATACTAATAGAGGAACTTCGATGAAAAAGTTAATTAAAGACGGCAAGAACACGGCAAGAATCTCCATCACATTAAAGAATGAGGGCCCCGAAGCCTACAAGCGAAGTACATTTGGCTCACACATCATTATCGAAAGGGTGCTTCAAAGGCAAGGTACAAATCAATATCTCATAAAGTCAGCTCTGGGAGCCATAATTTCAAAAAAGAAGGCAATCATCGATGAGATCTTGGCGCGTTTTAACATTACAGTCGATAACCCACTAGCATTTCTTTCACAAGATAAAGCTCGAGAATTCATCACTCTGACTACCGACCACTCAAAATACAACTATTTCATGACAGGCACACTTTTGAGCGACATCCTTGCAACTTACCAATCCATTTCCAAGAACATTGTGGAAGTCAACAGTAAGCTAACCATAGCAAAGCAACATCTTGAGGCTGCCAGGCGCACCTATGCCAAATCGACGCAGGTATTCAATAACTTTAAAAGATCTGACCATTTACGAAGACATTTAGAGCTCCTCCACGGCAAAATTTATTGGTATAATGTTTCTGTATTTGAAAAGAAAATACAAAAGTACAGAGATAATATACTGTCCTTGGAAGGGAACATACGAGAAACTGAGTCTAAGATCAGTGAATTAACCAACAAAATTGAGTCTAGTAAGCTTGAAGTTCCACAACTTCAAGCCAACGCCGAAGAGGCAAGACGTCAGGTCTCCATACTTAATGAGGAGGTTCATGATGCACAAGAAGCATACACAAAAATCCGCATGGCCGTAAGTGATGTTGCAAATGAGATCAAATCGGAAGAACATGAAATCAAGTCGCTCAAGTCGGAAGTTAAGGGCCTCGAAAAAGAACTAGAAACTGAGACATCTCGATCAAAGGATACTATTGACTCGCCTTCCAGTTTGGAGTCGAAGAGATTAACGTTAAAGGAACTAGAAGGTGAGCGAGATAAGTTAAAGGCGCTCAATGACACATTTGCCGACCCTCAGAATAGTGCAATAATGCAGATCCAAAGACAAATCACATCGGCCAAGGAGAGTGTGCAAGATATGAGAAGGAGAAAGAATGAGATTTTAGCGGCACAAAGAGATCAATACGCGCCTTGGGGACTGAGTATGGCCAAAGTGATAAACGCCATAAACTCAACTAATAGATGGAAAGAAAAGCCCATTGGTCCTATCGGATACTACGTCACGTTGAAGAGTGAATACTCAGAGTGGAAGGATCTTATCAATGCCGTACTTCTGCAAACGTTGGACTCTTTCTTAGTCTCAAATGAACATGATAGACGCCTATTGCAACAAATTTTCAGACAGTTTCGAATCAACAAGAACATAATTACCAGAAAGTTTGAGGAGTTCCTGTACGAGTCCGGTAAGGCGCTGGAACATGTTACATTTCTTGATATGTTGGAGATACTGAATCGACATGTCGCCTTCACGTTGATTGATTCCAACATGATCGAAAAATGTGTGACAACTAAGGACAGAAGAAATGCAAACTCCCTTATTACCCAGAAAAATGTCCTTAATGTATTTTCTTTGTTGAATGCCAAGTCAGGGCACAGGTCAACGGGTAGTAACAGGTCTTTTCGAATCGATCCGATCTATTACAGAAATGACTTGCACAAGCTTTCATCTGGTAGCGCATCTGCCGCAGACGAGACCAGGAAGATAGATGAAAGAATACTGGAAGAGCAAAATAACTTGTCGCGACTTGAAAATCAACTTAGAGAAGCAAGAATTAAATTTCAAAATGATAAGCAAAATACCGAGAAAAGATATCGTGAGATCCAGTCACAATTAAGAAAACTTGCCGATGAAATTTTTAGAGAGGAAAATAACGTGAATGACTCAAATGATAGTTCACGCACTGAGACATTGAAGGGCCGAATACAAGAACTTGAAAACGAGATTAATAACAAGTACGGAATATTGGATTCCCTCAGGCAAGATATTGTGAAAGACAAAGAAAAGTTTGTCAAAGCGAAGCTTGCCGTCGAACGCAAGAAAGAACAAATGGCGGATTGTAAAAAACAAAAAGACGATGCAGAACAAGAAATGGTCAATATGGATGGAAATATCAGCGAAATGGATGCGCAAATGTCTCAGTATGAGATGAAGAAAGAGCAGCATTTATCATCTATCAATCAGTTTGAAACGAAAATACAACAGGGGCAAGAACGACTCCAACCATTGCTTGCTGATGCCGAAGCTCGCTGCCCTCGTGACAAGATACTGATAGCTGAAACCGATACCAGCGAAACAATAAGCCAGGAATACGAAAGGACACAGCAGGCGGTTCAGGAAGCAGAAAAGACCATTGGCAAATCAATACAAGAGATTCAAGACGAGCTTTTGTCAAACAAAGAGAGTAAGGAAGATGCAGAAAAACGAGTAAAAAATCTTACGACAATCTCGAGAGCACTTCAAGCCGACCTCAATAGGCGTTTTGATGCCTTGCACACCACTATTTTAAGAAATACTGGAGAATCAGCGTCCTCCTTTGAGCGCTCACTTGCGCTCAGAGGTTTCAAGGGCGAGTTGAAATTCAACTTTGCCGAGGAAACATTGACAATGATGGTTCAAACAAAGAACGACGCACAAAAAAGAACTACAGAGTCTCTTTCCGGTGGAGAAAAGTCCTTCACGCAAATTGCATTGCTTTTAGCTATATGGAAAATGATGGACTCGAAAGTTCGTGGGCTAGATGAATTTGATGTGTTCATGGATTCGGTCAACAGATCTATAAGTATCAAGCTTCTTTTGAACGAGTTGAGACAGTATCCAAAATCACAATCAATATTTATTACTCCTCAAGATATTGCTGTTGTCGGAGACTTAGATAGCAGCGACGTACGGATCCACCGCATGTCAGACCCTAGGAACTCCAATTGATAATGATAACGAACAATTAATGATAATTTTATTTACACGATAAACTGTACACTATGTAATGGCTTGCTCAACAATCCAGGGATATTCTGAGTGAAAAATTGACCGAAATTTTCTGTAAGTTTCCGTATTCAATCTTACTTGTAAGCCTGAAATATCATCTCGCGCCAACAACTCCAAGTGATGAAATAATTGATCTTTGGTTACCGAATTGCAGTTGAGCATTGCGGATAAAAAGTGGGCGACTATATCCTCTTGAGGTTTGAAAACGGTATGTGTAGACAGAACCTGACGGTAACAGAGCATTGCTTCTGATAATCTAAATTGAAGATCTTTATCTTCTCGAGGAGTAATATCTTGCATGCTTTTGTTCCAGCAAGCCTTCATGATCAACAGGAAAGTTTGCAGATCAACTAGAACTTGAGGCATAGTTTTGGGGAAGTCTTGAAGCAATTGCTGAATCAACAAAACAGCTTCAGATGTTTTACCTAGTTCACAAAGAGCAGCAATCACAAATGCATTCAAACGAAAGTGACTGGCCCGGATAAGGGTTATCAATGCAGATATGCGGTCCAAGCCACCTGACAGAAAAACTGTCGAAACCTGAGTCCTAACAAGCTCGTATAGATTTGGCATATCCGCAACCAAAATTTTCCCGTCGATCAAAGAGTTGCGTTCAGTAAAGGAATGAATGTTGCGTTCCTCACTAGCAGTGAATGGCACAATGTCCATTTCTCGGCAAATAGTATCTTCATCGTTCTCAAATTCCGTCTTGAAATCTTCCGGCAAGGAGATGTCGTGAGATATATTTTCTCTTATTGCCTCTCTTCTCGCTCTGAATTGTGCAAAAGATGTAATTGCAGAAATTTCTTTCTGTTTTTTAAAGCTTCTGATGTTTCTGTGTCCACGGAAGGCAAAAGCAAGATCCCGAAACAACTTCAAGGTTTGAGCAAGATGATTAACCTGAGCCGATGCTTCAACAATGCAAATGCGCAACGCTTTGTATGTATTGTTGTGCGAGTAGTAAGAGTAAAACCGCTTGAAGTATTGTAAGAGACCCTGTATTCGATCAACATCTTTATTTTGGACGTATATCGAAGCGAGGGCTTCGAGTGTTTCGCAGCTCACTAGAAATGGAACGTGGGGATTGAATCTGTCAATGGCATATTTTTCTGAAGAATAGTATACGTGGTTGTCAATGAGTTCGTGGTATACCATACATGCACCAGAGTAGTGAGCCATGGTGCAAACTTGAGACATGAAAATTGACCATGTCTGGTTAGGTAGTCGGAAATGGGGATAGCGAGACAGAAGAAGATGGAAAAGGGTAACGAAAGCGGTAATATTGTGTGATTGCAAGAGTTTGGAAAACTCTATATTGGCAAGCTCTGGATCAATGTAGGAAATTTTCTGGCTTAAAAGTGTGTGGAAATAAGTTTGTGGCAGGGCACCATGTCTCTCATCGTCGTTTATTTTAGTTGATTGGGTAAGATTTTCAGGTTCAGAATTACCATAAGCAAGACTTTTGTATCCACGAATGCCATGAAATGATTTAGATGGTAACTTTAGAAGTTTTAACTGATTGTGCAATAATATATGCTTGCAAGATCGATATCGTACCATGACACCATTACAATATCTTGTGTATCAGAGCCAAAACAGTCCAAGAGCAGCCCAAACTATGTTACTAGAAGACTAGAGATTCAGGTAAAGTTCACGCTCGTGTCCTCGTACAGAAACTTTGTAATGAACCAACTTTTCTTGTTGCAATTCGTACCATTTCAACTGTCATCACGTGACCTCTCCCGAATTTTTCAAAGTCGATTTGAGTATCAAGAACTTCATAATGTTCAAAGCAGGTATAAGGCGAAGTATAAGCCCCTTGAACACCATTCGTGGGTTTCCCGTGGGTTTCCGGGCCTCAGCGACTCCTATCGCTGCTAGATGGAACTCCAGCTCCACTGGAGTATCAGAAATTACAGACAAACTTCCAACATTCGATAGTACTTCTGCCACAAATGGGTACATTACGGACTTAACCTCGGACCAGTTGGGATACTTAGACTCCATAGGTATGGCCCAAGGCTGGGGACCAACGTCCTTGGTAGAAAGGTTCTTAGAATTGACACATGTGTATACTGGTCTTCCATGGTGGGGAACAATTATAGCTGCTACCGTTGCCGTAAGGGCTGTAATGTTTCCCTTATACGTCAAATCGTCTATCAATGCTGCGAAAATGACAAAGGTGAAGCCAGAATTGGACCAGATCATGAAAGACCTTCGAGAGGCTGAAAACCCCCAGGAACAGGTTCAAGCAGCGCACAAAAGAAAGGCATTGATGAAGCAACACGATATTCACATGTCTCATCAGATGTTTCCCTTGTTGCAACTCCCACTCGCTTATGGATTTTTCCAGGCTTTGCGTAAAATGGCAAACTTTCCCGTTGAAGGATTCTCATCTCAAGGTTATGCTTGGTTTGAAGATTTGACCCAGGTGGATCCATACTGTGGTTTACAAGTTATCGCCGCAGGAATTGTCGTCTTGATGGTTAGGATCGGTGGAGAGACAGGAGCCGCTACTATGAATCCCATGTTGAAGAAAGTCATGACATATGTCCCTATTGCTTCCATCTTTATAACCAAGGAATTTTCAGCTGCAGTGGTGTTATATTTTGCAATCAATTCGATGGCTTCTTTTGTCCAAGCATTGGTTTTAAGGAACAAGTACTTCCGTAAATTGGCTAAAATGCCACCAATTGTGGCTGCAAAACCATCTGAGAGCGCCCCTACAACTGTCACCGAATGGTGGAAAGATTTTCAAAAAAGTATGAATCTGGGAGTTGAAAAAAAGATGAAAGAGTCCAATACCAAACTTGGCGCCTTGCACAAGAGGAAGAACGAAGCCAGTGGTGGCTTTATTAAGAAACATTGAACTTGTAAATATGAGTTTCTTAGAGTCAATTAAATTTACCTTTTGTATGCATCCTTGTATATATACTTTATAATCCTTAGTCGTCACCAAAGACTTGTTCATAATTAGTAATTAACTTCTCAACCACCAAGTTGATATATCCGAAATTATTGATCAACGAGTCCATTGAACTTGCCTCCGTCAATGCTGGCCCGATGACCGTAGCCAAATTTGACGCCGTCATCTTGTTAGTGTCACTGAACAGACAAACAACATTCAAATGGCGCAAGAGTGCTTTTAAAGTGTTGTAGTTAATTGGAGGTAAAAGCCTTATGACCTCTCTGAATTGTCCAAGATCCCTGTCAGGTTCTGAGCCATTCTGCTTAAGTTCAAATACTGCTGATATCACTTCATCTGAAATTAACGCATCGGGAAGTTCACGGAAATAGAGCTTGACGCAACTCGTCAACGCATGAACATCATAAGCCCGCTCACTGAAGTCAACAGTGCCTGTCTTGTCAATCATGGAGCGAAGGGCATTTAATTCGCTCACTGAAGAACTGATTCTATAAATGCCAACATCCTTTGAACCTTCTTGCTCTACCTCCGCAAAGATCTTTGTCAAAAAGTTTGGCACGTAGGTGCCCTCCCTGTTGCAGACTATGTTAATTGGCACACCGAATACTATCGAAGGGCTACCTTTTAGGTTCAAAGCTCTCGAGAGAAACCAATGTCTGTTTGAATAATTCAATTTGATGAGCCATTTGTTCAATTCAACCTCGTTTGGCGCTTGAAAAAGGTATTCATCGCTTGAGGAATCGGAATCAATTTTGAAACATAAAGGTAAGAGATAAACCGGGAAAATCTTTTTGTTCTTCAAAGCGATAACTGCAATAGGTTTCTGCTTGCCATCAACGGTAGATTTTGGATCTGGAAGTTCGTAGTAGTCAACAACTTTGTCAGAGCTGCTAGAGGCAGACATAGAAAAGGGCCTGCTCTTACTAAATAAGCCACTGATCTTGAAACGCGAAGCCGAATTGGACTTATACGCCAACGACTGTCTTCGAAGACTCGTGTTAGATGTTTTTTTGGTCAATCCCGAAACATTATGCATGGGGTTACTCTCCTTCTTGGGCTCTAACATATGCTTCTTCTTGTTGTCAGACACCAAAATTGAGCGTTGGCTTTCAAGAACAGTTCTAAAAATCTTGATGCGATCTTTCTCCAAAAAGGTGAACTCCTTGAGACTTTGAATATTGACCAATGATTCATCCAATTTAAGAAGAAATTCAAATTCTCGCGTATCATGATAGCTGACTGTATAGCCGTCCCCACTCTCGAAGTCCTCAACGCTTAATTCCTTGATTAATTTGTAAATGAGGTATCTCTTGTTGATGTTAATGCAGTTTTTGTAATACGTTGGGCACTTGTTGATGGCCATCAAATTCTCGATAATCCAACCAAAGCATGGAAGTAGGGGCTCATGTGCAATTATTAGATCCGAACTGGTCAATTGCCTTGGCAAAAGCAGATCAAGGTCACCGAAATTCGAAGTATAGCCATCACCATTGAGAGCCATAGACGCTTTGATCCATAAGTTTGTGAAAAGCCGACTTTCAGGTGAATAAATAACGTTAGTGATTGCAGACTCAATGCACGAAGGGATAGATCCCTCATTGCCTTCAAACACAAACTGATTATTTTCCATTTTCAACTTCGTGAGCTTTACCATGATTAACAAGGTCTTCATTCTATCTAGACGTTCTTCGACTGTTATGTTTAAATCAGTTAATTGAATCGCCAAGTAGCTTCGGAACTTATAGTATAATTTAAAAAGCTTCCGGAAAACCAAAGGAAGCTTTTTGAGCACCAATTGTTTATCAACCGGATCAGTTAACGACTCAAAATAGGAAAAGATGTTGGAAATCTGTAGGCTATCGTCGTGCGTAGTGGGTCTTTGAAGGTTATACTCCATAAGATTATTATTTTCAAACTCAATTTCGATAGCTTTGAATACACGAACCCAGTCTTCGGCCCTTATACCTTTGTAAAATACAGTCAAAAGCTTGTTGAACTTGTGCAAAAACTTTTCGATTTTATTCACATTTTTGTGACCGGGCAAATTGCGATTCATTGGCACCTCATGTAAGGAGTTGCCAAATTTGAATTCGTTGATCAAATACTCGTCAAACTTCAGAATTTCAATCGGACGGTATGTCTTCTTAACAAACAATTTTTTCAACTTCTTGTAGTAATTGACCAAGCTTTCGAAAGATCGCTCAAGTTTAGAGTCAATTTTATTGGAGTTGTACCATTGCAATATTTCATTGCTGAAAAGCTTGAGCAATTTGATGAGGATCGCCTTATTGGTCAAGTCAGTTGCAAAATTGGAGTAAAAGTTGTTGATAAGCACAATTGAGACCTTGAGGATATTTATCTGGATCTTCAACAACAATTCATAATCAACTTCCCCAAGGGCTGCCAAGTTGATGCTCGGGTCAGTTGGATCTAAATTCCAATTGGGGAATTCACCACCAAGTACCTCACCTGTCTTTAAAGCATGTGCCCGTTGCATGACCGAAATGACCGCATTGCCTGAATTTATGAAACGATGAGCAAGCTTCTCCAATAACTCCTTTGTTGTAATGAACGAGTTATAGTTGAGAAGAAAGACGAATCGATACTCAGTCAAATCGATTACCAACGATTCCTCAAAATATTTAGCATCAAGAAGAAGAATATCAATGAGTCTATCGATGGTGGCATACTTGGGAATGAAATTCATAACCGGAATGGCATTAGTCAGATCCCCTTCAGTATCCCCGCTTTGGTGAGTTTTTCGCCTTTCGTACCGGTTCTTTTTGGATCCTTCCAGATCGTCTTCTATGGAGAAGTTTCTAAATTTTTCAGAATTGAGTATTACATCAACGTCAATGCCTAAACCGGCGTCATCATCTTCGTCATCGACATTTTCCACGACATCGTCAAAAGCATTGAATGTGCTCGAGTTAACCATAGAACTTTCAAAGTCAGGGATCATATCATCAGCACGAAACACCAACAGGTCATCAACGACAATATTAGACGTATCAGTCGAAGTACGTCCTTCACTTGCTAGCCTTCCTTCATCGTCTTCTTGAACGAGTTCGTCATAACGAGATAACTTCAACTTAAAGTACTCATTATTGAATTGAGGGATCTTATTACCCAAATCGAATGAATGCAAGGTGGTAGCAGAGTCCGTAGACTGTACGGTTAAGGAGCTGTTGTTTTGATGTTTCAAATTCAAGGGACTCGAGGCCATGGTCTCTGATTCTAGGTACGCTTCTGGAAGGTCCGGTTCTAATACCAAGGACAACTTCATTAGCTTATCAAGACCGATCGACTCACAATTAATGTCAATTAATCTCCACAATTTCTTTTCAAGCGATGGGTTTTCATAAGATTTGGTGGTGGGAGGAATATGCGAAACTTCATCAAAACTTGGCGTCGATCTTTCATCGTTATTGACTCCAAGGTAAAGCACTTGATTCAAGCTTTCGTTGGAGAAGATGAATCCCATGCTATCATACCTTCTGATGACATCGTCATTATATCTGATGATTTCGTTATAGTTGTTCAAATTGGTCAAATACTCATTCCACCTGTTGAAGGAGTAGTTGATACGTTTCCAAATCGACTCCAATTCGGTTACATTGGGCACCGCATTTTGAATAACCAAATCACCAAAGTAAGGAATCACTCGTTCCTTAGGGTAAATCTTTCCAATTCCTCTAGGAGCCATGATGTGGTACGACTCTCGAGGGTTGGACTCTTCTTTTCCATTTGACGTTTGACCCGAAGTGTTAGCCTTTACTAAGCCATTAGCCAAGTGACGCCTATCCAATTCAAAGAGAACAGGAGACCAATCATTTTTCAACAACTTGATATAATCAGGAGACACAAGCGACCAAATTTTTGTTAATCTCAATATGGGCTGCGAGAGTATGATGGAAGAAATGCCCAACCAGGATGACATATTACCGAGCTTGTCTAAAAGACATCCGAGGTCGATCCACTTCTCAATTAATCGGGCTTTCTTTTCAAAGCTGAGGGCACTGGTCGAAATCCCTGGAGATGTACCCTCGATAAACAAGTGGTTTATGAATAAACGGGATAAGTAATGAATATGAGTGTCGTTATTGAACATGAGGGTGTTCTTCTTGTAGAAGTAGTCCAGAGAATGGGAGTTGTTGAGTGAGGAAAATAGCAAAAGCGACTTGTCAATGTTCGAGTTCCATGCTTTGAAAAATTTGAGATCGATCGATGTCACCACAGCCGCAAATTCAATCAAATCGATGTCCTTCATGAAGGTTATTGAGTTGAGATCAGCAAAAGGATTAGACAGCTCAACTTTTTGAGAAGGCGCTGCTTCTACTAAATCCATCAATAATTTTTGCTTTGCGAGCATGTCCCTCTTGAACTCTGAGACCTTGTTATTGGTAGGTTCCCATTCGGAGAGGGACTCTATAATCTTTAGGATATGAGGCGCAATATCCGATTTGAGAAGAAAACCACTAAAGTTTTCCTCAACGTTGGCCAAAAGCTTGAGGACTCTATCTGTGATGTGCAGCGTACGAGTCTCAGTTTCGTGGTGCAGGGCAATTGTGAGTGAGAGGTACAACTGGATGTAGCAAAGGATGTCTGCAAAGTTTGGAAATAAGGGTAAAATTGCAATTAATTGATTTACGCTGGACAAATCCTGCAACGAAGTTTCGAAAAGCATAAAATGGGCAACTGGTTCGGCATCGTTGACAACGTGTGGAGGAAAAGCGTGGGTTTCGTCATTATAGGCCAACTCCGGGTGGCGGGTGTCCATTGAAGTGAATTGTAGATGAGGCTGATCCAGAATGGCGGTTTCCGATTTTGGTGGGAGAGTTGTTTGAGACCGAGAATTGTCGTTTGGGTTGGGGGTAGGAGGAGGTTGCGGATAGGACTGAGCGTCTTGTGGTGTTTCCGTAGGAGCAGAAACCGGTGTTTGTGGTTCGCTGGAGCCACTGGCGGAGTAAGACCGTTCGGTAGTAGCTCGAAACGATCTAGCATTCACATTAGCCTTATGGAGGTAAAGATGCGAGCCCTTCAATTCAACGCGTACAACTCTCATTGCCAGCTCTGATATGTCATTAGCACTCAGTGGGTTTGAAAGCACATTGAGCCAAGAATGCATGGTGGTACGAGAGTCGTAGTCTGGCTGCACGAGACTAGACAAAGATTTGGACTGAGCAGCCTCCGGGGCTACCGTGGTTCTGTCAGTGGTCACAGTGTTCTGACCCGATTCAGGGATGCTAGCAATCGTAGAACCCACAATCGACGCGTTGGCAAGGGTGGCATTATCGTCTTCGAGGCGGCTGTCAGAATGGGTCGATTCGGCGTCGCTCTCATGGGCATAGCCAAAGCTTCTGCGCTTATCTTTACGTGTCCAAAGCTTTCTCATGAGTAGAGTGGCCGATCAATCGAGCCTCTTTAAGTACTTTATGGTAAAATCAGTCGAAGCAACGAGCCTAGGGGGTAGTAGAGTGAGTTGGAAGTGGACGGTGAGAAAGCCGACTTTTTTGTAAAAAGCGGATATCAGCACTGGAAAAATGGATCAGGCAATCACTAGTAACAGAGAGGATACCTGGATCTGTTTATGGATTGTGATGGCACAGGGTGGCACCAGATCAATAATTTAGTAGTCGCAACAAGAGTTACGAAATCCTTTTTTCTCACAGTTCACGCGTTGAGTCGCGGACAATAGTTTAGACGAAGGACCTGCCGGATTGGGAGGGGTAAAAATGGGCACAATGTAGAGGTACAAAGAAGTAGATCAAGTGGGGCGATCTGCAACTTACAGTATACGATGTTTAAAATTTTTCTTCTTGGCCGGCTGGGTACCCAAGCTAGACGATGCAACATGCTGCACCGCCGTTAGCCGGTGAGACTGTGCAGAGAAAAATAGAGGTGAAATTAGCGGAAAAACAGAAAGAAGTACGAGAAGAGAAAGGGAACTAAGAAAAAATTTGGACTTGAAAAGAAGGTCAAACACACTCACACATCATATAGACACCGTCCAACACCTTATCCTCTACTGAATCAAGTAGCATTGACAACTGCCGCGGCATGGTAATGCAACTTCTCTCATTCTGCTGCGACCTATTTTTAGTGCAATTCGCAGCCGCTGATTCGCGCCGCCGCAACGCTGAGGCTAGGATTCGCAGTTGTGCGTCATCGGCTAGCCCAGTGAGTATTATTGTTGAATATCTTTTAACTATGAGGATTACAAGGTACAAAATCTTCAACTCTGATCTATCTCTCCTACTCCTCTCTACTCTTCTCCTACTCCTCTTCTACACCTAATTTTAATCTCTGACCCGTATTTTCATTCCCCGATTTGGACGCCCCTGCTCTGCCCTTTGTTGCTGGTGTGTTTCCCTTTGTGTCACTGCTCGGCCGATGTCTCGGTCCTGCATTCTGACCAAATCATACTCACTCATCCTCCTCAATGTTACGCCGACCGATCCAATGGACACGATCTGGCCCATCCCGAGTGGTTCTACGCTGGAATTCAGATACTTATCTGCCCCGTAAGCAGATCATTGCGGAAAATCCTCCTCAATACTATCCTTCAATCTCCGAGGTGCGCCAGAAATACACCCAAAAAGCACCAGTCGCATCTCGAGTTCCTCAATTTTGCGCCCAGTTTCGTGGCTACGATTTCTCCAAACACCCTCAAAAGCGTATAGATGCTTGCCACAAGATAGAAGGTCGTATATCGCTGGTGCGTCGGTCGGGACGAGGGATCTACTTTTTGGATCTTGTACAAGACGATGAGAAAGTGCAGCTAATGGCCCACCACAAACTCATGGAATTGTCCGTGGACGATTTCGACCAACACCATAGCTTTCTTCGCAGTGGCGACTATGTGGTGGCTGTTGGTTTTCCCTCGACAACTAATGTAGGCGAGTTGACGTTGAAGCTTAACTGCCCCATTGAGCTTGTTTCTCCATGTTTAAATCTGACCACCATACCCGAAAAACTAAGCGACAGAAGCCTTATAAACAAGAACAGGGTCTTGGACTACATTGTTTCGCCTGAGCTGCGGGAACACATGGTGATTCGTTCGCTTGTGATTCAGGCTATTCGTAGCTTTTTCCTTCAGCGACAATTTTTGGAAGTGCAAACTCCGCTTTTGGCTGGAAACGGTACGGGTGCAAACGCCCAACCATTCAAAACTGCACTGAGAGCCCTTGGGCTGCTGGAAGAGGAGTCTCTTTCACTTCGGGTTGCTCCGGAGCTTTGGTTGAAAAGGCTCGTTATTTCGGGCTTTGATAAGGTGTTTGAAATTGGACCATCTTTTCGTAACGAGGGAGTTGATGCGACACACAATCCTGAATTTTACACCTGTGAATTCTACCAGCTGTTCTTGTCCCTCGAGGAACTCATGGAAATCACTCAAGATTTGTTTGCCCACATACACAGCTCGTTGAGCACACATCGGACCAAATTAAAACTTTTGGACCAGCATCTTACGTCATTAGAGCCATTGGCATCGAGGAACTTCCGTCGCTATGAATTCATACCCACGATACAAGAAATTACCGGTCATCCTTTCCCCAAGAAAATGGACTCAAACGCACTTGTTGAATACTTTCACAAAATAGGCGCTGCGTTACCTTCCAACAAATCACCCGCCAGTCTTCTCGACGAGCTTTCTTCCCTTTACCTCGAACCACTCTCGCTAGCTTCAAAGGAGCCGGTAATCTTCTACAATCAGCCAGCAGCGTTGTCACCTCTAGCCAAGTCCACCACCAGAACCTACAGTAATCATCCACATGAGATCTCAAGTAGATTTGAGCTCTTTATAGACGGAAAAGAGTACGTGAACTCTTACGAAGAGGAGAATTCGCCTTTTGCCCAAGTTTCCAAGTTCAAAATTCAACAGGCTGCAAAACTGGACCACCATGATCCCGAGGCTCTTGTCCCAGATTGGCAGTATGCGCGAGTGATGGAATACGGACTTCCTCCTACTGGAGGATGGGGATGTGGAATCGATCGTCTCGTAATGCTTTTCTCTGGAGCGTCCAGAATCTCACAAGTTCTTCCATTCGGAACCATCAGAGACGTAGTTAGACAATAATGTACATAGCACAGTGTGTCCTATGTATGGGTTGCACTATGTGTGTTGCGCTATGTATGGGTGTCGTGATGTCTGCTCGACAGTATTCACAGCCCATGGCGTCTCGCGACCCATACCCGATCTCCGGATCACAGCATTCATGGATTTTGAAAAACGTGAAGACGACGACGGGGTCCGTCTCTCGTGGAATTGTGTTCCGAAGTCAAAGCTCCAGCATCAACGGAATGTCATACCTTTAGGTACCATATACACACCACTCAATTCTCGATCCGAGGTACTTCAAGGAGAATCTCTGCAAGCTATAACATGCCGCCAGTGTGGTGCTTTCATCAATCCTTATGTGACGATCACGGAGCAGCAGCCTGAAGTGTACTACTGTCAATTTTGTAGCTTCGGAAACAGAATAACGGCGGAGCCAGGTACGATTCCAATTGGTCTTCAACAACAAGCAACAACGATAGAATACCGTACTGGCCGACAGAGTAGTCTTCCGCCCATATTCTTGTACGTAGTAGACACATGCTTCCATGGTGAAGATGTGGAGGATATCTACCAGTCGCTCAAGGAACTGTTGATGACATCACTTTCATTACTTCCAGAAAATGCTCTTGTGGGGCTCATATCGTACGGAAAACATGTTCTGATCCATGAATTCACGTCCCATGGGGTTCCTAGAGTCCACTGTTTCAATGGAGACAAGAAATACTCGGTTGAGCAGTTACAAAAAGCTTTAGGAATTCTTTCAGCCGGATTGCGTACTAATGTAAATACTGGTGATCCGGTGACACTGGTACTTGGTTCCGTGGGGGTGAGGTTCCTTCAGCCAGTTAATGTTGTGGAGTACGAATTTACCTCAGTTCTTGAAAATTTAGTCACCAATCTGTTTCCCTTCAAGCAGTCTCGAGAACGGCCCGCTCGAGCCACTGGTGCTGCTGTGAACATAGCGTCCACATTACTCAAGTCAATTCTTGGCGAAAGCACCTCTGTAGGTGGCCATTTGATGTGTTTTATTGGCGGTGCTTGTACTTTTGGACCAGGAAAAATCGTAGGTTCACAGCTTAAAGAACCGTTCCGTTCGCATCACGATATTGAAAAAGCCAATCAAACACAATTACCTTCCGTTCCTCAGATGAATGGGACTACCAAGGTGGACTTGACGTTGTCCAAAAATGCAAAGAAGTTCTACGAGAGTATTGCTACGGTATTGGTAGGTTTGGGTATCAGTTGTGATTTCTTCGTGTGCAGCTACGATCAAGTTGGACTCTACGAGATGGACGATGTATGCAGTAAAACAGGCGGAACCGTGATAATGAGTGACTCTTTCAATACGTCAATCTTCAAGCTGAGTTTCGCTAAATTCTTCAAACAGTACGAAGAAGGTGTCGATACGGGATACCTCGAAATGGGGTTCAATGCTACCTTGGAATGCCGAGTGACTCCAGACTTACAAATCCAAGGTCTCATAGGTAATGCAACATCGTTGCCTCCTCGAAAGAATGCTCCTCACATAGAAAAGTCGATCTCCAAGACTGTGGTTGGTGAGGGTAATACAAATTCATGGAAGCTTTGCAGCACAAGTACTCAAACATCATTTGCACTTTATTTTGACAAGTTGGACTCCAACAATTTGGGTCATTCCTACATTCAGTTTTTATACCACTACCAGCATCCCAGTGGAGAATTAAGACTTCGAGTCACCACAGTACCGATTGCTGTAGTTCCAGATGCCGACATGCAAAATCTTGAAGCCGGGTTTGACCAAGAAGCAGCAGTGGTACTCATTGCTAGAGACAGCATTAATAAGCTTCAATCGACCAATGGCACAACCTATGAAGAAGGAGATGTGGTGAAACAATTGGACCAGTTACTTATAGACTTTTGTGCCAGGGTTGCCGTGTATACCAAGGGAGCACCCAAGTCGTTCAAGCTATCTGCTACCTATTCGTTCTTGCCTCAATTTTTGTATCACTTGCGTCGTTCCAACTTAATTAAAGTGTTCAATAACTCTCCTGACGAAACAAGTTATCTTCGACACATATTCATGCAGCAGGACGTCAATAATTCACTTATAATCATTCAGCCTACATTACTTTCCTACGACGTCGAGACTTATACGGAAGATACTGAAGCGGAACCAGTATTACTTGATTCGATGTCACTCGGTGCCAACAAAATTCTACTCCTAGACACATTTTTCCAGGTATTGATCTACCACGGCTCGCGTGTTGCAGAATGGAGAAAAGCAGGGTACCAAGACATGGAGGGCTACGAACACTTTAAAAAATTTCTTGAGGCTCCAAAACAAGAAGCCATGGAAATATTAATTGACAGATTCCCCTTACCGAGGTTTATTGACTGTGATGATGGAGGCAGTCAAGCTCGATTCTTAATGGCCAAATTGAACCCGTCTACGGCATACGCTGCTAACCCCAATCATCTCTATGGTGGGCAGCTCGATGTGTTGACAGACGACGTAAGTCTTCAGCTGTTCATGGATCACATTCAGAACTTGATCATTTCACGCAAATAGAAACAGGTACTTCATTTTAGAATTATTTAGACATCAGATTCCCCTCACATTTTTCAGGTGCTCGATTCGCGTTCTCCACTTTCTTGTATTGAAGTTCCCCACACCTCTACACCACTATATAGTCAGAGATCATCTCCATCTTTCATCCTAGCCTGATGAAGAGGGAATATTGCTGTCTTGAGGTGCCTCAAGTTCAGAAATCCTACTTCTCAGGAGATGTGAAATTGGTGCCTTCTCGTAAATTAGCTTCCAAGCCACAGGTACTACCACCAGGAATCTCATCGGTGAAAAATTCCTCCACAATCGAAGATACCACAAAAAATATCATTCTAGAATGTCTATCTCGAAGGAAGGACATTCAAGATGATCTGGAAATGATGCCAGGAACTGGTTTTGAGCCAACATTTATGTTCTTCTTGGGTGTCGAAGGAAAAGACCATGTGTCGGAGATGCAGTGCTTGAACTACGATAATGTACTCTATGTTTCATCCAATATAGAAACATTGGCTGATAAAGTGAGGTGTACCGCTCACACCAGTAACCGAGAGTGCCATCAAATAGCATCCTACTTTGGAATTTTGGACCCTTTGGGAGGAGGTTCATATCCACTCAACTATATGGTAGTCGTTGATACTGAGTGGAGAGTAAGGTGCAAAATGCCCATTCGAATGAACCCAAGGGTGTACGGCAGCCACGAAAAATTTGGAGCTTCTTTTGAGGAGTTGGGAGCTGTAGTAGACCAGTATATGGCGTATTTCTCCTGATAAGAAACGAATTATGATTATACGACGATTAACGTGCCACAAATTGATTAGCAGAGCCAAAAATAATAACATAGCAGCCTAGCATTCAACAACATTTCAAGAGTTTATTTTATTTGTACCTTTTCTTGTTCATTTTCATTGTAACAAGGCCACCTTTTCTTGTTCGAGATCTTTGTATTCATTCCTCTGGTTTTCTATCTCATCCTTTACCTTGTTACAGTACAATTCGAGCCTTCCGAGCTCGTCAGTTTCATCAGAGCGGATATATTCTTGATCTCGCTTTTCGGGATCTTTCAATTCGTATGGAAGCATGTTTACTGGTTTTTGTGTGAGAATTTCAAACACCTTTTCTGTAGGCTCCATAAACACAAGTTCGTCAAAAAGCACGGAATGAACTTCTCCATTTTCACGTTTCGGCTGTTGTGGATTGAAGGGATGGAGTTTTAAAGCATGGAAAATTTGAAAGTTCTTTTCATTGATTCCCAACTCGGCTCCAGGATGGAAATGTATCTTGATGATGATTTCGAATTCTCCCCATCCGGTTTCCGTGACCTCATAAGGTGGGTATTCTACAGTTCGAACAGGTGTATCGTAAGTATCATGCAATTTGAATGTCACTTTTTTGATTAATGGTGTCAAGTCGACATCTTCTAACACTGGTTTCAAAAACACAGTCCATATATGAGTGTGGTCTGGAGGTGTTCTTGAAGTACGCTGTTCTGGAGCAAGTTTGTACGCATTATTACCGTATAGGATCGGCACTGAAATCGAGAGATTCTTGATTCTTCTGCTCATTATCAACACCGCTAAAGTTGGCACAGGAAATGTATTCGATATAAGTTATATACAGTCCTAATGAAAGTTGGTTTCAATAACCACTTCGAAAATGCATGGACGATGCTACTTTGGAACTAATGGAGCCCATTCAGACAAAGACTTTGAAGGTACTGGAGTGCTGGTAGTTGATCGCTTGGTCGCTTCTTCTGACGATTGAGGCGAGGATCGCTTATTTGGCACTTGAGTCGGTTTATAAGATGACAAGCTTGCTGGTTTAGAAGGGACCATGGGTGATACTATGGCAGGAGATGACGTGGAGGAGGTACCGTTTGTCGAGTTTGGAGTGCCAGAGTTTGATCTTCCGGGAACAAGTGGTACGGTGGAGAAACCAATTGGAGGCTTTGAAGGTGCCGGCTGCGAAAGTGTCGTTTTTCTAGATGGAGGAGCTGGAGGAGGAACATCGCCTTTTTGATTTGTCAAAGGTGGAGGCAACTTTCTGGGTATTGGTTTGTCTTTGAAATTGCTGCCATTAGCTGTCAGTCGCAGCGGAGGAGGTGGAGGTGGAGGTACCCGTCGAGGAGGAGACTTTGCAGGAGCTGGAGCTGGTCTTTGGGGTAGGTGGGGTAAGTCATCTATCAAGTTCATCTCCGAAAGAATCTCCATGGAGAACCTGTCGGAAGAGCTCAGAACGCTCGAGGAGAGTGCGTCATCAAGTTCCAATAATGATCCGGAACCATTATGGTCCTGCTTGTATGATATATAGAGCTCTTTAGCCATCTTGTTCCTCTTGGGTTCGTCCACAAATTTGACTTTGCACTGAAATAAGGCATACACTGGCTTATGATCACTCAAAAAAAAGTCCATAATCGAATGGTAGTTCAACTGGCGAAGATTTCCCTTGTCAGCGTTGCTTCGGTGGACGATTCTGTCTGTCCAGGAAGGTACTCTTTGTTTCTCGGATGTGTCGTAGTTCGAAGTGCCTTTGTCAAATTTGTATGTTGGGTAAAACTTGACTAGTTCTTCTTTAAAGCCAGAAAACGCACCTTTGTTCGACATTTCCAGGACCAATTGATCTGCCTCGAGCAATTCATCAAAAGCACCCTTTTCAATCAAATTCCTACAGTACTCGTTTGGCATGGAGATTCGGTAGTTGAGGTCTCCAAACCACAAAATATGGTCATGATCAGTGAGTTTATAGTTCCGAGTGAACGTGAGTCCCAGCATGATAGTCAGGTAATCATTGTAGCGCTCAACTACTGCATTCGTACCAGCAGCTAAGTGAGATGTGACCAATGCTATGGAGGTGGACCCAAACTCAAAACGTACCGAACACGCTCCTTTGTTTGCTGTCATTCCACCCAACCCAGTTTTCTTTGACGAACCATATACTTGCGTAACTTTTGAAACCTGAGTTTTTTTAACAAAAAGAAATAATGCCATGGAAGCAATTGCCTCGGTTCGAAGTAATAAATATTGCTCTGCTTGAGAGTTCAAATGCTGTTCTAAAACTTTTGCCCATTTTTGGGGCTTCGTCATGTCGGCGCTGAGAATAGAACCAGCATTCAACTCGATCAATTCCTGGAGTCCTATAGCGTAGATATCCGGCAACTCACGGTCGACATTTTCGACCGGGAACAACCATTGGCTCAAATCCATGCTGCTTGAAGCTGCCGCCTCAGGTGTAAGTGCATTCACATTATAGGTTCCAACTTGAATGGTTATATCGGACCAGCTCGTAAACTCCGACTCGCTGCTCTTAAGCTTGTCATTGACATACTCGTTAATGGGATCGTAAATCTTCACTGACACCGATTTGGCATCGTATCCCAAAAGCAAATCCATAGTCGACTGTTTTTTTGAGTCAACAAAGGTGTTCTGGTACATTCTTGAAACAGACTTGGTGACATCTGAAAGTGCGCCTGCAAAGTTCATCTTTCCTGACCTTGTAAATGAAGATTTTAAAGCGTTTGTACCGGTGTAAATTTGTGAAATGGCATCTCCATTATCTGCCCATAAAGTATTATGCCGCGTGATCAATGCTTCCAAATTAGCAGTATCCCTGTAAGAATTTCCATGAGAGTGAGATTGATTTTGAGTGATGTATTTCAAGACCTGCTGGCAGATAACCTGCTCAATGAGATTAGTTCTGTCTAAGCAGTCCAAGCAGTTGACTCTGAATACACCATCTTGACGAGTGACGACTTCGTCCTCGTTCATATCAAAGTAGAACCATCCAAACAGCTCCAAAGAATCGTGAAGCATGGGCATGATTTTAGTGGCCCCTGCGAAACCTCCGCTCAGGGCCTTAGTTTCAGCATGAAAGTCAAATTCCAAAAAGGACATTTCATCACGGAACTTTGAATGAGAATAGAGTTGGTGATATTGTTTCAGAACGGCAACTTCGGCAGGTTTCGTCTTTGAAAGTAGATTAACGATATGGCACACGCCATACTTTTCACATATAGAAGTGAAATGCTTATCAAAGATGGGCTGGGTAGCTTCGAGCGATCTTGTGAGAGTGATTTTGGGATTAATGAGTGTCAGATCTTGCTCCCAAAATGTAGGTACAGACCCTCTGATTTCGACAAAGGCATAAATCAGTGCCTTGGATGGCTGGTAGTAGATGAATTCTGTCTCCACGAAATTGGCTACATTTCCATCATCGTCCATTCCTCGAGCATTATAACGTGTACCTGCCCTTTTCCACGACTGCTTCGAAATGATGGTCATAGTATCACGACCGGCATTACCCAGCGACCCCAGCACTGGAACACTTCTGGCAAAGCCTCGGATCACAGTGGTCAAAAATCCGCTATCGTCAATGGTGCTTCGACCAACTGGATCCAAATTTGATCTGTAATGGACAAGCTCTTCCATCATGAAGGAGTTCCACATGTATTCGGTTTGCAAATGCTCAAGTGAGGGTCTTCGTGTGCCATCCATACCAGAACGAAGTTTGTCTAGCGACACCCCACGCAGTTGTAGAGTCAGTGTCAAGTCGAAATCGTTGGAAAAGTAGAAGGAGCCGTTCGATAAAAGCTTGCGCAACTCATGGCACGGATGGGCGGTTCGTGGTCCATTATCGGAGTCGTACTCGTCATAAGAGCCTCCTGGAGTCAGGCTTCCCAGGGCACCGACGGGATAGCCATTGGTATCAAGGGTAATAAAATCCCATTCGTCACTTGAAAGGGAAATAAATTCGACCGCAAAGATTCTGTCTACCGACTCGTAATTGACTGGATTGGCAACATTGGTGGAAGCACCCGTGATCACTGCCAAATATGTCTGCTTCTCAATGGATACAAGGCCAAGACAGCCATATATATCTTTCTGTAAAAGACTTTTGAACCCTTTTGATTTGGTGACCTCCAGATTGGGCAAAAGCTCCACCGCCACAGATGCCTTAGGTCCACCTGAAACACGGCGAGACACTTGCCGGAATGCCATACTATGACCAGAGCCATAAAGAACCAAAGTTCGGGGCTCGTCGAGATAAAGTAGCTTCATCACTATTGAATATGCTAGCTTTGAGTGTTGAATTTATCGCAATGCAAATGAAATTGGAGTGGTCTAATTATGTGATTAAGCAAGGAATTGAAGATAGGCAGTAAAATGCAAAATAAATGAGCCGGTTACCCCTAGAAAAAAACTAGCACAACGTAGCAAGTTAGCTGGTGTTTTCGTCTCTCACGATCGCTACTATTTTCGATCCCCACCGCTACACCGGGTTTTCGCGAGCAAACCGTCGCAAATTTTATTCGGTTACCGACAATTACAGAATGGCAACTCCACAATTTACGTTGAGCGACGAGTCCAAGGAGAGATTGGTAAAGACCTTGGAATACTCCAAGACCATCGCACACTATGGATTCATTCCATTTGTTTTATATTTGGGCTGGAGTGCATCTCCTAACAAGCCATCATTGATCAATTTGTTGAGCCCTTTCCCTACTGTCTAGGATGTATATAGTGAATTGCTAATGATATTGCTAAGGTGTAGAGAGAGAAGAATACGAAGAAGGAATAATAATAAGAAAAAGAGTGAATGCTGTGACTGGGATAAAGAAGAGAAGAGAGATGCCACAGATACTATAAATGAGGAAGGAAACGTTACTTACACAACACCAGCTCAAAGTCACCAGCTCAACGTCACTTTTACCATTTTTCTTCTTTTCTTTTTTAATTGCTACTTTTGTCTCATTTTCTCGATCTCACATCAATCTCAGCGCTCACTATTCATGCTGCTATGGACCTCTCTTCCCGCAAAGTAGAGGCCATATCCGGGCTAAGTGCCGGGTTTATCACCACGATAGTCATGCATCCCTTGGACCTTATCAAAGTACGATTACAACTTTCTTCACAAACAACATCAAAACCATTTGCACTTGTCAGAAGCATCATCCACAAAATACGACAAGATGCACTTATAGAAGCACATCCAGAAAACAGCGCAAAAAAGCCAAAGTCCAGCCTATTGTTGCGTCAATTGTATCGAGGCATAGGTCCCAATCTTGCAGGAAACCTAACAGCATGGTCACTTTACTTTCTGTTGTACGCAGAGTTCAAGCTGCATTTGTCAGAAAACTCCCTACTCCCACAATCCACATTTCACTATTTGGGAGCATCATCAATGGCAGGAATCACTACGTCGTTATTAACCAATCCACTCTGGGTTCTTAAAACTCGAATTCTTGGCAAGTCTAGATACGAATCTGGGGCATACCAGTCGGTGATGGAAGCGGTGACAAAAATGCTCAAAAATGAAGGTGTATCCAGTTTCTGGAAAGGATCTGTTCCTTCTATGTTTGCCGTAGCACAGGGAAGTCTTCAGTTTACATTTTATGACCGAATCAAAGACATGCATCGAACCAACCAAGAAGTACCGTCTCAACTTTCCACCTTTCAATACGTTTACGCCTCTGCAGCGTCCAAGGTCATGAGTATGTTGATCATGTATCCTACACAAGTGATACGGTCTCGTCTTCAGGATTATAATCCGCATCATGAACGTCGGACAATCTCAACCATATGCAAGAAGATATACCATGAGACAGGATGGGTAGGATTCTACAGGGGAATCAGTGCCAATATGCTCCGGGTAGTTCCCGCCACCTGCATTACGTTTGTCAGCTACGAGGGCGTAAAAGCGGCATTACAGAAAAAGAGATTCAACTAAGATTGAAACGAGGAAACGACATAAATTATAGAAGGAGGAAATAGAAGAAGAAAAATAGAGGAAGAAAACAGAAAAATTATAGTAGACTTAAAAGTGAGTAGTGGTATAAAGGAAGAAGAAACATAGGAATCTTACTTTTTTAAACTAATAGAATCGAGAGACTTGTAGGTTAACTGAATTTAGCCATAGCTCTTCCTGTACACCATTTCTCAAATCGCGTCTCAAGATCAACACCTTCAGAGTCTTGCATTCAATGCTGTACGAAGAGTCTACTACAGCGTCCCAAACCGAATCTCCTCGGTCACCCATGCCCGAAGAACCGCTGGCTAAAAGACAAAAACTTGAAAGTACACTTCTGACTTGGATCCCACCATCTGTGACATCTCTTCCTGGGCCATCATTTCATGCTTCAACCACATACCATTCCCAGATCCCAAGATTGATCCTTGAAAACAAAACCGCTTCCGTAGTGCTTGGAGTTGACGAAGCTGGACGTGGTCCAGTGTTGGGGCCAATGGTTTATGGCATTTCTTATTGCCTTGAAAGTTACCAGGAAGATCTCAAACACAAATATGGATTTGCCGACTCCAAAGTACTTAAGGAAGACAAGAGACGAGAGTTGTTCTATATGGTCGAGCTGATGGACCATGAACTCAACGAAAACGTAGGTTGGGCCACACGCACTATGACTGCTAGAGACATTTCGAGTGCTATGCTTCAAGGCCGTGGAGCTGCTGGAGGAGCCAATCTCAATGAGCAAGCTCATAACACGACAATACAGCTTATACGTGAAGTTTTGGATCTGGGGGTTAACGTGAAAAAGGTATTCGTGGATACTGTAGGACCCCCAGCTACATACCAGAAAAAACTACAAGGAATATTCCCGACTTTGGAAATCACAGTCACGAAAAAGGCAGATAGTATCTTTCCCATTGTGAGTACAGCATCGGTGGTAGCCAAAGTAACCAGAGATCTCAACATACATTACTACCACGACCAGTTAGCATTGCTTCAAGGCAAGGTTATCGGTTCGGGATATCCTTCGGACCCTAATACTTCGACGTGGCTTCATGCCAATGTTGACCCTGTCTTTGGATGGTGTCCTCTAGTTCGTTTCCTGTGGCAAACGGCAAAAGATAGTCTAAAAAACCACCATGGTGTATCGGTTGTCTATGAGGCCGATTGCGAGAAAGATCCGGGCTACGGCGATGTTCTGAGCCTACTTGAAAAATCAAGCAACTACTGCGTGGAGGTTGACTTCTACGGCCTGAATGTTGTTTTGTAGCCGCCACATCCCCAACATTGTTAATGATGGTGGTTGCAGCCTACCCGCCTGCACATTGTTTCTCGGAGCTACATCTCCGCGACACAAAACCCATCGGGGAACATCGATGCGAAATCCTCCGGCTTCAATCTTGTTACCATGTCTGCCTTGTTTGCCGCCTCTAGATGTGCATCACTCCGTGTCATGCGCCCTCAGTGCTCGCACATTGCTGCTGCCTCCTTACTGCTCTCTAGATGGTACTCTTCAAAATTCCCTCCTCATACCGTGATTAACATGCCCGCATTGTCACCCACCATGACTCAGGGAAACATCGCGTCGTGGAGTAAGAAAGAAGGTGATCAGCTTGCTCCTGGCGAGGCCATTGCTGAAATCGAAACCGATAAGGCCACCATGGACTTTGAGTTTCAAGAAGATGGTTATTTGGCCAAGATTTTGATGGGTGACGGCTCTCACGATATTCCTGTTGGAAAGCCAATTGCTGTGTACGTTGAAGAATCCAACGACGTGGCTGCTTTCGAGAACTTTACCGCCGAAGATGCCGGTGAAGGTGAGGCCAAGCCAGCGGAAACCAAGGAGGAACCAAAGCAAGAGTCCAAGGAAGAATCCAAAGACACCTCTAAGGAATCCAAGGCAGCTCCTGCCAAGTCGGAGTCCAAGTCTTCTTCGACCCCAAAGCCTAGTGGACGTATCATTGCCTCTCCATTGGCCAAGACCATTGCCCTTGAAAAGGGTATTTCTCTTAAGAATGTGAAAGGTTCCGGTCCTAATGGTAGAATTGTGGCTAAGGACCTTGAAAATATCAAGGAATCTGCCGCTGCTGCCCCTGCTGCTGCTGCTGCTGCCGCTGCTCCAGTTGGCGCTTCATACACTGACACTCCTCTCACAAACATGCGTAAGACCATTGCTTCAAGATTACTTCAATCCACTCAGCAATCTCCTTCCTACATCGTATCGTCAGAGATGTCTGTTTCCAAACTTTTGAAGTTGCGTCAATCTCTTAATGCTTCCGCTGAGGACAGATACAGATTGTCGGTCAACGACTTGTTGATCAAGGCCATCGCTAAGGCATCATTGAGAGTTCCTGAAGTCAACTCCGCTTGGTTGGGTGAACAAGGTGTCATCAGAACCTACAACTATGTTGATGTTTCTGTCGCTGTTGCTACCCCAACTGGTTTGATCACTCCTATCGTCAAAAATGCTGACACCAAGGGATTGGCTACTATCTCTGCCGAGATCAAAGACTTGGGTAAGAGAGCCAAGGCTAACAAATTGGCTCCCGAGGAATTCCAGGGCGGTACCGTTACCCTTTCCAACTTGGGAATGAATCACGCCGTCACCAGCTTCACCTCCATCATAAACCCACCTTCATGTGCCATTTTCGCTGTTGGTACCGTCACCAAGAAGGCTGTTCCATCCGACGTCAACGAACAAGGATTCATCTTTGACGATGTCATGAACATTACCGGAACCTTTGACCACAGACTTGTCGATGGTGCTCTTGGAGGTGAATTCATGAAGGCTTTGAAAAAGATTGTTGAGAATCCATTGGAAATGCTAGTATAGAGAAGTAGATTACAACAATAATACTAAGTCGAGAATAGCGATACATATTAGTCGGACTCCGAAGAATAACCACCGAGCGCAGGTTTTGGGGTATTGTTTGAACCACTCGGCGTCGTTGTGTTTCTCTTGAGTGTAATCGTTTGCTTGAAAGGTGTTACTTTTGAAATTTTATGGACCGGTGAAACCTCGGTTTTTTCGTCAATTTTTTTTGGGGCTGCTTTGAATCGCTTAAATGCTTGCTGAGCTATAGCATCATCTTCATCATTTTCGGCTTTCGCTAGTCTATCTCGCAGTTCTTGTAACTCACTTTCAAGACGTTCTTTAGTTGCGTCTATGATTTCGTTAGTTCCACCATTCTCCTGAAGCTCTTTTTTGCGAGCTTGCAAAGCTTCCAATTCCTCACTAAGTTCTTGCTGACGTTGCTGTTCTCGCAACTTTTTCTCCAAGTTGTCCATTAGGTCTCCATCGCCGTTTTTCAAGTTGGCATTTTTTTGCCAAAAAGGATCTCGTTTCCTCTTCTCTCGCTGTTCCTTAAACGATTTGTTCTCTTTCTCCTCTCTTTCAAGTCGTTCCAAAATTTCGTCTTCCGTCTCTGGGGCTTCGGTTCCAACTACAACTTTGGGCTGATAATTTCGAACCGCACCTAGTTCAGGCACAAATCCGGCAGTTTGTGGGCTTGTCTTAAATGTAATGTTGTTGTTGCACCGAGGACATGTAATGTGGAAGCGATAAATCTTGGTCTTCAAGTACATCTCTTTGGTGTATTCTTTCTTGGCATTGAATTTGCGAGCTTTGGATATGTATTCGTTGCACCGTGTACACCGCATCGAGTAGGGGGTTTCTAGACGGACTTTTATAGTTGCTATACCTCCACCAGACTTCTTTTTCTTTGGAACTTTGGAAGGATCGAAGTCTGGTGGGTAGTATTTGTTGATGGATTTTCGTTCCGACATGGGAGAAGGGTCCGAAAGTTTCGTTAAATGAAGTATTTCTATGAAGAAAGTAAGGTGCTTTGGTGTTTACTTTTGGTCCGTGAACTGTTCTTTGCGAAAGTAAGAGTATACTCTTCTGTTCGCATCCATATCACCTGCATTTGGTGATGATGGGCCTGCATAATTCGCACCCTCTTGTTTTTTATTGTTTAATCCTCCATTCCATATGACTATTAAAACCATATATATTGCCCGCCACGGCTACCGTGCCAACTGGTTACCGCCACCGCATCCTCCTAATCCCTCGGGAATCGATAGTGACCCTCCTTTGGCACCTCATGGTATAGATCAAGCCAAGCAATTGGCGTCTCATATTCAACAATTTCCCGACGACAAGAAACCTCAGATCATACTCAGTTCGCCTTTTTATAGATGTGTGGAAACGAGCCAGCCTATATCGCGTGCTTTGGGACTTCCAATTGCCATTGAGCGTGGTGTTGGTGAGTGGTTCAAGAAGGACCGCGATACCATTCCTGAGCCGGGGAACTACGATTTACTTCAACAATTCTTTCCCGAATTGGGCACCGCTGAAAGCTGGGACAGAGACAATACTGTGGGTGTAATTCCCAGCTTGAAGGGTGAAGACGAGAGTGATATCTTTGAGCGGGCACAACATTTTTGGAAGGCTTTTTTCGCCGTGATGGAGAAAAAATTTCCCCACATTGAGAGAATTTTAATAGTTACCCATGCTGCTACCAAAATTGCCCTTGGAATGTCGTTACTCGGGAAACTGAGTGTGTACGATGCTGTGGACGAAAATGGTACTTTGCTCAAAGCTGCAACCTGCTCATTGGATACCTATGAGCACCAACAGAACATGTGGGTTTTAACAGTCAATGGAAACTGTGACTTTTTAGACGAGGGTGAAGAAATGAACTGGAACTTCCACTACAAATTCGAAGCAGGCTCGGACGAGGATATTAAGATGCGCCAACAAGAGGCACAAGCGGCCAATGATGAGTTTCAGGTAAGTAAATAGACTGATACAAACACTTGCTTGAACTAACATTAGGACATGTATATCACCATTGACATACCGGCACTAGGCAATACGAAGACACAAGCAGAAGATTCAAAGGATGCATCCAGGATGGACAATGTCATTGGCCCAGCAGCCCAATTTCAGATTTCAGAGCTCGCGGTTGAAACGCCATTAATAAAGCTCACTAGTAATGAAACACATGTGAACCGTTTAGCGGCTATAGACGGCAAGATACTACAGACCAAATGGCGACAGCTTGTCGGAACAGACTTAATATTTGATGATTACGGAGAACTTGTCGGACAAGTCAAGGAGCATTTACAGGTAGATGACAGTGTCAAACTAGTAAGACAAGATAATGATGAAGTGGTTGAAAATGATGACGAGAAGCTACCAAAGTCTCATGACAACGCAACCAGCTTTTTGAAGCGTGCTATGAAGGCTGCCAAGAATAAGTAGTTAATGATAAATTGGTCGCTGCAACAATGTATCCTAATGCACAGGGTGCGGCTTCGGATTTCTTCGCACATACGCACTATAAATATGTTTGGTTCAAAGCTTCACGAAGAACTACAAGAATACGAGCTTGTCCTTGCATCAACATCTCCAAGGCGAATTGAAATCCTTGAGACCATTTTGAAGTTGACAAATGTTAAGATTGTTCCGTCTTTTTTCGAGGAGAATATCAGCAAGCATGGTCTTCATTACATTGAATACGTACAGCAAACGTCTCTAGGAAAGGCAAGGGCAGTTGAAAGGCAGCTAGAAACATCCAGCTCACATAACTCACTCATTATATCGGCAGACACCATAGTTGTATGCAACGGAACGATTTATGAAAAACCAGGAACGAAGGAAAGACAACGACAAATGTTTGAAGAATATCGCAAATATCCAATGTTGGAGGTAGTGACTGCCGTTAATGTGGTCAATTGTGCCTCCGGAACGTTGCATTCACACACAGAAACCACAAAATTATACTTTGATATTGAGTGCCCATCTCATCTCATCGACGCTTACGTAGAATGTGGGGAAGGGCTCCAAGTGGCTGGCGGATTTCAGTATCAAAGTATAGGAAATTTGTTGTTTCTGAAGATGGAAGGAGATTACTTTAACATAGTGGGATTGCCTGCTAAAGGGTGTTTTACGTTGCTAGAGAAATCTATATAGTGGTTGGCTCGGTTGTACTGTATACACCATGTGTCAAAAAATATTCGAAAAATACGAGTTGATAATCTCCTGAGGGAGAATTTTAACTTTCTCACTGTCAATGCCAGCTCAATGGGAAAATGTAGAGGAATTCTTAGCGCACTGCTGTGAGCACAACGAAATAGATTTGGACTATGTTCGGTCAGACAATTTCTATAACATGCTACGCCAGTGCGACTGGCTGAAGGAGCCATTATATGAAGCACTTTATTATTCGAGAACCCCATCGTTGGAAATCAAATTAAATCGCTCTCTGGCAAAGACCTGGGTCATGGATGAAAGACTATTTATCGCACATAAAGCTACCAACACTTGGAGAACTCGAAAGTTTCCAATTGATCTTGGAAGAGGCCATGCGAAGTTTCAGGATAACCATCTGAAGGAGATGCTGCTAGAAGAGGATGCGCAAAGAGGAACAAAGTATACTGCGCTCGCAAACTCTGAGAGGAATGGCGTAAAAATTCAGGCTGATATTGTCGCTACCCGCTCAACTTTGGTAAACCTCATGATGTCAGGAATAGACAGTACCAAGGCCCTGACGTGGATATACGCTGTTAATGACCAGCTCTTTTTGGAAGACGACAAGAAAGGAACTCCTTTCAACAATCCATCTGTAATGACAGGACCCAATTTCGAGCAATTGATGACGGTTAGGCAGAAAATGGTCAATGGCAGATTCTGCTTTGAGTGGCCTAAAAACAGCAATGAGAAGTACTATACTTTGGTACGACATTCATGTTCGCTGCTGAATGATTCCATATTAGTAGCATGCGAGATTGATGCAGTAAGGCCGCTAGAAGGCATAGATTTGAAACCCAGTCTGAACGAAACATTTGGCCTTGACGATCCAGTCAAAAATTTAGAACGATACGTTGAATTTAAGGCGAGAGTACAGTGGAATTCTGGCTTGAAAAATTTTCATCCTGCCCTCATTCAGTGTCAATTGGCTGGTACACCAACACTCGTTGTTGGTCTCAAAGATAAACTCAAGTTAACTTCAGTTAAAGAGTGGGATGTTAACAAGGTACTTTCTGGAGGCATGAAGCGTCTTGAGAAATGGTTTTTGGATCGCTGGTTGATCTTTTTGGTTCGTTTCATCAAGGGCTGTATTCTGAAAAAGCGCAATGGAAAACTTCAATCATTCTGCTTTGATGTCGAGGGTTCAAAGCTTGTAATGCGAGAACTTACAAGACCCCGACTACACTTTGAAGCCGCCCTCACAAGCGATTTCCTCAAATGGAGAGAAGAACACCCACAAAGAGCTCTCGACGATCAGTTGGCGAAATTGCTTGGCCCTCTCAGTATTAAAGACAAGACTATCGTGTCGTAAAATTTATCCATGAAATGGCTATATAGAAGTGCTACTGGTAGCATAATGTACACTCGTTCTATTATCACTTCCCCTTACACTTATTCTTCAACGTAAAGTCAGCAACTATGGGCCGGTGATCACTCATGTAAAGTCCGTTGAATTTAGAGTGAAGCATGCCAAAACTCTTCAAGCGAAGGTCCAAGTATCGTTCCGAAGGAGGCGAAGTAGTCAACTTGTCGCATAGCACCGTCTCCCCAAGCTTCGCTGTATAACTTGGAGCGAAGATGTAGTCTATATTCTGGCCGCCATTGAGGAGTACTTCTCCTTCGAATCCAGTGACAGTAGACTTGGAATGGCCATACTTGTTAAAAGCCGTGGTTAACTTCGCCAGGTTACGAAATTGTTCGGTAATGATTTGATATGCTTTCTCATTAGGTTCAGTATTGAGGTCTCCACACAAGAAAGAGGGCCACTGATTTATAGAGTTCATCTTGTCCAAAATGATTTGTGCCAGTCCTTGCTTGGACAACTCTCCCATATGGTCGAGATGGGTGTTGAAAACATTGATGTAGTTTCCTGATACATGCTTCAAAGTAACATAGGATACGATTCTCAAGTATTTTGCATCCCAGCCTTCGAGAGCCATCCGTGGGTTATCTTCGTTGAGCCATATACTATCGTAAAACACCATTTCCCATTCTGATGTTTTGAATAAAATGGGGACAAACTCACCTAATTGGTCGCCGTCGATTCTTCCAACACCGTACGCTTCCCACTCGGGCTCTTCAGGTGGAGAATAACGATTTAAGTCTCTCATAATATCATCAAGTTGAAATTTGTAGACTTCTTGAAGAGCTACCACAGTATTGAGCTGAGAGTTGAACTTTATGGATGCAGTAATCTTGCGGTATCTCTTGAGCCATGATTCCTCCCCAGGGTCCAAGATATCTCTTCCGCCATTTCTCACGTTGTGAGAGTATATTCTGAATGTCATCGGAGTAATGTCTATACTGGCAAAATCTTGAGGAACTTCTGCAAAGTCTTTTTCGTCGGTAACGATCGGATTTGCAGGGTTGGCGCTTCCCTTCTTGGGTACCCCTGGTCGATTCACACCTTTCTCGTCGGACTCAGCACTGTCATACATGCCACTAAAGAGCTCTTCTTCATCATCGTCTATCTCGTTAATATCTCCAAGAAATCCATGAGGATTATTTATGGGATCTTCATCTTCGGTATGAGGAATGGCTTGAGGTGGTGTACCCTGTTGCTTCAAAGGAGGCCGTATACTGTTTCCCTTAAGCTTGTTATTGAGTGCTCCGTTCTTGGACTCTTTTTGCTTATTATTCGGCTCTCCTTTGATCGCTATAGGTGCCATTTTTCTGTTCAGATACTCCTGGACAACGTTCAGAGCATCTTCAGATGTTGTTGGAGGCTGTCGAGTAACGATATAGCCAAAGGACACCACGATGAATATCAAGATGACCGCGAGACGTATTCTCTTGGTACTTTGAAGTCGAGTCATGGGAGGTAAAGAATAAGAATTGAAATGGAACGGTAGAGTAGCGCGGCTGTGCATGCAGGACGGAATTCAGGAACCAAAAATATCTGAATGGACCACGAAGAGATGATGAATCTGGTCTGGAATTGTACTCGCTTTATATGGTGTTTGAGATATACGGCTTTAAATTCGAGCTTTTTCAGTTTATAAAAACTATGTTTAACGACTCTGCACCCTCTTGAATTGTAGTTGCACTTCCTTGGCAACGATCGGGTTGTATAGTGTAGTGGTTATCACTTTCGGTTTTGATCCGAACAACCCCGGTTCGAATCCGGGTACGACCTGTTTTTTTTCCTCTCTTAAAAATTATCACTACAGAAATTTTGAAGCTAGTAATTATCATCAACAAACTTGCAACTCTATCATGCCTCTGTCACACTCTAACCCACGCTCCCTTACCTCTTGCTCATACCTTCCGCGCCGACCCTCGTTGATGGTTTGATGACATAAGCGTCGCATCACAAAATTTTTGGAATTTTCATTTCTCTTCATGTCTGCTGTAATTGGTATCTCCTTTGGTAATACATCCTCCTCGATCGCTGTTGCGACTCAGGATGGAAAAGTCGATGTAATTGCAAACCCTGATGGTGATAGAGCCATTCCTTCTGTATTAAGTTATGTTGGTGCCGACGAATATCACGGTGCTCAGGCCAAAGCTCAACTCATCAGAAACCCCAAAAACACAATCATCAACTTCCGTGACTTGATTGGCAAGAACTTTGACGATGCCGATGTCAGTGGCTCGAAGTATGGTGCTCCAGCTGTCAAACTTGACGATGGTAAGATTGGATACCAAATCACCAGAGACAACGGAAATATTGAAACTGTCACTGTGGCCGAAGCTACCAAGAGACATATGTTGCAGATGAAAGTTGCCGCTGAAGACTACATTGGTAAGAAGGTGGAGGGTGTTGTGATCACTGTACCTACTGATTTCCATGCTCACCAAAGGGAAGAGTTGACCAAGATTGTTAATGATGCTGGGTTGAAAGTATTGCAAATGATCAATGAGCCATCTGCTGCGTTGTTGGCCCATTTATCTGCTGAGGAGTCTCGTTTGACCGAGGACAAGTTGTACGTTGTAGCTGACTTTGGTGGTGTCAGATCTGATGCCGCTGTTATCGCTGCTCGTGGTGGAGTGTTCACCATTTTAGCCACGGCTCATAAGCACGGATTGGGAGGAGACTTATTAGACGATGCCTTGGCTGAGTACTTCGCCAAGGAATTCGAAAAAAAGAAAAAGACCAACCCAAGAACCAACGCTAGATCTCTTGCCAAGCTCAAGGCAGAATCCATTACTGTTAAGAAAACTCTTTCCAACGTCCAAACCTCCACCTGCTCCATTGACTCGTTGGCTGAAGGTTTCGACTTCCACACCACCATCAACAGATTGAGATACGAATTGACCGCTCGTCTGGTGTTGTCAGATATGACTAGTTTCATAGAACTGGTGGTTACGAAAGCTGGACTTGAAAACCTTGATATCGATGAAGTCTTGTTGGTTGGTGGTACTTCCCATACTCCTAAGTTGGCCTCGAATGTTTCGTTCGTTTTCCCAGAATCTACCGTGATTGTATCTCCAGCTCTTGATTCTAAAGCATTGAACCCAGAGGAGCTTGTTTGTCGTGGTGCTGCTTTGCAAGCGTCGATGGTTGAATCTTTTGACGAAGAGGAAATCAAAGAATCTTTGCAGCCTGTTGTGGTCAACACCCAGCACTTGTCCAAGTCTATTGGTATCAAGGATGCTGAAGGTAACTTTACCCCAATTTTGGTGGCAGAGACCGCTTATCCTATCAAAAAATCGATCGAGGTTACCAACGGATCTTCGACTTCGGTCGTCATTGACCTCTACGAGGGCCACAGAACTGTCAAGGAAACCGTAATTGAGGCCGAAAAGTACTCTGACGACGAGGAAGACGACTACTCTGATGAAGAGCCCGAGGTGAAGAAGGAAATCGTTTATGTTCCTGGAACCCTTTTGGCCCAGCTTCCTATCAAAGACCTCAAGCCCAACTCCAAGTTGGAAGTGATTGTCAATATCACCCACGATGGTACTCTTCATGTTTCTGGTCGTGAATTGAAACAAGGATCTGTCGCTGTCAAGGGAGAGATTCAAGCTTAATAGACGAGCTAATAGACATTAGAAATAATGGAGAAGACAAGAAAACGTACTCCAGCTTTACTCTACTTCCTCCATGCTTACTCTCACCCATGGTTTGTACTCTACATTATGCTTACTCTACTATACTTGGTACTCTACTACCATCTGCCGTACTTCGCAGTGTTGACAGTTCGCATTTCTCGAATAGTTGTCTTCAAATCATGGGGAAAAAAAAGCAGGAGATGTCCCAGGTATATGGAAGCAACGAGTTCATATTTGGAGAGCGGGGTGGCCGTGGGAAACATCTATCATCTTTTTTGAAGAATCTATCTCTTACAGGCTCGTCAACTCGTTCGGGCGAGGCTGAAGACGATGTCAATCGCAACATTTACGGAGAACTTTCTTATGGTCCTGCCCAATCTATGCAACGAAGAAGCAGCTCATCGGTAAGACTGTCTGGTAGGTCCGTCTCAGGACCGGTAGGAAGCTCATATGCTCACATGGGTGTGCCTGAGAAGAATCTCTCCTTGTACTCAAATCAGTCTATCGCCAATTCAAATCCCAGCTTAAAGAAATCAACAAAATTAAAGTACAAAGACTTAGATGATGACTGGGATGCAGACTTGGAAAAGGTGGACGAGGCACCCGTGGCGAAGACCACAAAAAGCTTTTCAAATAGCAACCCTCGCTACGACAATCAGATGCCAGTAATGGTTGATTCATTATATCCGGACCTCATACCGGTGTCGCAACCGGCTCTACCAGACAAGGACTCTATGGACTACGAGGATCTCAAGATGAAGATGGAAGTGAGTCGATTGAATCAACTCAACAGTAAATACATGAAGTTTCACAAGGTGCTAACTTCTGATGCAAACATCGACTTAACTGAGCTTCGAAAACTCTCGTGGAACGGGATTCCGCAGGAACTACGGGCTTTGTCATGGCAACTTCTCCTTGGCTACTTGCCTACCAACCATTCAAGACAGCAGTCCACACTCAAAAGAAAACGTCAAGAATACGCAGAGGGCATCAATACAGTGTCCAATATTGACCTAGACGAAGACGCAGCAAATGCCAATGCTGAAGCGTCTCGCTCCGAGTTGTCTCTCCCGTCCACCACAAGTTCGAACCGCGATAAGCAAATATACCACCAGATCAAAATTGATGTCAAGAGAACTAACCCCACCATCAAACTCTATGGCTACCCAGCCACTCAGCGGTCGCTTAGAAAAGTTTTATTTTTGTGGGCCATTCGACACCCGGCGAGTGGTTACGTCCAAGGTATAAATGATCTAGTCACTCCTTTCTATCAGATCTTTCTTCAAAACTATCTTTGGCAATTACAAAAGAAAAGAACGGGAGAAGGTGAGGAGCTCTTCATTCCCAACTTGCTCGATGATAATGATGAATGCGAAAAGGCTATTTTGGACGACCCTCAATTGGCCAGGTTGTCAGCAGATACCTTTGATCCCGGTAGGCTTTCCAGTAGAGCTACATTAATCATAGAGGCGGATACATACTGGTGCTTGTCAAGGCTTCTTGACAATATTACTGACAACTACATTCATGAACAACCTGGTATTATTCGGCAAGTTGGTGATTTGCGGAATTTGATCTCCAAGATTGATGTGGAGTTACTACAGCATTTCGATAGCGAAGGAATCGAGTTCCTTCAGTTCTCGTTCCGGTGGATGAACTGCTTGCTCATGCGAGAAATTTCCATCCCGCTAATTATTAGAATGTGGGACACATACTTGAGTGAGACTCCACTCGGGTTCAACAGTTTCCATGTTTACGTATGTGCGGCATTCTTGATCAAGTTTAGTAATGAACTCAAACACAAGGAATTTCAAGAGATTATTCTCTTCTTGCAGAACCCACCAACAAGTGGATGGACAGAAAGAGATGTGGAACTTATGCTCAGTGAAGCTTTTATTTGGCACAGTCTCTACAAAAATGCAAGCGCCCATTTGCGCTAACGAATACTACACTTGGGTCAATCACTTCAATTCATTGCCAGTCTATCATCCTGCACACATTCACCCGAGTCAATCGTCATCGCAGGTAATTCATTAATTTACGTAAGGTATATAAGACCCACGCAGCCCGCATTCGCTGCAAAACCACTTTATACATTCAACATGTCATCTAAGCCGGCCGGAAGAACAATCCTAGCTTCAACAATCGCTAAACCGTTCGTAGAAGAAATCACCGCCAGCGTGCAACAACTAGGTTTCAAACCCAAGTTGGTTGGCTTTCTCGCTAATGGAGACCCCGCGGCTCAGATGTATGCCAATTGGACTGGCAAAACGTGTGAGGGACTTGGGTTTGAGTACGAGTTGGTCCAGGTGGACAAGAACGACTTGGAAAGCGCGTTGATGAAGGCGAATAAAGACGATAATGTTCATGGAATTATGGTGTATTTCCCAGTGTTTGGAGATAACCAAGATCAGTATCTTCAACAACTCATATCAACCGAGAAGGATGTGGAGGGGCTCAACTTCATGTACTACCACAACCTCTACCATAACGTCCGATTCTTGGATCCACCTTATAACGAGCAGAAATCCATCTTACCATGTACTCCACTTGCAATGGTGAAAATCTTGGAATATTTGGGCGTATACAACATTATTCTCCACTATGGGAACAGACTCTATGGTAAAAAAGTTCTTATTGTCAACCGGTCGGAGATTGTTGGTCGTCCCTTGGCAGCTCTACTTGCTAATGATGGTGCTACTGTCTACTCGGTAGATATCAATAATATCCAGCAGTTCACTCGCGGAGACGATTTACTGGAACAAAGACACAAGGTGATCGATTTGGACTCGAAGGAACATACCTTGGAATCCTTGGCTCCTCAATGTGATGTGATCATTACTGGAGTGCCATCAGAGTCCTACAAGTTCCCCACCAACTATGTTCGCAATGGTGCGGTGGTGATCAACTTTTCATCGAACAAAAATTTCAACGACGATGTCAAGCAAAAGGCTGGCTTATACGTACCATCGATCGGAAAGGTGACCATAGCCATGCTTCTTCGTAACTTGATTCGTCTTATCAAGAATAAGAACCACAGGGCTACTTTACAGAAGACCGCTGCGTAAGCTTTCGCGAACGCTTAGGTAAGGGCATCGCAAGCCCCTCGCGAGTCACAGAAATTGACTCGCGGTCAACAACTTTGCAAGAGCCCCTGTAGCTTCGTTTCCGACCATGTCTATGAAGAAAAAATACGAGCCCATCGATCCCTTGGCCGCAACTGAGTCGTTGGGTTTCCAGACCCACCGCAGAGGTGCTAGAAAGCCTTGGACAAGACAAGAAGATGAAGCTTTGATCCACTTGATAGGACAAATGCATCCAGATACCACACAACTAGACCCTGAAACGGTGAAATGGGATGCATTGGCCGAGCAGCTTTCTCCTGATGGACTACGGAAACCAAAGGATTTGAGAAAACGTTGGTGTAATTCATTGGACCCCAGCTTGAGGAGGGGAAGATGGACGAAAGAAGAAGATGATATGTTAGTCAATGCTTACAAGACATATGATGCCAATTGGCAAAGGGTGGCTAAAGAAATACCTGGACGGACTGATGATCAATGTGCAAAACGGTACTTGGAAGTATTGGATCCAGAAACGAAAGATAGGTTGAGACCATGGAGTAGAGAAGAGGATCTTAAGTTGATACGACAGGTAAAGTTACACGGAACAAAGTGGCGCACAGTTTGTTTGGACTTAAAGGGCCGTCCGTCTCTCACGTGTCGAAATCGATGGCGTAAAATCGTCACTGATGTAGTGCGAGGCACCGCCGATGCGTATGTGGAGGAAGAGGTTAGGGCGATCACGAGTAACGATAATACTTTGAAAGATGACAGACCTATTCCTAAAAGTGAGATGGATCCACCACGTCCTCGAAAAGAAAATACTGTACCGCCGGCGCCGCCATTGGGAGCAAAACCAGCTTCCAGTAATATTGATTGGCGTTACTCGTTGGAACTGACACGAGCTACACCTGCTGATTCCGAGCTTCCTCATCGCTTACTCTTTGATAACGAAAATGGAGGAGCCATAAAAAATGAACAATTGGTTCAAGCATTAATTTCCTATGCAAAGTCACATCATTTGGAAATCACGGTGCATCAGCATATTCACCACCACTACTCATCGCAGGTTCCACAAGACGTGGGTTTGTCAGGGCTGGCCATACCGAACCTCAATATTCTCAACCAAATCTCACCTCCCCAATTTGACAATCTTCTGCTTTCACCCATAGGTTCAAATCCAGTCGATACCGGCCGCAATTATGAACTGGAAGTCAAGCGACATCAGCATTTCAACTATTTGCCGCCATTGACTGAGGTTCCCAAACTCAATTCCTCCAATACCCTGCCGGCTCTCGGTCAACGTGAGATGCGATCTCCGCCTGATCCTACGAGGGATCAGGGACTTTATCGGTTGCTCAATAATAAGCAAAAGGACAATCTTACTCCACTAACTCGTGCAGTAGAGATGGCATCAGCAGTAGAAGCCAATGACCAGCTTCGAACCAACAATTCTCTCGCGCGCTCGCTGCAAACAGACCGGGGTCACTACAAGCGCCAGAAGTACGAACCGAGTGAGGAAGAAGAGATAGAAGAAGGTCCTGATTTCTGGGAAACGATGAGAAACTTGACCGAGGTGCAACAACGTCAAGTGTCGCAGGAACCAGTCTCGGCTCACCACCCGCTACATTACCAAGGAAGCTCTACACCTCAGCCCACTCCACAATTTAACTATTCAATGATGTCTCAGGCACAACCAGCGTATGATGAAGAAGAGGATATGGATATGTTTTACGAAACTCGCAGAGACGGCACGGCAACTTCATCGGACCCTTCGATGTACGACTCCATTATCCAAGGATACGGGGTGATTCCCTTTAACCCGTCATAAAATAGACATAAACTATATAGTCTAAGCAGTAGCTTCAGCCAGATTTTTTTGGGGTGGGGTGTAAATAGTAAAACACATAACCTTTTTCTGTGTTCTTCTTCTTTAATGCTTTTAGGTATTCTTATAATGTTTATTTTTTCATTATTCACATTTTTGTATAATATTGTATCTTTTCCGTTCAAATGATCCGTTCTATACATTTTTGGTACATAAAATTCTTCATTCATATCTTTTCTTTCTGCTAATCCTACATACATGTTTGAAAATAATGTATTCCAGATTTCTTAGGAAATTCTTTAGAATTCTTAGTCGGTTTTTCGCTTATTAACGGCCACTCACTACTTTCATTTGTTAAATTAATCACAACCATATCATCTTCAAGGGATGTATATTCGACATATAAAATGCGCTTAAAGTTTTATGGGTAACATCAGAAAAATAATCAAGACAATCTTAAGCTGTTCATTTTACTATTTCATTCTATTTTGCATGTGATGTCAAATTCAGCATAATATTCAAAGCTGTCAAGCCATCTAATAGGTGGTACCATATAAGGACCAGTTTGTTTAAGTTCCCTTCCGGGTTTGAGAACCAATCTTAAGGTACCTGGAAAATTACAAGGTACCTGGAAAATTACAAGTAGCCCCCATAAGATAATGTTCAAGTACTTCTTTTGGAACTTCATTAGAGATGTAATCATTAAAGACAACAGATACTACCTTATACATAGTGGAGGTTATAGAATATAGGTTCACAGCCTTATTGTAAATCCGCACTATTGGTACTTTTCTGCAGGATAGCCAAGATTCGATCACCTAGGTCGGAGAAGTGTAAGATCTTTATTTGTTTGGACAACATTTTGTTGCCGTTTGAGTATTCTTGCTAGTGGGTCCAATTGCAAGCAACCATCCCGTGGCTCACCAACCTGAATCCAACCCTCGCAAAGGTTTCATCTAGCAAGATCAACGGGTGATGTCATCGGAACCAGCTGCTAGAAAGCCTCCGGAGGACGTGAAAAATCAATATAAGAAGCTCATTAGCCGAGAGTTTCGAGACCTTCAACTTGCACAGGACCTCAAAACCAAATCTATCTTTGATCTTATCGACTATTGTGAACTCTTATATGAGAAACTGGTAGAGTACACGGACTCGGACTCCGGGTTAAAGGCGTACATGCGGGGGTATTTGATATTCAATTACTTTATAAACTGCTTCATTATGCTCCATTTTCAAGGATTTGACAAGTTTATTGAATCCAACGAACCAGACTTCATATTATACTTGAACGTCTTTGCATTTTATAACACCAAAGATGTGATCCGAGATAGAGGTCATTCGTTGTCACTTGAGTTGGTGCGCCAATGGATCATCGAGTTCTTGACAGACCAAAAACTTTTGTCTTTTGACGTGCAAGAATTATATGATTGGCTCTACCAGTATATCGATTACCTCAAGCAAAAAGACCAAGAAGAATTTCAAAGTGACGACCTGCGATCAGCCAACGGAGTGACTTATGCTCAGCCCTCAATAGAGTACGACAGACAGTCTCTCAATCTGTTTGAAGAACGTTTTCCGTCGGTGGACCTTCCTTCAAATTCATCGCCGAATAATGGTTCGTTCGATTTCATTTCCCCAGAAGTAAAAGCCCAGTCGTTCCCAACACCTCCCTATCCGGTGAATAGCACCTTCACAAGGAGCCCTACACCTCCTTATCCTTTGGATGATGAAAAAGGTGTCTCGACTGATGACTTGTATTTCAGCTCAAATGTCCAACCTCCAGTCCAACCGAGACCGAAGCAATTACCACCTCCCATTCCCAATGCCACTCCAGTTCAGCTTGAGACGAGCTACGAAGCTCGCCCGTACATGTCCTCGAATCAGTCATTTCCTCATGGTTATTCTCAAAGTGCTCAGTACCAGCGGAACCCTGTTCCGCAACCTGCAAATCATATTCATCAGCCACCTCCCCGCGGTAATGAGCAGTATTACTCAAATCATAATGGTTACACCCATAATGGTCACACCCACGGACGTCTGATGTCCCGTGATATGGGCAAGTACACAATTTGTGGTCTTAAGAATTTCGGGTCTACCTGCTACATCAATCTGACAATCCAATTGCTTTTTGGGTTGTACGATTTTTCGTTGATATTTGAGAATCAGGGTTATTTGAAGTATGTGAAGAACCCCAAGTATGTCAAGCTTCTCCAACAACGACATCCTACCAAGGACTCGGGGCTCTTAAGTGAAGCAATATTCAGCTTGCTTAAGACCTTCAAAGATCATCCGCAAGCTTCCATTGCCCCGACCAAATTTCTTCGGGTTTCTTCTTTATTAAAGCCGGACTTGAACATTCCTTATGAGCAGCAGGACTCCCAAGAATTCTTATTGTTTGTGTTGGAAATGTTACACAATGAGCTTGGCTCCAAAGCGTTTGATGAAACCGAATGGGAAAACGATCGAATTGGTCGCTACATGACGAAATGGGGTATCAACGTAAGTCCTGAAGACCGTGAGCCTTATATATCATGGTATCGATCACTTTTGAAATTGGAAGGGTTCTCCCCAATTCACGATTTATTTCAAGGGCACTTGCAGAGCAAATTGATCTGCAATAAATGTGGGTTTGAATCGAGTAACTACTCCCCATTTACCATTTTATCTTTACCAATACCTCTGGGTCATGGTCATCGAGTGGACTTGGCAGACTGTTTGCGTTATTATACAAAGGACGAAATCTTGACTGGAGAAAATGCATGGAAATGTCCCAAGTGTTCGAAAAACATCTCCAGTCCGCTGTCTTCCAGTGTGCTAGACTCACATCCTGTGTTCGCAACTAAAAAGAGTGGGCTTTTCAAGTTGGGAAGACGTAGTAAATCTCCTAGCAAAAAACCACAGAATGGTAGCCAAACTTCATCAACCACATCACTAGGCTCCACTACAAAAAAGCTCAACTTTATCAAGTTGCCCAAAATACTTTTCATGCATTTATCTCGGTTTTCTATGACCAGTGTCACCGATAAATTGGACACTGTTATAAAGTATCCATTACAAATTACCTTTAACAACAACACCAACAATTCCAACCACGAAATCACCTATAAGCTCACCGGAATCATCAATCATTACGGAACGTTGAAAAGTGGTCATTATACTGCATTAGTGAACAAGTCATCTCGGACTTCGGGAATGGACAGCTTGCGAGATCCTTGTTGGTGCTTCTTCGATGATGAGCAAGTTCGAATCAAGGTCAGACACGGAGACGCCGCCGATCCACATGGGGAATACCGGGAGCTCAACTCTCGAGATGTTTATGTCTTGTGTTACGAAAGAGTTTAGACGAATAGATGACGACATTATCAGTATTTTATCGTTCAAGTATTTTTCACTGAAGATTATCGCCCAAGTAATTTTTTGCTGATCTGACCGATATTTGTCTTCTTTTGTTTCGCTTCATCTTCAGAATCTTCAGACTCTTCCGAATTAAAAGCAGCAGCAGTTTTCTTCTTCTCACTCATCTTGGGTCGTAACTGTACTTTGATTCCCTCCTTCGGTATCTCCTTCACTTCGTGAACGCTATCGTTTTCTTTGTGTATATGCTTCTCGTTTCTCCCTGCCTCTATTTGCTGGCTGAGGAAACGCATGGATTGTTCTTCATCATTTTTCATCAGCTGCTGTCTCTTCACCAGAACAGATTTTTGATCCGAGTGATCAATATAGCTAATCATAAGACTGTGGTCATTCTCGTCGTCACCAGGCTGTTCTACCCTCACGTAGCTATTTTTCCCCAAATACTGTACAAACAGAGTTAAACTCGACCATTTTGTGGAGTTCATATGTACATGATCTCGGTCGTTGGAAATGTACTCCTGGTAAAATTTGTTGGCATCAACGCTCTTGGTACCATGGCTTATTCTCAACAATGTCATGAAAGCATTCAAGAACTGCCTTGAAAAGTCCTCCGTTACTTTTTTCGTACCCTTTTGTTCCATATCTTCAACTCTACCCTTGTGTGATGGTGACAGTAAATGGTTTTTGTAGCCATTAGCATCCCTACATTGTTTATGGCATAGCTGGCAGTAGTACTTTAGCTGCTGTAACCCCGAAGCCTTTAATTTTTTAGCTTGGTATTTGGCGGTTCCTATCTCAGCTCTTGCCATTAACAAATAAGTTTCCCCGCGAAAAAGCGATGAGAACTTAATGCTTATAACCCACCACCAGATGTCGTTGCGGCGCTTTTTATTGGGGAAAAGAGCCACCCTAGGCACCCGCGCATACCGAATAGAAGCAAATAAACCCCCTGCAAAATCTTATACATGCTTTTTGAGTCCCGTGTCAATGACATGGAATGCGTTGATTCCACCATCGGTAAAGTATTTTGGAGCCGCTTGCACTTTGGGATTAGTGCTCACGAAGATACATCCGAACGTTTTGTTTACTGTGGGACCACCCTTGCTACTTTCTGTGTGGTTCTTGAATCGCCAGATTGCTTCTAGAAGGTATAGGAATGAGCTTCAGGTGATAATGCCAGTGACGGCCGAAGCCTTTAGTGAAAAAAACGATAAAATTCAGCTCAAAAGCTACGATGAGAGCGATGAAGAACTTGTCTTGAAGGGGATTGAATCTGAATTTGACTTTTTCAAAACGCAAATAGCCGAATTAGTTGCTAGACGCATACGAGACCACGCTAGTATGGAGTCCAACAGAAATCTGCTTCTTGTCGATAAAAACGGTCAGTTCTGCTTACATCTCTCGGAGAACTACATAGAAACGTTTATTGTACTGAAGGCTGAAATCAAGCTGGAGGAGAGTACTCAATTGGTGGATTTCATAAAGTTATCAATGCCGCTATTTGCTTCAAGGCAAGACAAAGTGAAAAAGGCAACTGTTGAAATATACTTGCTACAGGTGCCAGGCACGGACATGGAGTACAAGATCACTTTGCGGATCACACCTTATAAACTCTGGACTTCAAAGAATGAATCCATTGTCATCACCTCGCTTCCCGGCGGTCCTATGAAGAGCGAATACATTACGAAATTCAAACCCGACATAACAGTATAATGTGTAAATAGAGATTTAATGCTTGAAGAAGTTTCGGCTAGCATCACTGAACATTCTGTATTCGTAGCATCCAGATGATTCTTTTATGTGTTCCAAGTCTGGTAGCCACAGCTGGATATCATGAACTCGCTTTTGAGTATTTGGGTGAGTCGAGAAAAACTGTTGAACTGCTCCCTCTCGTGCTGGCCCCTGTGTTTGCTGCTCCCATTGATTCATTCTGCCCCAAAAGTTCACCGACTCTTTAACGTTCATGCACAGTCTGGCCATGAGCTCGCATCCTATATGGTCTGCTTCCGATTCCATTTCCCTCGAAGATGGCATTCTAAGAAGCCCGTTTATAAGCAAGTCGTTGAAGGTGGTTATACCTGTCATCGCATACAAAAGAGTCAGCAACCCGATATACAATGGCTGTTTGGAAAGCTGTTCCAGCGAGTGGTGAGCTAACTGGTGTGAGAGCTCATGAGAGAGGACAGTTGCCAAACCGTCATCGTTCTGGCATATTCGAAGAATAGACGAGAAGATGAAGATCTTACCGTTGGGTAAAATAAATGCGTTTGGTGGAGACTTGGGATCGTTGATCACATGGATGGCCCACTTGAGCAGCTTCAAGTGTTCTATCTGTTTTTGGTCTTTGGAGCCGGCAATGGCAGAAGCAAGCAATTGGTTCATGATATTAGAAATACGTGAATAAACCGGATCATTTACGGGAACAATGTTTTGTTGGTATTGATATAAAATTTGACGATAAGAATAATCGCCAATTTTCTTCTCCAACCAATATGGTATCCAGATACATCTAAGACGTCCAGTAAACGGGGCTTCGTCCAAATTGTAGACGTAAAATGCTGCCAAACCAAGGCCGGCGTATATTGTGTTCCGGCTGTATAAGAGATTTATAAGGTTGTATTGAGTGGCGGGAGCATTGTTGAACCGTCTGTAAGCATAATTGAAACAAGTAGATTTGTGGAAAGAACGATGGATACAGTTTGGTGCTTTCACGGTGGTTCTCTTTATTGCGGTTTGGCGTATAGAATGGCCTATCGGGGACATAAATGGTTTGAGCAACATAGTAATAGGATAAAGACTTCGAAGATTTTCGAGCGGCTGCGAAATTAGTTACAGGCTATTGGACCCAAATAGGAAGATACCGAGACAGTGTTCGTTTGGTGTTACTTTGGAATTTTTGGTTCGTTCCCTTAATTGTCTTGTTTCCTGCTCCTTCTTGTCTCCTTGCTAGCCTAATTCATATACCTTCCATTATATCTACATTATTTAAACACTACAGCGGGTTCCGAGTCGCTTTCACCCTCTGCATCGAAAGCCCGATCAACTCCACCTCCCAACACTTTGGAAACTGGAGCCCTTTCGTCGTTTTTGGTGCCTTTCAATTGAGAATACGGATGTGGCTGTGGGTTATCATGAGAAATAGATTCGTGCACATAGTGTTCGTTAATCTTTGTATCCGAACCATATCTGACTTGAAAGCCATCTGTACTTGAGCTGTTGCTCAGCTGATAGTGGGTTATAGGTCTTTGTTTAAGATAGGATGAGGTGGCTCGGGAAGGAAGTTTTTCAAAGAAAGCCGGGCTGTTGAGTTGCTTGGCAAAGCTATCAAGAGACCGATCTTTTTTCGGTGAAGACCCCGAGCCATCGATGCTCACAGCAGAACTATGGTTGCTGGAGCTCATCGCATCACCCCCGATATGAGGCGGTTGCATCAACCCCGTGTCGCCCGCGATAGTGGAGCCGTTTTTGACGCCTGTGGTAGGAAGGACGGGAATGACAGTGTCATAGAAGTCATATGCAGATGGTGTTTTTGAATGCAGCATATGAGGGTGTTGGGGAAATGGTGAAGTACCTTTGTTGGATCCGGTTCGGTTGTCAGTGACGTTGGTGGACAGGGTGGATCCATGGGATGATGATACTGAAGCAAACACTTTTTCCTCCAGATTTTCGCCAATTATGTTGTGATTCGACCGCCTATCCAGTGGTCTGTGTAATTCTTCCTGGAATTCACTGAACAGATGGTTGTCTCTCAAGTCCATGTCCACTTCATCGTCGCTTCGGTCCTCCTTATTTTGCTTGCGCTGGTTTCTATACCAGATAAACACACACACAACGATGATTATAAGCGAGGGAATGCCAATGGCGAGACCTACAGCTAGGCCTTGGGTGTTAACCATGATCTCATATACTACAACAGCGAGCGGGGAAACCTGATATCGATGGTAAGTTTATGAGTCGGATGTCCTGTGCTAATTTCGTGACACAGACTGGGATGGTGTACCACAAGAGATCGGTAAATATCACGAAAAATCACCGGATGAAAAAATATTAGGTACCAAATGAAGGGTCCCGGCAATCAAGGTAAGCGAATGAGATGAGTTCGATTTTGAGGTATACACAAAACCAGAACTAATTATTTCAGCTGCAGGAGACTGGCTTTAAAGCGATAGCTTTCCAACCTCCGAATATATGGAAATAGCAAGTTTATGAGCCAAAGCTAAAATCACCAACTCCTTCTCCTTTCTGGGTGCGGAAATGCTGTCTTTTGCTCGCGGTGTCTGCAGGATCTTGCCTAGCCAGGAAAGCTAAGAGTTTTTGTGAAATCCCCAAAAAGGCAACGAAATTGAAGAAGCAGCAAGATTCAGAAAGCAAATGACTAGCTCCAAATTTTAGCTGATTCTGGCTGATTCTGGCTGATTCTGGCTGATTCAAAATTTGATAAAAAAATAATTCACCGGAAGGCAGTGCTCAACTACATGATGCTGGTAGTGATACGTACAGGAAGTTATGTGCATGATTATCGGGATGGCTTAGTCGCCGAGAGGTCCCTTGGGTATATACATAGATTATAAAAATTCGCCAAGTGCTGTCTGTTTCAAATCAAGCACTTCTCCATCCACTGTCAAAGTGAATTCATGGACATCAAACGGTTGTGTTTTGGACGTTCTTGAAGCTCGCAATTTCAACATACCATCTCTGATCGAGCCCTTAACGGCAAATTCAATGTCAATATCTCCACTCACGGTGTTCAAAGTACCGGAAATCCATGGCCACAGCGACTTGAAATCAATGTTGTCTCCAAGACGACTGGTGACTTCGTCAGACATTCTCAACAAGTACAATGTAGAATTCACAATGGGCGATCTTGTTTTCTCATAGTTGAATATTATGACACACGCGAGCGTCACACCTATTCCATAAGTCCAGAAGTAGTTTCTGTTCTGCTTTTGGGAAACGAAAGGGTCTGGAAGCTCTCTTTCTACTGTCACAGGGATGGTCCGGGTGACTATTTTGCCATTGACTTCTTGTTGTTTTTCCACACCTTCGGGGTTATGTGTCAAATGCTGCTCACTGTATTGTCTAATACCAACAAACCCCGACCGGAAAACTGGCCTGGTGGCTCCAATCCGCCCGACTCTAAATGCGTTCAACATGAGAAAGTTTGATTTTGCGATCGCGGCTGGAAATAGTGTGGGTGCACGGATGGTAGCACCAGCTAAGATTCGTTTCTGTGAGTCCTTTTTCTTGCGCTTTATTACCCCACGAATCATTCCAAGTAACTAATATTGAAACATGTCGGTTTCTGGAGCCTGTGTGGTGGCCAAGGTGTCAGGAATGGTTCATGTTCGAGAAGATACCACTCCTCTGGAACTCGAATGGAACGCCATCGATCAACTGAAGAACATCAAGATTCCCTTATCATCAATAGTAAAATTACAAGCGTCGCCAGAAACCAGTCCAAAGATGATCCTCAAACTAGTTTATACTGATACAGAAGGCTCAGAGCAGTCTTTAGTCCTCAGATTCACCAATAGACCCACGATGAACAACATCAAAGAAGCACTTCTGACAATTGTGGCTCGTCAAAGAACATATACAACCCCAGAGCCGTCAGCATCGAACACTCCAGCTCCCGACGGCACGACAGCCAGTGCTGCTCTGTCCGGTTCTGGTAATTCTAGCAAGACAGTAGACCAAATCATTGACGTTAACGATCCTAATGCATTGCTGAACGCTAGTCTCTTGAAAAACCACCAACTTCAGCAAAAGATCTTACTCGAGGACAAGAATCTACGAAATATTTTCACACAAGCAGTGATGAAGTTCAAGCTATCCCCCAGCGTTTTCTGGCTGAGCCGGTTGAACCAGTTGCGAACGTATGCATTGACATTCACACAGCATCGAGGTCCCTATAATGTTCTTTCGACGATTCGCCCCGTTGCGACATCCGATAACAAGGTCAATGTTAACGTTACAAGGGATACAATCAACGAAATATTTGACACTTACCCAATTGTCAAAAAGGCATTCAAGGATTTGGTTCCTGATAAATTGAGCGAGGGTGAGTTTTGGTCCCGTTTTTTCAATTCCAAGTTGTTTCGCCGTCTTCGAGGCGACAAGATCAATAACACAAATGAGCGTGGTGATGCTGTGTTGGACAAGTACATGTACATAGACCTGGACTATCAAGATGATGGTACCAAGCGCCAGAAACTCGAGGCCAATGTCAGCAAGTTTTTGGATTTGGAGGGCAATGAGCAGGACAATGCTCTGAAGTTGGGAAACAGACCTGACTTTACCATGCGCTACGGCACGGAAGAAACACAGGTGGAAGAACAACAGGGCAACGAAAACGAAATGATGATTTTGATCAAAAATATGAACAAGCTCTCTTCGAAAATGGTCAATTTCAATCCTGAAGACGAATTGAGCCACACATCCAAACAGGACGAGTTGTCAACGGATGAACAAAAAGAGTATGAAGAAGAGCTCAATTTGCATGATTTGAACGAAACCGAAGAACTACAATACATCAAGTTATCACTATCTACTGAGCGAGACCCGGATAAGCATATCGAAGTCAAGTCGAGTTTGGTTTCACCAAAAGATTTGTCGTCCTTTTTCAGTGGTAACGAGTTTCTGGAAGGAGTCAACCTAACGGAAACATACATCACCAAAAAAGAAGAAATACAGAAAACTGCCAGCGAAGTTTCAGCTTTGATCAAACATAACTTTCGGGCTTCTCGTGCCATGAGTGCTCAATCTAGAGAAAGTGAGGGCGAAAAGCTTCTTTCTGATTCAAGAATACAAGAAGTCATTACTTTAAATATCACAGCCATGGAATTCTTGCTGCACTTTTGGAAACTCTTTTTGGATGGAAATAATCCAAATCAGTTGAAAAAAATCTTCCAAAGTCTTCGTGTGTGTAAGTCTTCAGTCAACGACTTGCAGCTGAGCTTCACTGAAGAATTGATGAAACACAGACTAATAGAACCAAACTCCAAGCTAAAAGAAAAGGTTGCAAAAGACCTAGAAGGGTGTTTCCAACCATTGCACTTGACCATAGACAAAGCTTGCGACACGTACATGAAGGCCTTGGAGGAAGCGCAAAATCAAGAAAAGAACTCTGAGGGAAAGCGACCTTTAGAGGTCTAATTGCATAGTATATATATTACATACTCATTTGTTCTTGTAGCTATCGGTATGGCAGTCGTGCAATAACCGATGATACCAGAAGTTGCAACCGAAATCGATGAGCTTGAAACTTTACAGATATGACAAAAAAGAGTAAGTTAGATCTATAGAACATGGTCAGATCATCTACTAACTGTAGTCTCAAAGCATAGCAGGGCTGCTCGCCGTGGTGAAATAGATGAAGGTGGTGAGGCACGACTGTTAGAATCGTTACCAAAAGAAAATGACGGAGTAAGGAAATCGATTATACGAACATCTATAAAGAATGAAAATCTTTTGGCCAAGAAAATGGAGAACCTGAAGATCAGGAAGGCGAATAGGAAGAAAACTAGTGCATTGAAACATAAATTGGAACGTTCAAATAAGGTTGATGGGGTGTTGCAATCGAAGATAGAGCAGAGTATAGCTCGTGCCAAGTATGTTCAAACAGCCAGGAAGTCTGGTTGGGAGCAGATCAATAGCAAGATTGATATTTTGGGTGCCTCTGAGGAAGCTCTCAAGAAGAAATCTGCAAAAGAGATTGAGAGGGAAGAGGAAGATGCTTATGTCGACCAATTTTTTAAAGGCGATGAGGAAAAGGAAGATGATTCGAATCAAGAAGTTCCAGTCACATCTCAAGGAAATGTTTTTGCTGCATTAGAAGAGACAGAAGCGTAAGAATGATGAAGGAAGAGGTTACTCACTGTGAAAAATTCACTATTACTTTTAATTTTACGATCGATAAAAAGAAAGCCTGTTATAACGTTTTAGTGAATTTGAAGATTATTTCAGCATAATCTTGGCATGAGATCACTCTACTATTTTATTTACCCTATACCACTTATTTCTTCTTCACACATTTTTCATCCGTACACCAAATCATTAGGCAATTTTCTCTTATCATCAGAATTACGTATGATGAAAATTCTGATCTTGACCCTGATCTGGATAGCATTGGTCTGTCGTAGATGTTTTGCTAGCGAGCAAGGAGAAAGTAGACCCTATTTCAGGCCATATACTGACCCTTTTACTCCGGATGCATTTTTTGAACAATTTGCCTACGATGACTTGAAAGATTCAAAATGGAAACCATCACATTATAGCGATTCTCAAGGCACTCAATACGACGGAACCTGGTCAATTGAGGGCTCTTTGAAGAACCAGGGCTTCGTGGACGATAAAGGTTTGGTAATGAAGACACCAGCTGCTCATCACGCAATTTCGTACCGGTTTGAAAAACCCTTTGTCAACGACCACCAGGATTTGGTACTCCAGTACGAGATAAAGCTACAAGATGGACTTGATTGTGGTGGAGCGTACATCAAGTTGTTAGGAGAGGACTTTGAAGATGAGTTCAGCAAGCATACCAAATTTCTCTTGATGTTTGGTCCTGATCAGTGTGGAATGGAAGACAAAATACACTTGATTCTCAACCGATATAACCCGGTCGCAAAGAAATACGAGGAGCATCATCTAAGAACTCCTCCAATGTCTCGCGGCGGACATTTTTCAAACTTGTATACATTGATTCTTCACAAAAATCAAAAGTTTGAAATCCGGATAAATGGAGAAATTGCCAAAGCTGGAAGCTTGCTCGATGAAAACAAGTTTACTCCTCCATTCGAACCACCAAAAGAGATTATAGATACCAGCGCAAAAAAACCAGAAGATTGGGACGATCGAAAGTATATACCCGATCCTCATCATCCTCCAAAGCCCGAGAACTACGACGAATTATATGGCTCACCAAGAATTCCTGATCCAAATGCTGTCAAGCCTGAAGATTGGAACGAAAGCATTTCTCCGATGATTCCTGATCCCGAGGCTAGTATACCTGAGGACTGGAATGAGAGCGTAGATGGAAAGTGGATCCCGCCATTAGTGGCTAACCCAGATTGTACAAATGGTCAATGCGGCCCATGGAGCCCACCGTCAATCCTCAACCCTAACTTTAAAGGGCGGTGGAATCCACCAATGATAGAAAATCCAAACTATCAAGGTCCATGGACTCCGGGATACATACCCAATCCCAATTATTACAAGGATGAAAGACCAGCAGATATGGAACCTATTGGTGGAATAGGGTTCGAATTGTGGACAATGTCCCCAAACATTCTCTTTGACAATATCTATCTTGGGCACTCCATTGAAGAAGCGGAACATATTGGGAACACCACTTTTCTCATGAAGCAAGAATTAGAAGGAAAGTACTTTGCACCTCCAATTATAGGTGAAGAGCCATTAGCACCTCCCAAAGAAATAGATTCGTATCTCGATGACGACGACGAATTCTCATTTACTGCGATTGTGAAGGCTATCCAAACTATTCTCATCGAACAAGTATATGAGGCTAGATCGGTCTACGAAGAGTTCAGCAGGAGACCATACGGAGTAATACGCGAGAAACCCATGGAGTGTTTGATTTACAGCTGTACGTTTTTGTCGTTGTTCACGTTTGTGTTTGGACTCATAAGTGCCATTGGCTTCATGATAAGCTCTTCTCCGGTTGCCAATAAAGAGAGCAATAAAGTTGAAGAAGAAGAAAAGAAAAAAGAAGAAAGAAGTAAAGAAGAGGAAACTAAAGACATACCTGTTTCTACCGGAGCCAAAAGATCGTCAACTTCAACTCGCAGAAGAAAGTAACACTGCCACGCAATTTTCGTGTCGGCCCACGTTCTGATTTGCAACCGTGCAGCCCTCATTGTGTTTTCCTGCAGACAGGGCTAATTACCCCATATTTGAAGCAGAAGGGGTTACTGCGGACCTTACCTCGAGTCAAAGTTTCACTCCAGTTGATCCAGCTATACTAGATTCCAATACCCAGCATGGAGGCAACCGAATATACTTCGTTGATTGTTCTGAAGCCAAATGGACCTCGTAGGAAACGCTTCTTCACGAGAGCTGTGATTGCTTTGGTGATGACTATCGCCATTATTTCCACTTATTTGTCGTACAGATCAAGCCTTTGGAATGCAGTGTACACGGTTCGGTACCCAGAATTGAATAAACCACTCAGGGTGCGTCTTTATACCCATAACATTCGATTTGATAACCACAATCTCGACAAGCACGAACGGTACTGGTCGGAAAGAAAGCACTTGGTAACTTCTTCCATCGACTATAACACAGATGCTAGTTTTGCTAGTGTGGTATGTCTTCAGGAAGTGTTACACCACCAATTGCAGGACATTTTGTTCAACTTGAACAACAAAGATACGAGGGATGAATGGACCTATTATGGAGTCGGTCGCTCTGATGGCTATACGCGTGGAGAATACGCTCCAATCTTGTACAGAACTTCAGACTGGGATCTTGTAGACAACAAGACGTTTTGGTTGCTGGAAACCCCGCGTATTCCCAGTAAGGGCTGGGATGCTGCACTTGAAAGAATTGTCACGATGGTGACCCTTCGGTCGAAATTGAACCCGCTCGTCACGTTAAACTTTTTCAACACGCATTTTGATCATCGTGGAAAGGCGGCGAGAAGACATCTGGCCCAGCTTATTGCCAACAAGATGGAAAATTACAACAATTATCCTTCATTTCTTTGCGGTGACTTCAATACCCAGCCAACAGATGAACCATACCAGATTCTCATCAAACATGGTATGAAAGATTCTCGTGCTCTTATTGATCACCTACACCACTATGGGCATACTGGCACTTTTACTGGGTTCAACAAACATAATGAAGCAAATTCGGTCATCGACTATGTGTGGGCACCATATTTTGCAGAGAATGGTAACGATCAACCTTCAATGGAAACCACCGAATCGATCAATTACTACAATTGGGACTTCCACAAAACCCACAAGATTGCTCTTCGGTCGTTTGCTATTCTCCACTCATACTATGATTTCTACATGAGCGACCATAGGCCGGTATCGGCGGACTACGATGTGTCGAGGACATTTTTCTGAAACTTTCAGTATGAAAAGAGAACTCCGGGCTCTCCGCGTTCTTTTCCGATCAATGGTAAGGATAAGCGTATTAGCCGGACCCACTAGAATATATTTTTTCTTGGCTTTCACTGCGGCTGAGAAATCGTGAATTTTTTCGCTTGAGTTTCAGCTGAAAACTACACATAAGGACTTAAAAGTACGAATAAACGACATTACTCGAGCCACAGGTCAAGCTCAGCCATCTTTTAAGATATCGGTCCTATCCTCAATAATGTGGGAAGGGCGTGCATTCACTTAGTAGGGCTGATACTGTTATATGCAGGTAGGTGCGTTTTTTTCATTTTCTGACACAAATCTTGGCACCGGGGTAATCCCCACATTTTCAGCACTATATGCGAGAAAAACAATATCTCGGACCTCGAAGCCCCGATCACTTCTTGGCGTGGTTGCATGGGTCCTGTACCTCGATGCCTCTAATCGCCGAGTTCGTACAATTGAGCCTCACTCGTCCGATTTCAATGGCTGCGAGACGTGCGTCAATGCGGAAATCTTATGAAATACTCCGGGGATGCAGATTACGATCGTAGAAGTTTGGACGTTGGGTGCAGCTTTGGACAGCTTATGCAGCAAGTTTACTCTTCCCCTCCCGTCCGAATTCTATATAAGATGCAACTTGAAGCAGTTTTTCAAACAAGGCAAGTTTAGCTGATCAGAGAACAAGACCTTTTTGACGTATTCTTGGCAAATTGTTGACAGGTCTTGTAAATCGAATAGCATTTGACTGAATTGAAACTGACAGCTTGATAAGTGAATATCTGCGTTATGTCCTCCATTCATTCCTCGGTCTACCATGACCACAATAAGCACATTATGCAACCGCCCAAATTCACTTCGCGAGCAATTGCAAAATACTTCAAAACTCGATTCACTACTCTTGTTCCATCGAAAGAAGAGTTAAAAGGAGTTACCAAAACCGATGTCTTCTTCCCGTTCAAGGTTCTAGGAGAGTTGAATCGTCGCCAATGGAACTTTTACCTTATTGGTTTAGCAGGCTGGACCTGGGATGCGTTTGACTTTTTCGCGGTGTCCTTGAATGTTGCCAATATTGCCGAGTCTCTCAATGAATCCCACAAGAGTATCACCTGGGGAATTACCCTTGTTCTCATGTTAAGAGCTGTTGGTGCTGTGATTTTTGGTTTATGGGGTGATCGTTACGGTAGAAAATGGCCGTATATTGTCAATATGTTCCTTTTGGTGGTTCTTCAAATTGGCACTGGATTCGTCCAAAACTTACAAACAATTCTTAGGTGTTAGAGCACTTTTTGGAATTGCAATGGGTGGAATGTTTGGTAACTGTGCTGCTTGTGCATTGGATGATTGTCCTCCTAAGGCAAGAGGGTTCATTAGTGGTATGTTTCAACAGGGATATGCCTTGGGATACTTGTTGGTTGTTGTATTCCAAAGAGCCATTACTGACACCACAGAGAAAGGTTGGAGGTCACTTTTCTGGTTCTCGGCAGGTCCTGCAGTTCTTTTTATGATATGGAGATTCTTCACTCCTGAGACTGATACATTCCTTCGTCAACAAGACAGAAGGAGAGCTTCCAGAGAAAAAGAACCACTCAAAATCTATCAATTTAGTTCGGAAGGAAAAGAAGCCATGAGAAAGTATTGGCTTGTGGTCATCTATTCTGTTCTCATGATGGCAGGATTCAATTTCATGTCTCATGGTTCGCAAGATTTGTACCCTACTATGTTGACAGTTCAATACGGTTATGGAGCAGATAGATCTGCCGTAACTAATTCGGTTGCAAATTTAGGAGCCATCTTTGGTGGAATGGTGTTTGGACATATTTCTACGTTTATTGGTCGTCGCTTGGCCATTATCATTGCTTGTATACTCGGCGGAGCTATGATCTACCCATGGGCTTTTATAAAAGGATCCGGAATCAATGCCGGTGTATTTTTCCTTCAAGCTGGTGTCCAGGGTGCATGGGGTGTGATTCCCATTCATTTGTCGGAATTGTCTCCCCCAGAATACAGATCCTTCGTGGCTGGTACTGCGTATCAATTGGGAAACTTGTGCTCAAGTGCTAGTTCTACTATCGAGGCTACCATTGGTCAAAAATTTCCTTTGAGAGGTGAAGAGGGTGATGTATACGACTATGCCAAGGTTATGGCCATTTTCATTGCCTGTGTGTTTGTCTATGTCATACTCATCACCTTCTTTGGACCTGAAAACAGAGGAGCTGCCATGGGTGTTGAAAGAGACGAGTACCTTGTTGAAGATACCGATGATGAAAAGTCTATCGAGGATTCGCTAGACGACAGGGATTCGAAATCCCACAGCAAACACCACGAAGTGGCTGTCTAGCTTGAGTTTTTAGTTGAATAAGAAGCTATGATTGATGTCAAGAAATTTGCAGCTAAATATGGAACCGTACTTCAATGTTGGGAAGATGACGCCTTTGAAATTAGGAAGTTTAATGAATGTATAGCATTACGGCGAGAATACATTAATGGTTACTTTGTCACAATAGCCCTCTTTTCTTTTACTGGGGCACTGCTGACTTTTGGTGGTTGCGCGGTGAAATTTAGTGGTCGCGCTTTTGCATTAAATAAAGTTCTCACCTTGGCGGATGGATCATTATGGCAAGCCACCCAGTTCGAATAGGATACTATGATCCTTTTAATACGTACCAAGCAGTCCAAAATGAACTACAGCATAAATTCCCACTCACAAACTTGCACTGGAAGTACAATTCGTTGAAACCAGTCAAATCAATTCCAGTTTTACCAGTTGAACTTGTTGAAGAAATCCCTAAATCGTCAGCGACAACCGATTCTTCGGTGTATCTTCGCCTCATGTTTGTTACCTACGATAGTCTTGAGCTTTATCGACTGCAAGTAAGGCCATTGATCAAGGAATGGCTCAAGAAATTGGTGGTGACGTCGCTGGTGGAATGGATGATATTGTTCGTGATGCCTTCAGGATCGAAAGATAAGCTGTCTACTATTATCAAAACTTCACTTTTTGACAAACTAAAAATCGACTTCGATACCAGTGGCAAAGAGCTCTCGGAATTGTCAATTGAACCAGGTACTGAACGATGTATAAAGCTTCGCCAAAAGTACGAAAGTGACTTTGCTAAAACCGAGTCTTATACCGAACTTATTAGCCAAATCAAGTCGATGCTCTTGAACACATTCGATTCCAAACACCAACAGTATAACGACATGTTGCTGACTTACAATCAGAATCACATGAGCTCGCTCTTGGCTAAGGTTCAACTTGCAAGATTATTCTACCATATGAGATTGCTTGAGGACTCCTTGGCAATATACGATGATCTTTACTCGGCGATCAATATCTTGATTCCCACAAACAAATCTGCATTTACCGAGTCGTTTGACATATCAGTGGATCTGAACAACTTCAACATAGATACCCTAGGAGTGAAAGACGTCAGTTCCTTTGACCCTGACAAACTTCTTCAATCTCCCCCCGTTAATGTGTTCTGTCTCAAGAGCCTGGTCTTTAGTGCTCAAACACAAATCTTGAGGGCTTTGGCATCTTCTTCATCTCCTTCACTGTCAATAGCTCATGTGGGTGTGATGCTAAAACGTTTGTCTCGCTTCTTGAATGATGTCTCCCTGGACGCACTGTGTGATGTCAACGAGTGGATGTTTGCTGTTATTGATCTATTCACTAACCTGGATACATATGTTTCTGCAGACAAGTTCCTCACTGCTTCTACGGATGATGAGATCAAGTTACTGAGTACTGATTTCTACAACTCACGGGCAGAACTAGTACTACTTCAAAGAAGTGCTCTCATTGCAATTGCATCAAAGAACGGCTTCTCCATCAAGGGCCTTGATGATGTTTTACATCAACACTTTCAAGACATTTCTCTCGACGATGATACAAAGCCAAGAAACAACCCTCCATTTTCTTACCCACGTCTCAAGGAAATACTCAAGGATACAGCCTCCTACTACAATTATTTTGAACAAGTAACGGAGTTTATTATTCAAGATCTCGTGGTCTGTGGTAGAGAGAAAACCATAGACATGCTAAGTATTGACTTGGCCTTTTTAAATTATCACAAAGGCAACTACGAAGCAGCCATAGATATCATTCACAACTCATATCAATATTTCATCGAAAGCGGATGGACTTTTTTGGGCGGGGTTCTCTTAGAAGTCTATTTGCATTGTATACAAAAAGTGAATCCTGATAACCATGTGATGCTTCTTGATATATGCCTCAAACTACTTGCCAGTATCCCATCCAGCTCCACCAGCGGCAAAGTAGTTGGGATCAACTCATATCAGCTGATCAAAAAAAAACCTCAGATTGAAGGTCTCTTCGAGAAAATGATTGACTGTTCGCTACACTTGAGTGAAACTGTCGAGTACCCCTTACAAACTTTCTTCACAACAAAAATATCTTCATACATACTGGCAGACTTTGAAAGCTCGCTAGACAGATATTTTGTGGAGCTAAAAGTTACCAATTTGTTAGGCATACCGATAACGTGGAGTTCGGTTGCAATAGAGTTTCAAACCAGTGGAGAGAATATCACCTTTTTGAGAAAGAATGTTACTCTCACCAATGAAAGGGAACAGACAATAAAAGTCTATTCCAATAACTTTAGAAGAGGGTATTTGAGTCCCAAGCAAATAATCGTTAACTTGAGCGAAAAGTTGCAATTTTGTGAAAAATTAAGCAGAGATGGTGATGGTGATGATGATTTCAACCAAACAGTTTTGAAATTCACCAACGGAAGCTTTACTCAGGCTGCAACCCTTCTTCAAGCCCCCCAAGCTGAACCTAATCTCTTGCTAATGTACAGAAACTTGAACAAGTTTTGGTGCGAATTCCGACAACCTTCGCTGTTGGTCCTTGGTTCCAATGCAATAGAGCTTGAGATACACAACGGTGACAATGATTTGCTGAAGTTGGATATCACGGTCACCTTTGGCTCCGTTGATGTTAAATTCGACAATCATGGGCGTGCGTTTCGACAGCAAACCGAACTGCTTAATAGGAAGGAAGTGAAAAGAATTCCAGTCAAGTACTTCTACACTGGAGATTCACTAAAGCTTAACGTAAGTGCACAAATCTCGTACACTGTCAATGGAGAAACTTTTCAATATTTCATGGATGATGATATAGACAGATCACTAGCTGTATCTGTGACGGTTCTGGATATTTTTCGAGAATCTTTCTTCTATTCCAAGTTTCAGGTTGGCACATCAAATGCAAAGTTCCCAATTAGAATCAAAGATGTCACTTTGACGTCTGATAGTACAAACTTTGACATTCAAGTGCCAAGTAAGAGTTATGATAGTGTCGTTGCGTTCGGAGAGCAGCCTGTATCTTATTTGTACAGAATCTTACCCACTGCAACGTATCGCAACTTTCAAGTTGAAAAGTTTGATTTGAAGGTGACCTACTCTGATATACGAAGCGAATGCCTTTTGAGCTTACAGAAGAGATTAATCGGAGAATTCAAAAGTTTGAAGCTTGATCATTATTGGTTTCTTATTCATTCAATTTTGCAAGATTCTCTTAGGTTTGACTTGAATCATTATGCAATTTATCGTGAGGTGAAAGTACTCAATCACAATGAGACCTTGTTATTTGCTGCAAAAATGGCAAACAAGTATGTTCCTTTTGAGCATTTACAGCAACAGTTGGTAAAAGTAGTAGGTGATGTTATTAGCGACCAATGGCTCGAGCCTGAGGAACCTGGTGATGAATTGAGGGAGCTTAGAATTGCTGTTCCTGCTCCTAGTTTGGACGTCTTACATTCAGCTACATTCGAGTACGAAAGAAAATCGCAGTACTTGGTTGGAGAACCAATCGAGATCAAGTTGACCATCAATACGATCAGCCTGTGGGCGTTAGAGAAGTCCGGCTTGGAGAATGAGGAAATTTTGGCATCATCATCGCCAAAGCGTGGAGAGCCTGTGAAGAAGAAACACAGCTTCCAAGCATCCCTTTTATACGACGAAAATTGGTTGATATCAGGGTTCAAAAGAGAAATTTTTGAGGTTGACTACTCCACGGGCTTTAGCGAAAACGACTTCAGTCTTGTGCTTATACCGTTGAATGTGGGGAAGCTTGAACTTCCAAAAATCGGCATTAAGTCTGCATCGGCACAAGAACAAGAAATCTCAATGGATACTATTTTGAAGAATGGGTCTGAGACCTTGTTGGTTGTGCCAGAAGTCAGTAGTATTACGTTTACGTTTTAATATTACTATATCTACTTCAACTTGCTCTAATATCTACTGGCAGTGTCTACCTACATTACAGTACCAAATGGACCTTAGTACGGCTGCAAATAATATAGTGTGAATTTCTCTATGAAGAAGCCTTGAAAATGATGTATTTGACAACATCTAGCGGTTTCGTTACCAAAGAGCGATTGCTGGAGATTATGCACTATGGGTCAATCACAAGTCTGTCGGATTGCGTCGTCACTGTTTGAGTTCAATATCAATTTTGACTATGCTGGTGAACTCATATCTATATTGCTTGGTATTGACTTACAAGTATGCTCAATGTTGTCTATATAATTACCAGGGAACCTCAGTACCATCGTAGTTCCAGAACTTGTTTGAGTCTTCTTTCTTGAGTTTTTTAATCACAGCTGCCAACTTCTCAGCACTTTCATCGGGAGTAAAGTGTCCCCCAGGCGCAAAACGAGGAGCAAAAGCTGGGATCTTGGCAAGAAGCTTCTCTTTGGCATTGAGGAGCATATCAGTACCGACCAAACCTGGATTGACGGAAACCACGATGAAGTCTTCTTCAGCAAGCTCACGCCCAAGCTGTCTAACGCTGTGATTGAGAGCAGCCTTGGACTGTCCATAGGCGGAGCTGCTAAGCTTAGGATACTCACTTACACTTCCAACCAAACTTGAAACGAAAATCACTTTTTTCAAAGTACTCTTTTTTACCAATTCATAAAAGGCCTGGAACAAAAGAATTCGTCCAAGAGCATTGGTAGCATAGTGACTAAGGAATTGTTCTTTTGAAGTCTCCAAGATTGGGTTATGTGAGGTATAAATGCCTCCATTGAGAATAAACACATCAATTGAGTCTGAGACTTTCAACACCTCAGCCTTGGCTGTTTCAAAGGTTTTTTCGTCGTTCAAGTCCAAAGAAACAACATGAACATTGTCCGCCTTGCTCAATTCCTTCAAACCAGAAGAAGTAGAAGGGTTTCTAGCAGTTGCAATAACGACATTTTTGGGATTCTTACTGAAGTAAGTAGCCAAGCTGAGGCCAATTCCACGAGAAGCACCCGCGATAAAGTATACTTGTTCTGCCATTCTTTTGTGGTGATTTGCAGTCAATTGAGGGCTTAATATACCGGCTGGGTAGTGTTTGATCCGGTGATAAGGCGGAGAGCCGTGTGAATGTTACTAATGAGTGGGAAGAAGTCGAATGGTTGCAATTTCCCGATCGGGACTTATTTCCGAACTATGCCCGAGCTACGCCCGACCACTTACTAATGCCACGGTAGAATCAGCTCAAGACTATAGCTATGATATGGGCTCTGCCAGTGAAGATGGTGCTGGAAAACAGGCGATACTTTCCCAAAAAGCACAATTAGCATCGGGCTAAGAATTCGCACGCTTACTTCAATTGATTAATGGCTGCGAAAACGAGCAAACTGTGCGAAAACTCGGTAAAACTGCCACCTGCAATTGCCTCTTAGTTCCTATATCCGATTTGCGGCTTACCATAACATATGTCCTACACAAGTATTTGGACTATCACAACGACTCTTAATATAGCTTCAGGCTTATTACCATAAATTTTCAGCAATTCATTATCACGATGATGAGCGGGATAGGTCATACAGATCCAGATGTGAGCGTGAAATAAAATTAAATGATGTACATGGCTCCAACATACCGAGATTTGAGTACAATTAAGAAAAACTAGGCTCCTCCATAACACCAATTGCAGTAACGTCCTGATGAGAATCGTCAAGATTTTTCTAGGAAAGAGGCACTAAATTTGAGGTCATGTCCATGGATAAAACGGGTCAATGTATACCATAGCAAGAAGAACAAATACATTGTTGTCAACAGGACGGAAACTTGAATCCCCTTTTGTCAAGTAAAGAAGTAGCCAATGAGAAGCATTTCTGGTGGTGAAATGGTGAACAACTGTGTCGAGATATAGAATATGATCAATGAAAATAAATCCTGTTCCACTTCGTACATACCTCAAGGATATTATCGAGAACAAGATGTTCTTAAAAGAATTGAAAATGAAGTGTCGATCTCTGCAAAGATTGGCTGCAAAGTCTTTCATGCTGACCAGCATGTAATTTGACTTTTCGATTTTCTCGTTATTAAGAAGTGACTTCGTGGCCAAGCTGGTTAAGGCGTGCGACTGTTAATCGCAAGATCGAGAGTTCAATCCTCTCCGAGGTCGTATTTTTTTGATTGCGAAAGCTTTGATTTAAGCGACCAAACGTACCGTAGATGTGTTGTTGCTGGTATACAGTGGTATTTTTTTCATTCTTGTGAGTTTATAAGTTTTCTCTACAGAGTTGAGTAAATTCTTTTAATTCATAAAATGTACAGGGGCAACAGACAAAACTGTCAAACTATTTATCAGTTTCAATGATGCTTCTCAAGTCTTTCTACAACCAACTTGTCGAAAGTGAACATTTGTGAGATTGTGGTTTGTCTTTGGAGCATTCCCAAATTGTCAATTCCGAAATTGTATTTTGCTTTAATAATCGATTCATCAGATAAATCCTTATTGGCCTTAAATGCATCCACGATTCTTCTATGGGCGTATGTGCGATAGTTGTAGTCGGTAAACTTGGCAGCCTTACCTAGAAGCTGCTTGTACAAACTCAACACTTCCTTGGAGGTAGTCATAATGAATGGTAAATTTGCCCGCACTGATTTGTCACGATGTGCAATCGAGGCCTGTGCAGTACGTTCATTAGTGTCTACATATTATACCCAATAAAATTAAATGATCGTAAAACTAGATCACTCGTTGACCTCGACCTTCTCCATGTAAGCAGCAATGTCCTCTTCCCGCACCTTTGTCTTTTTCTTTTTCGATTTTTTTGCCGATGCTTCAGCCATGATGTCTTCAAAGATTCTGGCTTCCTCTGCTTCATCTGCTGACCGTTCCACCTTCAACAAGTGCTTACCAAGATAAAGAAGCGCATCCGCTCGAGAAAGACGTTCTTTTTTGGAAAGCAGCTTGTCTTGTAGCACTTTTTCACATACCTTATTGAGAACACCGGTAACTTCGAATTTGGTAGAAGCCCACGCAGTGGCTAAAAATTTACCCATCATTAATTTCTCCATTTCTACTTGTTGCGACTTTTCGGAGTCGGTCAATTCAACATTAGGGTCTCTTCTCTCAGCCATCTCTTCCTGTTCTTTCACCATTGCTTCCATAGAAGACTGGGCATCCAATGCTGACTTGACAATGGAGTAGCCATTCTTGACCGTGTCGGTCTTTTGCTTGACACTGGAGTAGATTTTGGAGACCCCGAACGTCTTGCTTGATCGTATGGCCGCATTGGCTTGGTTGGTGTATATTTTTCCAATCAAGTGAAGGAGTTCGAGACCGAAACTTTCAATCTTCAAGTCTTCAAGTTCTTGGTTAAGCTTTGCTGTGAACGACGCCAAGCCATCAGGGTTGGCCTTTGCAGAATTGTACTTTTCAATGCGAGCAATAAGTACCTTTGAAAGCTCTTCAACCCGCAACCTTTTCGCTTGTTTCGCTTCATCATGAAGACGTAATATCTCCTCTCGTTGTTGTTTCGAAATCTTTTTCTTCTTTCTGCGTTCAATTTCTTCACTGCTAAGCATATGGCTGTCAGATGTGTGGGAAACATCCAGTTGTTCGCCGTTATGGTGTACCACATCAGTTCCAGTTCCAGACGCAGCAGTGGATGAGCCTGCTCCTGTAGCTGAAGCACTTGAATCTGCCCCTTGCACACTTTCAGGCTTTCCTCCTTCCTTGTCTTCCTCGTCTCCCAAAACCTCGGCTGTTTTTGCCATTTCGTTCAACATCGACAATTCCCCAATCCAATCTTTAAAACTATCGCCTCCAAATACCATGCCGAAAAACTCCGACGGATCAATATCCGCCGCCTCTCCAGCCTCTGGATTGTTCTTAAGACCCTCAATTCCAACCTCGTCGTAGGTGGCTCGAAGATCGGCATTCTGAAGAATACCATAAGCTTCTCCAAGTTCTTGAAACTTGGCAGCCGCATTGGGATCATTGGCATTTTTGTCGGGATGGAGCTTTATCGCTTGCTTCCGGTAAGCTTTCTTAAGCTCTACGTCAGTTGCGGTAGGCGACACCCCTAGGATGTCATAATAGGTTGTGTCTTTGACCATGTTGAAGCGACAGCACAGAAACTATCACCGTTTGACCCGTGTATTCTGTGCAGGATCGAATGACGGCTTTGCCACAGCCAACACAAAAATAGAACTGGGCTTGAAAGAGCGCGGATGAAAAACCAGCGAAATATTCTGAGACATGATGATGAGGGTTCATGAAGGAACGACGAAAGTTTAGGGTTAGACATTTTTAATTTTGATTTTTGCAATTTGGCAAATTTTTAAATCTTTTCATTTGTATCAATTTGACTTACACTCTGGTGTTCGATGTATTATAGAATAGCTTTTTTCTGGCTGTATTCCATTTGCATTTCTCACAATAACCAACCACGCAGCTGTCATGAGTCAGCGATAAGTGTTTCACCTACAGAAAACGTACTCACAAATTCCCTTTATGGCTGCAAATTCAATTAATCCGTTAGTCTTGAGCTACCAGCCATCTCAATCACTGCTCAGTCTACTGTTCTGCCCCACTTCACACCTTCTGCTATCTCGGCTCCGCGCCTACCCCACTTGTTGCATCGTGTGCCACGTCAAAAAGCGGCCCGCACGGCACGATCCAGCCGCACAGAATCTCCGTGGCTTCGGAGTAAAAGTCGTTTCGGAGCCGTAAACGTTTATAAGCTCGATTACATCCGCCTGTGGCTTATGACTCACATTCAATGAAGACAGCCTCAGAAGAATCAAATTCTCGGGCAAACACACCCAACGAAAAGCTTGAGGTTCATGAACCACATGCAAATCATGGATCCAAACTCGACCATGAACTTGCTGAAAAGCTTGGAGCATCCCATTTGAACATTTTACCTACAAGGCAACTCATATCTGTTCTCGCAGTGTTATCTTTAGGGCTTCTTATGATGATGACCGATCAATCTGCCGTAACAGTTGCACTTCCATTAATAGGAAAAGACTTGCATGCACAGAACACCATCAATTGGGCAGGTACCGCATCTTTATTAGCCAACTGTGTATCACAGGTGCTTTTAGGGAGGTTTTCTGATATCTTTGGTCGAAAATCAGTGCTAGTTTCTTCCCTCGTTATACTTTCGATTGCAGAGTTATGCTGTGGATTTGCTCAAACCGGACCCCAGTTTTACATTTTCCGTGCCTTTTGCGGAATTGGAGGAGGCGGAGTTCAATCCATGACGATGGTCATACTAAGTGACGTCGTGACTTTGAAGCAAAGAGGAAGATTTCAGGGTATTCTCGGTGCTCAAATTGGTATTGGAAATGCCGTTGGTCCTTTTCTTATGGCGGCATTTGCTGAACACCATTCATGGCGAGATTTCTACTATTTCCTTGCCCCAACAAACTTACTCGTTATAACTGCAATCTGTTTTGTGGTGAAGAGCAAAAAGTCGTCGACCGTATTGACCAGGTCTCAAAAATTCAAAAAGATAGATTACTTGGGGCTTGTGTTCAGTACAGCTTCTTTGACTTTATTGTTGATCCCAGTGAGTGGTGGTGGCTCGACATATGCATGGAATAGTTCTTTGGTCATTGTCCTTTTCATAATAGGTGGATTGTGCATGATACTGTTCATCCTTATAGAATGGAAGGTACCACCATTGCCTATGATTCCACTCAGACTCTTTGGCTCTGCTCTGTTATCATTGTTACTTTTCTTCAATTTCTTATACGGAATGGCATACTATGCTTTTCAGTACTATCTTCCTTACTACTTCCAAATCATTCGGCAAGATAGTTCTCTCAGAACTGCAGTTTTTCTTCTTCCATTGGTGCTCACTCAATCGGTTCTGTCGACAGTTGCTGGCAATTTGATATCAATAATGGGACACTACAAGATTGTGCTTTGCTGTGGATTTGGTATATGGACGCTAGGATACGGTTTGCTTTGTATTTGGACCAAGAGCACCCCAGCGGGTCCTTTAGTGGGTATCCTTCTTGTCATTGGAATCGGTGCCGGCTGCATCTTTCAACCTTCAATGGTTGCAATACAGGCCCATGCGAGGAAGGCAGACCGTGCTGTGGTGATACTGGCGAGAAATGTGCTTCGGTCCTTTGGAGGTGCTGTTGGTATTGCTGTAGGGTCGTTGATTGTATCCAACAGTCTTTTGAAAGAAGTCAATGAGGAATTGAACCACCCCAGAATTCCCGTGGAATACTTGCATTATTTGAAAGACCATATTTACAGCAAGATTAGCATCACCGGGTTGTCAGACTCTGAAGTTAGCATCGTGAAAGACATGTACATGTCGGCCATCAAGAACTTTTTTTATGCTATCATACCTATAATTGGCGTGTGTTTCGTGGGATCGTTATTCATTAAGGATCGTGGTTTGCAGTGTATCGATGAGATTGTTACCACCGACAAGGATGAAAACCATTAGCGGTTTCCAAACTGGTTGGCAAGTCCTTCGGCTATATTATGGCCAATGTGTTCGAGGTCAATACCTTGATCGCGCAAGTAATGCTCCACGGTACCAATGTTGTCGGTAACAAAGTCTCGGATCTTGCCGTAGTCAAAGTCGCCGTTTCTGAAGTTTTCATCTATGTAGTCAAAGTATGATTCATCGATATCGATACCATAGTCATTGGTATACTTTCCCGATGTGAATTTATGAGATTTATGATTGTTCCCAAACATTTGGCCAAACGCCACGCTTTGTAACTTTTGAAATAGCATTTTCAGGTATTTTGGTTTGGCGGTGGCGCCATCTGACACAAATTCCATTACACTGTCCTTCAAGAATGGCAAATCATGTTCCACAAACCTCCAACCACGCAAGTAGACTGTTAAGCACAATACAACAAGAGACAAGAACATGATAGTTTTGACGGTGGCCACCACCATTCCGTACCAAAAACGGATCATTCTAATGACAATTCTGTATGCCAAATAGAGCAAAACTAACCCCATCAAAAACGACGTAACCTGAGGGAAATTAGTCAGCATATATTGAAATAGAATCAACCCATAATGAAGAACAAGCTGAATCATCCATATGGCCACAGCCAACAAATTTATCACGATATCCAGAACAGACATGGAAAGACAGTTGGCACTTCAAAGCGCACCTGTATTTAGGCGGGTGCGACCTGGGTGCGGCCTAGGTGCAGGTCCTGGCCATGGTATAAAAGGCCATCTCTTCGCGCAGATTCTTCATTGAAAGTTGACTCCAGAGGAAATTTGGTTGGCAGCATACTGCGGTAATATTGTGGCTACGTCCAGCAGGTACTTGAAGCTTGCCTATTAAGTTAGGAAGTGGAGGGTGTGTGCTGTAGTCACAATTTATCGTGGTGGTTGTTGTCGGTTGATTATATTCTGGTTAGAAAGACGTGGTTACAAAGAATATGACACAGGTATTACTGTGTTGTGTCCCGTTATATCACTACATTAGATTAGCTGTAGAAAGTAGGTTCTGCTGGAAAAAACTGATGGAAATAACCGGACACTAGCGAAGTCTGAAGTAGATGGAAAAAGCTAAAAGTGGAAAGAAAAGTGTCAAAAACCTAAAAGGAAAAGATATCATAAGAGAGAACACCTGCAGTTAATATCTTACCCCACCTGTCTTTTCTTTCCTGATCCTTTCTCTTTCCTCCCTTTTCCTTTCTTCTGTTTTCCTCTTTGTCTCTTCCATCGCTATCGCACTATCGCCTGCATCTATCGTGTGCTCTCCTTCGCGCATTCAGCCAGCTTAGCAACATCATGTTTCGAAGAAAGCCTCCTGTACTTTCGCCGTTGGAAGAACTTCAGCAAACCTACGACGACTGCTGCAACATCACCATCCGCAATTTGGCATATGAGGATTCTAATCGAGTGGCTGATGCTCTCAAGGGCTGGAAACTGCTCCACACTCTGATCCTCTACAAGATAGATTCATTCGACAAACAGAAACCAAAACTCACCAACGAGGAATTGCAGATCCTCGAAGAACTCAAGGCTATTCGTGACGAGAACGTGAAGCATTTGATACGAGTGCAACTTCGAGTCGACGAAATCAACAGGAAAGCCGCTGCCAAGCCCAAGTCCTCCGTCGCACCTCCACCGTCACAAACTTCGTCCATGACAATTCCATCTCTACGCAACACAAATACGCCGCAATCCCGGTCGTTGACAAATGGAGCTGGTTCAGGGCATCAAAGACTGCTTTTAAAACTGTTGCGACCACAAGTACCATCGCGGGGTCTCAGTGAAGCTGCCTCCAAAGCCGCTACGGTTTCATGGTCCAAGCCCCAGTCTCGCCGCCTGTCCGGACAGGGCACGGGACAAAAGGCAGCAAAGTCCACAGAAGATTTGTTCGCCGACTTTGACCAGAGCTCGATCACCTCAGACGACCCCAACTGGGAAAGAGTGGACGACCTGCCCCTCATCGACTTGGACGACTCGAAACCCATATCTGCATCGCATTTGGATCCCGTGAACATCAGCACATCCATGAATGATCTTCTGCTAAGAAAACTGTCACCGCCTCCACCGCCCCGTAGTCGGAACACCAAGCAAGAGATTGCGTCGAAAAGTACTCCCGACGTTTCCAAGACATACATCTATAAGAAACCGCAGCCTATCAACGTTAACAACATGATGAAATTGGCACACCAAAAACTGCAACCTTCGAACAAGGCGGCTCGTGCATCTAAATCTCCTATAAGGCAGCTTAAAGCTGCAAATAATACCCCTGCTAAAATTCAAACTAAACCGAAACAAAAACTGTCGAACATCACTTACAATTATGTTACCAAGAAGACTACTTCGCCGCCAGCAGCCCAACCTATGAAACCGGACCAGCCTCAACCTCCTCGAATTCCTAAACTCGATGACCCCACATCTCCTACAATGGATGATATTCTCGGTGGATATGATGGAGAGCCTATTAGTCAGGACGAAGAATTTGAGCAACAAAAGGCCATCATCAGCTCTATTAAAGGCATAGACGAAATAGCAGGACTTCAGATCCTCAACGATATTGTGGTTCGTGGCGACGAAGTACACTGGGACGATATTGTAGGACTTGAAGGCGCTAAGAACTCGCTCAAGGAAGCTGTGGTTTACCCATTTCTTCGACCAGATTTATTCAAGGGTCTTCGTGAACCTACGAGAGGAATGCTACTCTTTGGGCCTCCAGGTACTGGTAAAACCATGTTGGCACGGGCGGTGGCTACAGAATCAAAATCTACATTTTTCTCCATCAGTTCTTCGTCTCTTACTTCGAAATACTTGGGTGAATCAGAAAAGTTGGTGAAGGCTCTTTTTCTTGTTGCACGAAAACTCGCTCCTTCCATCGTATTTATCGACGAGATTGATTCGTTGCTTAGTTCCAGAAGTGATGGCGAGAATGATAGTACCAGGCGCATTAAAAATGAGTTTTTGATCCAATGGTCTGAACTTTCCTCAGCAGCTGCTGGTCGCGACCACGATGATGTCTCGAGGGTGCTTATCTTAGGCGCCACCAATCTTCCATGGAGTATTGATGAGGCTGCCAGACGTCGATTCGTGAGACGTCAATACATACCTCTTCCCGAACCAGAAGCTCGCAAGAATCAAATTGAGAAATTATTAAGGTTCCAGAAGCATACCCTTCTGGATTCTGATTACAAAATTCTCATGCCACAGATAGAGGGTTTTAGTGGATCAGATATTACTGCTTTGGCTAAAGATGCCGCTATGGGGCCTCTTAGAGCTTTAGGTGATAAGTTACTTCAAACGCCACCGGACCAAATTCGACCCATTAATCTAAGTGATTTCGAATCGAGTCTTCTATACATACGACCTAGTGTTCTGTCGGAAGGCTTACTGCAGTATGAAGAATGGGCCACCAAGTTTGGATCGTCAGGTGCCTAAAAAGATTATTATAGTTCACATGCTTTTTAAGCATCTATGAAAATTAGCTTTACCAGCATGGAAAATTGGTTGTCTCGGCACCAGTTACGGTATGCACCGAGGTTATAATTGTGTGCACGAGGCAGGCATGCACAGAAAGCAAACGTACATTAAAAATAGATGATTAGCCACGATAGTGATGGCATCGGCATCCACGGAATAGAGAATGCATCTTGCAGCATTCTCATCTGAATCCAGTAGATAAATAGCATAACAATATTGCACATTCCATTCTGATACCGATATTGCTTCTAAAACTGGCAACAAACTTCGCTTATCGTTTTCGTCTTTACTCGATCTTACATGATGCACACTCGGAGGGGTAATGCACCTTGCTGCAGTGGATGCACTAGAGCCCACTGTGCATCAAACCTTCTGCAACAGTAGTCAAGTGCGACGGGCCAGGCCCTAATATTTACCTGCATACAAGACGATCACCTTCCCAATTAGTTAAGTGCATGGTGAACAATGACAATTGGCGCAGGGGCAGTTCCCATTTTGAAAGAGACAAGGGTACGATTGATTCTAAAATTGTCAGCATTTAAGTGGTTATAAGCTAGTTTTCTGACAAGAAGGTACTGCGTCTACTAGTAAAGTAGATAGGTAAATCGGCATTTATCTGCATTAAACGTTAATGGCCATATCGGGTAAGACGAGCATGAGCTTCCATGCGCGAAGACGCACCTGCCACTGTCTCAGGTGGTCCCGTGCATAATATGCATCTGCAGGGGCCCGTCGATGGCCCGATGCTCATTTCGTTTTGAAGCGTATTGAATGAACTACATAAACAGATAACCGTTATGGGCTGGTTCACATGGCTATATAAACATTGACTATTGCCATATATCAAATTTGTCTTATTTTTATTACTAGAAAAAATTCAGGTGCGTAAACGTACTATGCAAACAACCCATTGAGTTGGGTCTTTTATATATCAGTTGTACGTTGTGCGTAAACGTTCGTTGGAAACTCCGGAGACGGTGAGCAACCCGTCTCCTAATCATAAACGCAGAAGATCTTCGCCAATGGCTCAAGCTATTCGTCCATTTCCTCCATCAATGCCCTATGGAATCAACATGGGTCCAGCATTACCACCACATCCTCAATCATACCAATTTCAGCCACCGGCTCCGTTGTCATACGATGCACACTCACGTCAATCGCTGTTTGTGTATGGCGCTAATACATCGATGCAACCAATGTTCCCGCAGCCATCACATGTTGAACACGCCAGTGCGGCGGCTGCGGCGTCTACTCCATACTATTATCCCCAGCACCTGCAGCCGCAGTACATTGCAACATACTATCAAACCGATGAGCGCCCTATACGAAGAAAGTCAAAGTCCAAGCAATCACTTTCGTGGACACCTCAAGAAGACAAACTTCTATTAGAACTTAAAGATGTGCACAAACTTGGGTGGAGGGAGATTCTGAATCATTTCAAAGACAGAACTGCCAATGCATGCCAATTTCGATGGAGACGGATTGTAAGTGGAATCACGCCTAATACTTCACCAGCCAAACGCCACTCAATTAATTATCTCCTTAACTAGAATGTAATGTTTAATGATCATGCAATGTAGTTACCTCAATTTATGCATAGGTCGACCACTGTTTCACATGACAGCACAGGGTTACCTGGAAGGTTAAATTAAACTTTAATCGTGATACATCCCATTTGCAGTTGTGGTTCCCAACGTTTCTGTCATACCATACACGTGTTATATCATGTTGGAGATCATTGTTGGGTGTAATTCGTGAACTTTCTTGTGACAGAAGTTGGCATACAATAAACTGGATCAATTGGAACGAGTCCAAATTCTTTCAGTTTTTGGCTCATTTCGATCAAGCTGAGACCAGCGAGGGCAAAACATGTATGATATACATCGGTTTCATTGTCGGCTCGGTCACTTATACCTCCATTCGGGTCTTGACACTTGAGTATGAAACTGATTAGTCCGGTAAAATCCACCCAATGAGCCTTCCCTAATATGCTCAATGACGACATCACCCACCATGAATAGCACAGATCGGGAAGCTTTTCAGGACGCCCGTTTAGCCCTCCCCCTTCTACTTGTCTATCACTAAGCCACGCTGCTGTCTTTTCTGGCTTAATACGGTCCAACTGCCCGGTAATTGCAAGTGTAGCCAAGCATGTAAACACCTGCGCCGCATGACTCTCGGCACCAGGTACCATCCCAAATCCGCCATCGAAATTTTGGCATAGTAAAATGAAATCGACTGCAGGCCTGGACATTTCCTCGGTGAGTTCACCCAAGATTGAAAGAGCGGATATCGCAGTGTAAATGAATCGGGTGTCGACTTCTCCAAACCTATCACCTTGGAAACTGCCATTTTCTAGTTGCAATTCTTTTATAAACTTGACAATAGCAGGCTTCTTATCCACCACTTTTGGATCATCGAGTCGATTATATATCAGAAGCACTTGTATAGCTGAAAGTGTCGAAAGTATATGCCCATCATGGCGAGGAAATGCTCCGAATCCTCCACTTCTGCTGTCCCAACAACTAAGCACAAAATCAAATACTTCGTTTTCTGGAAGTGCCTTTAAGTTATCCATCGTGGCCAATGCTACCACACCCCAATAGATGCCATTCAATCTTAAATGCTCCAGAAGCCAGTACTCGTATGAGTCCTGGGATATCTGCGAATTCAAGTTTTGCACATACTCGACGTGCTTTTGTTTGAATAATTGGGTCATGGGTGACGCTTCCAATAATGTACGTAAGTCTTGGACGTGTGTGCGCTTACCTGCAGTACATCAGTAATGGGCTTCTTTAACGACAAACTTCTTCTTACTAGGATAGTACTCCATGTAGTTGATTTTCTTTGTAGTTGACATGAGAGGTCCAACATTGACCACCCGAGTTCCATTGTAGGTAACATCAAAGTTTTCGAAAGTGCTGTCATTGAGTACAATTGCCGATGGAAGTGGTTCGATGCGAAGCGCATAGTCGTATGTAGTGTCGATCAAACGAAGATCGCGAAGAAATGGTTGTAGAGTTCCTTGGTCAAGCAAAGTTTTCACCAATTTACGTGCTTGCTTGACTTTTGTAGAGACATGTTGTTCGGATGTGTCGATGGTATCGAGACTGATGGTGCCTCCATTAGCTTCACGCTCAATATCTCGATCGAGTCTCTGCTTCTCCAATTCCAAATCGTGGTTGAATACAATATCATTTCGCTTTAATTTTGGTGTGATATCATCTCTCAACATGACAATTTCCTGACTCAAATAACATAATCTCAGTGGATTGAAGGCAAGTATCAAATTACCTTTCGGAAGAAGCCTTTCTAAACGGCTTGCAAAAATGGATGGAATAGGCTGCTGTGGAAGCGCATTAAGATTTGAACTGCCAAGCGAGTAGGTTGCTTGCCAGGGATCATTCGGACCGGGTATCATGACAAATTTTGTATCTTGTATGAGGTATTTGAACTTGGAAAGGATAGATGTGAACTCATCAAAATTGTTCTTGTAACTTTCCGAGTTTGAAATGGTTGATATCAGCGTACTTGTTGCTGTCATTGGTCCAGAAATGAAGGAGCCATACATAACGATAGCCAATGGCGCTTTTTCACCATCAACTATGTCTCGCTCAAATGTACTGAACAACCTCTTCAAGCCTTCCAAGACCCTCGCATCATCTAAGAAACAGTTTGCTCCAAGAAAAACTATCTTGTGGTCAACAAGAGATTTCTCAATTGATGCCAACCGCTTTTTAAGCGTTTTATTCAACTTTGTAGAAGTATCACTGTTGATCCCCACAAAGTCAAGATTGCCAAAGTTTTCAAGACTGAGATCTCTACGTTCTGCTGGCGGTTGTCCAATGTGACTTACGTGAAAGCATCCGCCTATAAGGTTGGCACTAGATAAGGTTCCACCAGACGCAGAATATATGCCCTCTACCACAACGAACATTCCTGAACAATAGTAAGAACCTTCAGTTTTATGAGCCTGAGATAAATTAAGCTCGATGTGATCGGTGGCGTCTTCCAATATGTAGTCACCATTGGCATTTTTGGATAAGAGGCCGAAAAGTATGAACTTTAACCCATCGCGACCAAGCACGTTTTTGATTAGAGTGATTTCTGTCAGCTGTACCGAGTGAGTAGCAGCAGAAAAAGATGCTAGAGACGATTTTTGAAAGTTTTCGTTGCGGGATAATCGATCAGCAAGCAAATGATAACGGCTGTTAAAGTATGAGATATTAGTGGTGACAGCATCCGACAATGTGGAAGGTTTTTCCAACGAAAATTGCTTCCTTTGTCGATCGAAACGGTAGTTAGGTTGCTGTGGTGGATTTATCACTTTGAAGAAGTCTTTCCAATTAATCTCTTCTTCTGAGGGTCCATTAGCAGGACCCACGTCTGTCAAAGTATCTGATCTTTCAGCAAGCGCAGGCTCACTTTTGCCCGAAATATCTTTAAGGACCTGGTTCAACCCTTGACCATCGATAAATAGCCCTCTGTCCTGGCTCTTCCATAATTTAGCAATATCCTCTAACAATGATTGTGAATTTTGGTTTTTCCAATCGGATCCAAATCGAGCAGATATGGTTTCTGTCAAGATTTTGAGAGCATCCGTTTGTACATTGAGTCCATGCTTCTTCGATAGTATACGGTATGCAAAGGGACGAAGCGTGGACGGCTGTAATTTTACTGGCAATGCTGTTCTGTCCATGTATGGGTACGCGTTCAAGAGCGCGATTTGAATTTGGTGAGAAGAACTGAATTTTGGTGCAGATCAGTTACTGAAAATTTAGAATTCATTACGGTTTATTGAAGTTAAAGGTTTATTAGTCTTGGTATCTAATACTTGGTATGGTACAGTATTTTACATTTCTACTCTCTGTAGATCGCTTGCACTTGTCGTAATAGCTTCTCCAATGAGATGCGATGTTCAAGCAAATATTTCATATCGATTAGCCGCTCACATTTGTGACGGTAGCAGATGGAAAGACGTCGGTAATTCTCCAAACTTTTGCCAGTAGAAGTCTGAAATTTAAGAAAGTTGATATCATTGGAAAGCGATTCAACCTTCTTTTGCTTTTGCAGGTACGACTTCTCGAGAGTAGCATTAAGCCTTTGCAACAACAGCTGGATCCACTTGACGGATTCGAAACCGTATTCTTGCTCCTCTTCGAGGTTTTTCATGCCGTCAAGCTTATCAAAGTAATCTTTGTATTCTGCTATCTTTGATGCCATGGATGTGTAGCGAGCTGGTTCAGTCTCATCGATCAAGCTACTGGTAATTTCTTTCACAAGAGTATCTTGTGTGGCTGACGGCGACGTGGTGGATTTAATTTTGAGCAAAAACGCTTTGAATTCCTGTCGAGTTGCTTCTAGATCGTCACTGGTTTTCTCTCTTTCTAGTATGAGATTGTAAATTGGAGACGAGTCGATCTTGACGGCTTTGGTTCTTCTGGGCCGGTCTCGATGTCGCCTTTTGATACGTTCTAGCTGAGCCAAGCGTCGGTCTAATTCCTGGGTTTGTTCCTCGAGTTTTTTATTCAAGCTTTCAAGTCGGTACTTTTCTTGAGATACGCTCAAACTATATTGCTTCTGAGATTCTTCAAGTAGTCGCCGTTCCCGCTTAAGTTCATTTTCGAGTTGAAGAAAGTGAGTAGAATTGATATTGGTGTCTTTAAGCTGTCGCATCTCACTCTGCAAGTTATCGATTTTGGTCTTATATTGAGCTTCGACATGGGCCAACTTTTGCGTAAGTTCCTGTTTGTGCTCATGGCTGGCACTGCGCTCGGCAGCAATTTGCTTCCTAAGTTCTTGCAATTTCAAGTCGTAGTCGATGTCACGTTTCGGAGTCTCAAATGTTCCCGGTACTAATTTTGGAGAGGGTGCTTTGAATGTTGGAATCGAAGTCTCCTTTATTTCAGGCGTGGACCGAAAACGAGCAAGTTGTTCTTCAACGGGACGGTTCTGAGGAAAAGCCAATTTACTCAAGTAACCTCTTAATCGAGAGAATCCCGAGGGTTTATTCTGGGTTGGTTGATCGTATTCGTCTCGCTTGGGCGATTTATACAAGTAGAGCAGTGACGGTAGCAGGGACCTGAACAGCGATTGAGTCTCCATATTGCTTTCTCTAGGTTCATAAGCAGAACTCTCGCCTCTGAGAGGACTATGGCGTATTCTGGACGAACGATATGGACTATAACGGCTTGTTGATCTATGATTTCCTCTCTCGTCGTGAGTTGAATTGTATGCGAAATCAACATTTTTCGGTACATGATCATCATCCAAGTGTCTGTTATGGTTCAGGCTGGTTTTGGAGGTTCTATAGTCCTCTGAGTATGAGTTATTTCTCCGTAAATTGGCGCTGGCCGGATTGTACTTGTCGATGTTGTTGTATTGATTTGAATTGTTTCGCAAATTTGCGTCATTTGGAACCGTTTTGGAGCTACTAGTATAATCAGTGGGGGCTCTGTGATACCTTCGAGGACTCAGACGTAGTCTATCTCGCTTGACACGCTCGTAGCGGTCGTTCAACGTGCCCATAGTTGCAAATGCAAAACACGCGAATGCGAAACTGTGCGAAATTTGAGATTTTGATTCTGTTTTTGAAGTATACCAAAAGTACTACGCAGGTAATTCTAAGGTCAATGCTGAATCTGCATTTGCATTCACATTGAAAATTGACTGTATCGCTCAATGATCATAATGTTTTGATCTAATCAATCTATTGGTGCAAAAACATCTAAATTCTATAACACGTACAGCGTACCCTCGACCAGCAAGCTCTATAATGCATGTACTTCATCCTGTTTGCACTTTCACTTAAAAATTTCAATGGCAAGTGTCGCAATTTCCATGTAACCTCTCCTTAATGCGTACGAGTCGCTTCAGAATCAACGGTAGCGTTCGAACCAGCTGTTGACTCTAAATCATGGGACGAATTGGCATATCGAGTCTTCTCGATCTCAGTGCCAAGATCCCGTTCTTCCTTAGTGGGCTCGTCGATACATTGCAATCCCCTATCCCGCACAAACAAAGAACAAATGAGACAAATCCCGATGAATGGGATCAACAAATAAAAGTAGTTTTTGAGCGCCTTCACGTACATCCTTCGGACTACCTCAGCTTGTTGCGGGTTCAATTTGGTCGTATCAATGGTTTGGTAGATGTGTTTCCTAAGGAAATCAAAATAGCTTTGGGGAATATTCGTCACATTATTCTCCTCAATACTTGATATGTTATTCAAGAAGGTGTTGCTGACGGTAGTAGATCCAATGGCAATTCCCACAGCACCACCGAAAGATCGAAGAACATTTCTGGTGGAGATAACAACTGCACGGTCAGCTTTCTTGGATTGGGCTTGAGCTGCCACCATAGTTGGCTGAAATGTGAACCCCACACCACTGCCCATCAACAAAAGAACAACCACATTGACTCCATCGCTAAGTTTGTCATCCCATAAAATCAAAAGACCGCAACTCACGAACCACATGACATAACCGGCCCATACAACATAAATGTAGTGGCCAGTGCGTGTGATTATCTGCCCACTGACGATCGACATAATCAGCTGGCTCAACACAAGTGGTAATAAGAATATCGACGTATGAATGATGTCCCTCCCTTTTACAACATGAAAATAGTAGGGGACGTAGTACATGAAGCCAAAGTACGCCATTCCAAAAAAGAAGGTTGATCCCAAAAGCAAACTCAACAGAGCTCTTTTGAAGATATAAAGGGGAATCATTGGGAGTTGTGGAACCTTCCACTCAATCAAAAGAAAAACAATCATCAAAACCCCTCCAACAACAAACATTGTGATTACAATAGGACTGTTCCAGGCGTAAGTGGACCCGCCACCGCTAATTGGAATAAGCAACAATGTCAACCCAGCAGTTGCAAAGAGTATACCAAAGTAATCAATCTTTTGGAATTTCTCCTTATAGTTCAATAATCTGCTATCCTTCTGCTTGTCCTCCACCAAAAAGTATACTGCAATAATCACAAGGAGTCCCATTGGAGCAAGTAAGTAGTAAAAATCTCTCCAGCTTCTGTGTTTGACAAATGCAGCCATGAGAAATGGTCCTATAGCATTACCAACTCCCACATTGGCCCCTAAAATACCTTGAAACTTTCCACGTTGTTCTAGCGTCACAACGTCACTCAATATGACCATGGAAAGAGATGATACACCTCCGTTGCCAATACCTGCAAAAGCTCTGAAGATGTAAAATTGCACCCCAGTTTGTGCAAAGCCACAGCACAAATCAGCTACAACAAGAATGGCCAAGCATCCAATCATAATCTGTTTTCTTCCAAAAATATCTGACAATCTTCCAAACAATACTTGGCAAACACAGTTGGCTAGCAAAGACGCAGTTCCCGCCCAGTTGATGGTAGTTTCTGCGTGCAACTCTTTTCCAATGTGAGGTAAAGCAACAGTTACACCAGTTTGATCTGCAAAGGAAATTATCATGCCCAATGCTAAGGCAGAGAGGCAAATAATCACTTTCCTGGCAGGAAGAATGTTCATATGAGCATCCCCCAACTTTTCGGCCAAATTCGGACTATCGATATTGGTTATCTCAACCGCCGCTGTACCTTTTTTCATGCTATTAGCTTCAGACATAGCGATTATATTGAAATATTAATTGTGTGAAGCTTTCTCAGGGTTTATTCCTAGTTATATTAGCCCGTGTGTGGCCCCCTTCAGATATATGATTCTGGCCGCCTAGCCAAAAGTTGCACCCATGGTGGCCCCTGCAGACCGTTGGCACCAAGAAACGCAATATTCAGCACGAAACACTTAACAATACAGGCTTGTCCCGATATATGCATCCACAGGCCCACGTTGATTGCGCCTTAAACCACTGGCATAGCCATTGAGGCGTTGCGGCAGGGCTGTAATTGGTCAAGCATGGACAAACGTTCCATGCAACGGAAAAAGTCGGAGCGTAATTAAAGTTGCGCGCATCGGTGCTGCAAAAATGAAAGTTTAGCCGCTCGCGGAGAACAACCATGACGTTGACGCCACATATTCTAGCCTTTCTCAGGTAAGATCTGACGTGACAGCTGTTAAAGTAATGCAACGTGCTACTAGCTGGTGCGCAATTTCGAACGCCAAGAAGCGCTTGACGGGTGTTATCAGTTGCGCGTACTGCATAATCTCCGGAAGCGATCGATTAATCCGGACTAAACAATGTAGCCCGTTACAGCCGTTTGCGTATAGCCACAGTGAGCCGAAATTTTCCTTATCTCATATCTTCGTTTTCAAGCGAGTAATTTATTTCGGCCACACCTAGCATCCAATATCAATCTCGCCACTTACCTCTATCTGTCGGCTTGATGAGGAAACATAAATTTCGTAGGTGCCTGTTTGTAGAATCCATTGTTGCGACGGAGAATCCCAAATGCTCATATCCTTTCTTGTGAGTCTGAATTTGACTGTGGTGCATTCACCAGGTTGCAAAGAAACCTTATCATAACCGCGCAACATCTTGTGAGGTGATGCTGCCAAGGTACTAGGAAGTTCTAAATATAACTGCGCAACGTAAGCGCCTTGGTATTTGCCATCGTTATGAACTTTGGCAGTCACTTCATAGAGTACTTCCCAAAGGGCGGGGTTTCCCCCTATGCCTCCGCCACTCAAAGGGGGACTCTCTCTTGGCTCCTGTGAATATCCGAATGGGTAATCGAATTTTTCATCAATATCGAAGTTGCGCAATCGCTCATTGTAAAGGTATGGGTAAATATAACCGGGATATGCGTCAAAATCCTCATGCGGAAACAAGGCATCTTCTGGGTCGCACACATCGTCTAGAATCGTATGGAAAGGCGATAAATATTCTTCAGCATATGGTAAATATTCTGTGGGAGGGTTGATTTCAGTGATCTGTAACTCCGACACTGAAAATGAAGTGTACGATAAGCCATAGCCAAACTCATACCTTGGTTTAATGGTATGTTTTTCAAAGAACCGATAATCAAGATAGATGTCTCGATCAAAGTTGTCCTGAGGCCTTTTGTCTTCGCAAAGGGTATCAACTATTGGCACATAGTGCAGCAACTTGCGTCCAATAGTGAAAGGTAGGCGTCCTGAAGGATTGACTTCGCCAAATATGACGTCAGCAATTGCTTGGCCCACGAACTGGCCCAATGGTGCAGCATATAGAATTGCAACCACGTTGTCGTTGTCAACCCATTCTTCCATGTGAACGGGACCGACCGAGTTGACAACAACGACTGTTTTCTGACATCTATCTGCGATTGCTGAAATCAACTTCTCACCATCATGCCATAAAGTGAGGTTTTTACGATCACCATAATTCCCGTCAACCTCAATGTAACCTTCGCCCGAGAAGGCTTGTACAACTACAATTGCCATGTCCGCAATTGAAGAATAATGCTCCACTTGATCAAGGTCATCTGTTTCTGAAGCGAAATTAACAGTAATACCTTGTTCTTTTGCCTTCTCAGTAAGCGCCTCGTAAGGAGTAACCACGTAAGGGTTATTCACAGCGGCAGAGCCCCAACCTGACGTCATTGTTCCGTCAACGCATCTCTGATCCTTGCAGTTATAACCATTGGGATCCAAACCAGCTCCAACTCCTGCTATGAGAATATTACGAATTCCGTCGCTTCTTGCCACAGGTAAATTCTGACCGCAATTCTTGAGAAGAACAACGGCTTCTCTTGCTACGTTAAGGGCGATTTGGTCACTGAACTTCGAGCGTGCTTCTATGTGCCAGTTTTGTTGCACAATAGGTCCCGCATGTTGATAAGGAAACTCTTGCCCGTAGGTGTGATGGGTCCATGAGCTGAAATTAGGCGTCGATTCTTCGGAAGGGAAATCAATTGAATCACATGCTAGGAATGGCACTAGTATTCTGATCACCATGTCATTTAGACGCTCCTGTGGTATCGTTTGGTTGTAGATCGCCCTCGTTAACAATGGTCCCCAATGAGACTTTCCTGAAAGCCAACTATCTGATACCTCACCTGGCATGGTCATATCAAGACCTGCCAATGCAGAATACACGCCGCTATGTTGAGCACCCCAATCTGATACCACAAATCCTTGGAATGCCATTTCCTCTTTCAACAAATAATTGAGCAAGTATGAGTTTTCACAAGCATTCGTATTTATTAACAGCGTTGTATGAACACATTACCCCGCCAGCGCCAGCCCGAATGGCTTCTGCGAAGGGCCACATGTACACCTCATGCATTGCACGATCAGCAATATTAGAGCTTATGGAACAGGTTTGTTGATCCCAACCATTCTCATCCCACTCCCCAACTTGACGGAAATGTTCTTGTTCGTATCCAATAAAATGGCGTACTACAGACACAACTCCTCCATCTTGCATTCCTTCGACTGTCGCGGCTCCTGCAGTTCCTTGAAGATATGGGTCGGCGCCAAAACTTTCCCAGTTCCTCCCTCCAGCAGCCTTGGCTCCGATGGGGCCAACAGTGGGTCCCAATACAATATTCACCCCTTTACGCCTGTGTTCAAGTCCGATTGCTTTACCCCTAAGATAAATCAAGCCTTTATTAAACGTGGAACCAGCAGCAAGCCCCGAAGGAAAATGGGTCACAAAATCGGTATACCGTACTCCGTTGGGTCCATCTTGAAGGCAAAGATTAGGGATCCCAAGCCGAGGTACCGATCCGGTATTTCCGATGCATGGCCCAGACCCCCACCGGGTTCCGGTTGTTAATTTAGCGTTCTCAACAATCGACATTTTCTCTACCAATTTGCGGT